AGATATAGGGGTTATAGTTGTAGAAGGGTGTTTTTTGCAGAGCTTCAAGTATGTGTCGTTTGAAGGTTCGGCGAGGGAGTCTTGAGTAGAAACCAATCTAAGTGCACCTTTGATGTTAAGATTGTCAATTTTTTAGTGATTAAATTGGCCTTCAGCTCGATAGCAGAGGCTTTCATTTTATTTTTGACAACAGATGTCTTCCGTGTTCGTTTTTAAATAAAAAATTTTTTTATTTTTTTTACACCAGCCTATTGTTTAAATTTCTTAGCCTGCCCACCCACTCGCCCTTTGTTTAAAATTTTTTCCCCCACAAGCCCGCCCACTTAGATGGGTGGACGTGAGGAAGCGGACCCAAAATCCGCCCATTGCAGACCTCAAGAAAGATATCATTTTTTATTGAAATTAAAGAGAGATTATACAGAAACTTAGATAAGTTTTATTAATTTGAACTTTGAGAACCTGCGTTCTAAGGATGCTACGGTAACTATAATGATTAGAATAATCCTTAATACAATGAATATATTTGGTAAAGCTTTATTTAACCAATTAATGTTAATATAGCGTAAATTTCGAATGGAATTTTTTAATCAATTAGTAGATCTTGCGGATTAATATAGCATTCTAACGTATCCTTATCTGTTAAATATTTAATTGACAATAATTTATACGCTTTCAGGCGCATTTATTTATTCTGGTATATTATATCGTCGATCAAAATAATCTTCAAGGAAACGTTCCTCCGAATTTCTCGCTTGATCAAGTAATACATTGAAAAATTTAATCTCATATTTTTTTGAGGATAGTGTATAGGCTCGTCATCCCCTTCTTAAAAAAATTCGTTTTGGAACTTTCAGTCTATGAATTAATGTTTTGAAGAAAAGCACTGCTCTTCTACACTCATTTTCATTCCTGCACAAGCTCATTCCCTGAGTCAGATGAATTCTGAATGCCGTTTTCCTTAAGGCGATCTAAAAAACCTTTGGACTTTCTCTATAAGTATTATTTATTTTTTTCTCTTTAGCTTTCACCTTTTCTGGTGGTAAGCTCCTTCAACATCTCTCTCCACTTTATGTTATTCATCAATTTATCTAATTTATACTTCTTTATATTGGCTCTAACTTTATGGTCCCATTGAAGTTTTGGCCTTCCTCTTTTACATTTGCCCATCACTTCCAAACTCTCAACCTTATTTCCTATGTAGTTCATAGGCCTTCTCATTGTGTGCCCATACCACCTAAGTCTGTTTAGCATTAACTTAGTCTTAATGGGCACTACCTTAAAACTACTTAGTATTCTTGTACTGCGCACTTTATCCTTTCTTGTTACCCTAGCAATCATCCTCAGCATTCTCATCTCCATAGTTTGTATACTTCTCTCGTCTGATTCTTTGGTTGGCCATGTTTTCGAACTATATAGAATAGTTGGTTGTACTATGGAACTGTAAATTTTTCCCTTTAATTTATGTGGGATTCTTTAAACAAATAGCACTCCAGATAAAGATCTCCACTTTAATCACCCTTGATTAATTTTACTCTTTATCTCTTTTTTGTACCGTTTGTTTGTATAGTGGAGCCCAAATATTTACAGCTTTCAATTGCCGATATCTGCCATTCATTTATATCAATACTCTCTGTTTCATCTCCTCCTATCACCATATATTCCGTCCAGAGTTGTTAAAGGATCGAATCAAAAGATCGCCGATCCTGGATTCGATCCTAAATTTGTCAATTTTTTCGGATTTAAGATCCTGACCTTAAATTGTGGATCGTGATCGGGATCATTTTTTTAAATATTCGATCCCAAACCTTTTAAAAATTATTTTTTTACTTAAAAAGCAATAAATAAAATAATTTTGAAATTAAATTAACATATTATTTTTAAAAAAATATCTATCTACATCATATTTTATCAACCACCATTCCACCAGATTTTATATTTCAACAATTTTGCAAATTTTTTGTAAGAAAAAGTTATATTTATTTATTAATTATATTATAATATAAATTCTAGGTTTTAATAATGTCCTCCATTATAGATTTAGAAGATGATAATCTACTTCTATTGATGTGACAGCAGATATAAATGAGAATGAGAAACTTTTACCATTTCATAATTTAAGTAAGTATTTTACTTTTGTGAAACGGATGGAAGTAACCATACAATGATCTATGCAAAATGCTCTTTATGCACAAACAAAATATCTTCTTCAAAGATTAGAAGTTCAAACCTAAAGAGGCATTTAGAAGTAATTAATTATTTTAAAAATACAATTTTTATTATTTGTGAAGATCATAACAATATGCATATAATAAAAATTATAGATTTCCTTCACTATATGATGACAGTAATATATTGGCATCAATAATTTACCCAAAATTTAAGCTCAATTGGCCTTTTATTAATCTGCCACAAAATTTGCTAAAGAAAAGTTAATTACCCATTTAGAAAATAAGGGTCAATCATATGCAGATCCTTCAAATGAATGCATGGATCGATACCTTTTTTGGGAAAAACTCGTCACAAAATGCTCTTTCCATTAATAATTTTTTTTATTCTAATGTTGATTCAGTGAATATTTTTAATAATTATGTTAATTAAAAAAATACATTTATTGAATATAACATACCTTTACCATCAAGCGCTCCTGTGGAGCGCTTGTTTAGTAAAGCTAAACATGTACTTAATGAAAAACGTGGTTGTTTAAATAATGATAATTTAGAAAAAATTTTATTATTAAAGGCTAATTTTTGTTATACTTATATTATATTATTCAATTACAATAAATTTATACCATATTTTTTTATATTAGTTAATTTTCCATCGATCAGAAATTTAAATAAGAAAAGGATCGTGATCGTGATCGCGATCCTTTTTTAAAAAAAAGGTCAATCCTGGATTTCGATCCTCTTTTTTTCAAAAGATCGTGATCGGAATTCGATCTTTTTAAATCGATTAACAAGCCTGACTCCGTCTTTTCTCTTTTTAGCCCGTGCTTTTCTAGGATTTTATCCAACTCACTAATCTTTCTTTCATTTCATCCTTGGATTCGGCAAGTATCACAATATCATCTGCACATATCATATTCCACGGGCTCTATAAGTGTAATAACTCTTTCTAATTCAATATTGTTACTTTGCATGACCTTACTTATTAAATTTACCTGATTAAATATATCAAACTAGATGACAAGATGGATATTGTTTTCATTCTTTGGCCAATAAGACTTTTGTGCAGCATTTGAGGATTAAGGGTTCTGCTAGCATATTATATAATATATATATCAAATTAATAACTTAATATTTGAATCTAAATCTTAATTAAAATAATGACTCAATCAGGATTAAAGTAATTTTATACCCACCTGAAAGGGATTATCAAACAAGGACTATAGTGCAAACTTTATTATTTTAAAATAGATTAATCAGAATATCCAAATGTGCCTCATAACTATTACAAATTACAAATACATAACCTTAAAATAGACCAGATATTTATTAAAATAGTCGGAAAATAGAAATCGTTTTTTGAAAATATATTATATTTTTTTACTTACCGATTATCTTGTTTCTTTGCCAATAGAAAATTTAATTAAATTTTTTTTTAAAGATTATTTATAAATTAAAAAGAAAATTTCAATAAAAAAATGGAATTTCTCAACTAAAAAGTTTGTTTTTTTTAATATAAAATGAAAATTTGTAATGATACATATGGCTAAACGCCTAACCTTTTTTAGAAATTCATACTTGGTTTGTAAAAAATACTGTCTTATATGTAGTATATACAAAAAAATTATTAGATTTTCAAGAGGCTAAAAATAATAGAGAAATTATTAAATTTGGAGGCCCCTAAAATCGTCTAATTTCGGCAAAATTTGAACACAACTTTATTGTTTTATTAAACCAAATATTAGCAATTTAATTCTACATCCATTATTTACAAAACAATGTATGCATTAAGGGAATATAAATAACATTTTAAACGGTTTTATCCTATAACAGCTTTACCCCAGTATTGTTAAACGGCTATTTGATTAGATTTTTAAACACCAGCTATATTATTTTAGCTAGAAACATATTGCACAAGACACAAGATTTTGCCAATAGATGTTCAAACCTATCTAACATCTATGACCAAATCTTCAAACTTGGGTAATGTTTTTTTGCAAAAATATTGAGCTAGCCGTTTTTAAAAATCGGCTCAAAACGAGTCTTTAAAAACGCTACCCCAAGGCTATATATATTATACAAATAGTTGTTGCTTGAGTTAAACTATAAACTTCAGGTAAATTTTATTTTAAAGACAAGACTTAAGGAATATGTATATAAATTTTTAAATCATCATGATAAATATATTTTAAAACAAATAGAGAGTAATTTTTATAATTTTTGGGTACGGATTATTAGTAAAATATGCCAAATCAGGAAAATTTCCCAAAAGACAAACATAGGTAAGAAATTATATATAAAATACACCTTCATACAGAATTTTGTGTTTTTATGCTAAAAGGTTAAAAAGCTATTCGCATTAACATTATTACTCCGTTAATCGCTTTACCCCGGTCTTATTTTTCAAGTAGATTTAATGTGGGTATTTAGCATTTATATTTTTAAAACTTATATTTACATTCTAATACTTTTTTTAGAAATGTATATTTGTATTTATATTCGAATACATTTTTTTGAAAATTTGCCCAATCCGGATGATATATGTAATAATAAATTAAGATATTTGAATAAAATGTGTTGGTCGATGAAATAAAAATAAAATCAGATTTTTGGGAAGCGTCTCGGAAAGTTCTCATTATTAAGATGAACCACTTATAGAGCTATTCCTCCCATTTCAATGTTTTTTTAAAATATCTTTTTATAAATTGATGAAATTCGTAACTATTTATTTTTTTACTTCCTAATGCATTAAATTGATTCTGTAAAATATTTTCCTGGTTGCAAAAAAAATGACCTATTTCAATTATAATATATAATTTTTCTTGAATTATATAGCAATGAATTTCAAAGGATTGGATATTTAGGAATATATCACTCTTCAGTACCACTCAAAAACACATTAAGATTACCAAGGGGTGTGTATTTGTCTGAATTTCCAGAAGGTATTGATCCTCTTTTGCGCGGTTTAGTTCGTCAGGCTGCCAACACAATTGATCACAATTTTTCTGAAGATATAAATGATCACTTGTTTCAGCACGAGAATAAAGGATTCGGTACATAATCAAATAACTTGTTTAAATATAATCATGTTATAGGTATGGACCTTCTAGCATTAAACATTCACCGAGGAAGAGACCATGGTATACCTGCTTACAATGAATTTCGTGATATTTGTGGCTTGAATAGATTTAATGATTGGGATTCCATGAAGGAGGCTATGCCTTCAGATGTGGTTGAAAGAATGAGAGCTCTATATAAGTCTAATATATTATATGCATTATAATTCTATGTCAAAATTTTTAGTGATGTAGATGATGTCGATTTATTTCCCGGTGGCATCTCCGAATATCACGCGGACGGCGCTGAAATAGGTCCAACATTTGCCTGCCTTTTAGGTGATCAATTTTTTAGACTACGATTTGGAGATAGATTCTGGTATGAAAATGCTAATCGTAGTGATGTAATTGAACACGCCTTCCTTCCTGGTTAATATCGATAATTATTTTAAAGATAAAATAAAACCAATGCACTATTATTAAACTTGTTATTAAAACAATTATAGTAGCCAGAATTATTGTACTAATTTGATTCTCGATGAATAATAAATACTTGTTTTAAGTTAAAAATATAGAGGTCTGCAATGAAAGATTTTTAATCCTCTCGCCCATTAAAAATTTTTTTTATTAATATACTCTGGGATATTTTTTAAATAATTAAGAATTATTATCAAAATTTAAATGAAAAAATTTTATCCAGAGACCTGTAGAGTTAGAATTTGCACTGCTCGGCCAGATTTTTTTAAAAAATATTTTCGACATGGCCCAGCCGGGCTTTTTTTCAGGCTCGGCCATAATATTTTTTAATATTTTCTGCACAGCCCCGATTTAAAAATATATTACATTTATTTTTAATTATTCGGTCATATTTTTAAAAAAAATCCATCCCGGATATATTTAAAAAATTTTTTTTGAGCCAGTCCGAATTTTATTTAAAAAAATTAAAACACGGCATGTCTACTTTGTATTTTTAATTTTTTTAACATAATAATTTTTTATATCTCCACGATTCAGTGCACGTGCATAATCAAAAACAAGGATTATAAATTAATTGAAAACCAATTCGATGAAATAAATTTAATCACTTATTTTTATTCAACATTGTATTAGAAATTTATATACTATTTTTTATTATTTGTACAAATATTGTATAAAATGGTTAACAACTGCTGGGCAAAAATTACAAAGATTATGGTTAGCAATATCATTTTTTTAAATATCTTTATATAATAAATTATTTATCCATAAATTTACATACACCATAAAGATAAACATAAAAATAACATTTTTTAATTAAGCAAAATATAATTTAATTTAAACCCTTGAATATCAGACTAATACATTTTAACTTTAATAATGAATAGTCAAATCTTAATTTGTAATAGAAACATCCAGCAAACTTTTAGTTATGATATTTAAAATAAAAAATAAACAAAATTGAAATAATTAATGCAACATAAATTAAAAATAGAGATAACAGGCGCTGATTACCACCACTCCAAGAAAAAATTTTCACTCTCTCGAAAAAAACCAAACAAGCGAAGCTTTAGTGAAAATCGACTTTTCCATTGCATAAACACTCTTTCCAGCTCACCAAATTCCTTTTCTCCTACTATCAATCTCTAACAATCTTAGTCTTACAATTCAACACGGAATATACATTCAGTTGAGGACATTCAACAGGATGACCCCTCTCTGATCCTTACATTTTAGTCTTGGAATCTAATAAAATTTATAAGCTGTTCGTGCACTCTATCACTTGATGCTTGATCTTGAGTGGTTCCTGTGAAATTGAAAAAGCACATAACATAATTCACGAAATGAGCACAATCATCGGACTCTCGCTCAATCCGAGCAAATCCGAATTCATCCAATTAAATCAAACGCTCCTAACACTCATAATTTTAAATACACTGCACTTGAAGAATTACATATCTAGGATCTCCTGTATGAAGGCAATTTGCACCTTCCTTCACACCAGTCTTGAGATCATTCTTAAATTGGAAGATATCTTTACTCTCTTCCACCACACAAATACTTTTTCTTGTTAAAAAATTTCTTTTTTATACCTATGATTCTTTATGGACTCCGTTCAATACCGATTTTTAAATATCTTCTCCACTCAAAACATACGAAAAATAATAAAGGACCTCACCGAAAAATAGTTAATCTCAGATTAAACTAACCTGCTTGGGCCCAGGCTTAGCTCACAACCAAATTCGGCAGACTTGGCATTAGATCCCCCTACTACCTAGCAATAGCAATAACTTATTTCATATAGAACCCCCTACTACCTAGCAATAGCAATAACTTATTTCATATCGAGTTGCCTATTGTCAAAGCAAATAATCATGTCCATCATTCTAAAAAAGACTATTACTTAATTGAGGCAATAAACTTGTGGAAAACACAAATCAATGTTGATTCTCATCCTCCCATAATCAATCTGGGATTTGCCCGTAGTTGCTCGTTGCGTTGAAACACTCTTATCTAGTTTGAAATCTACCAACCGTGCCCTATTCTCTGGCCTATTGTACTGGGCATGCATTTCAAGTCATTCTTCCGTCAATCTTCAACTTTCTAGCAACGAACTCACGCCATTAGTATTCGTCTTAATTGCTCCACCATCTACCCTATATGTGTTCAGGTTGTAACTCACCCGTCGATATGATTGGAAGGCATAGTTTACATTGCCGCTCCCATACGCAATGTAACTCAATCATCCAACGAGCCTTGAAATCAGATACCCTTTAAACTAGAACTCCGCATTTTTAGATCAGACGATAAACTCCCTGATGAGATCACTGAAATTTTATGTAGGAGAGGCCAATTATTGGTATAAAATACTCATTGACCCCCTGGCCCTTCCAACAAGCTCTCAACATCATCGATCAGAAAGAAAACTTAAAATCTCCAAATACACAGAAATTTCAATTGTTTCATTCTTATCATTTTAGCCACCCTTGCCATCTTTGGCAAACTTGCGCTATCTTCAAATATTTACCGTCACAAATCAGCAAACTCTCAGAAGAAGAGGGAGGTTTTTTATTCACAAAGGTTAGACATAGCTATCCTTAAAGCGAACTATATCAGCTCTAATGGCAGTCTACTAGTCAAAAAAATATCCTAGAACTAATTCTATTTTTCATTTTTTTTCCTCGCTTTATACCATCCCCGATTGTTATTTTTAAATATTTTGAACATATTTTTTATATCTCATTTTAATATAGATTATAATTATTATTTGTTTCTTTAAAATATATTTTAAAATTGAATGTATATTTTATGCGTTAGGTTGTATAAAAATATTAATTGGGCAATAAAAGGATTTAAATCGTTAAAAAAAGATAATTTATAGTATATAATTATAGTGATTAGTGAATAAAAAATTTAAGATTTACTATTTTATATAATACTGATCAATGCTATTAATGTCACTTTATAAAATTGGCGCGCAATTACTACAACTACTTTCCCTAGCTTTGCTACTGGTTAAAACTACTTTCTCAAAAAATAGCGGGCTATAACTATTTCTTAAATATAGCGTCATTGAAGTTACTTAAAAAATTAATTTTATTTTCTTAAAAACTAATAAATTTAATATTACAACTAAAATTCATTGGATTTAATTTTAACTAATAAAAAAAAGGCTTATTCTAATTATTATATTTTTAGGTTTGCATAATTTACATAGTACTAACAGAATGTTTGCATATCTTGGGTTCATTTACTTTTAAATGCAAAATATTCTTGATAACTTTTTTTTTAGCTTTCACCTTTTTTTTCTGGTGGTAAGCTCCTTCAATATCTCTCTCCACTTTATTACTCATGCTATCTCTTTTTATCTAATTTATATCTCTGATATCACACCGGAGTATTCTTATCGATTCCATTTGGATCTATCGCTATCAAGGCCATTGTATCTTGATCTCACACGGAAGTATCAATATCGACAGATATCTCACCGGAATATTCATTCTTATTGATTCCATTGTAAGCTTGATCTCCCACCCGAATATCATTCTTGATGGATCTCCCATCGGTGTATCTTTATCAAGTCCATAGTAGATTGGTAGACATTGTGATTGAACGGTCTCGAGGTCACCTTTATCCTAGAGCTGGCAAAGAGATCGCTATCATCCTTGAATGGCGCCACGAATTCAGCTGGACATCTTTCATTTGGTTTATTGGACATATATCCTAGCACTCGGGTGTCCAAGCCTGTCGGTGACCTGGGTGGCATTTCTCAGCTCTGAAATTCATCTTATCATATGTCTTTACACATCAGTCATCAAAGAAAAACCTAAAATTTTTATAGTTCCTTACCAGGATTGAACCTGGGACCTTCGGTTTTTCCAAGCATAAATTATACACCACTAGGCCACCCCGGAGGCATTCGATAAAATTGAACATTTTTAAATATTTCTGGAGCTAGTTCTACGATTAATTTTGATTTCAATTAATTGATTGCAAATTACATAAGATCTAATCATCAAATCTTGACTTAAACTACTCCTTATTCTAATGGAACGTTGTCGGGCTTTAAAATATAAAAATCTCAAATCTGGTTTTTTATCAAATACAGTATATAAGGCATCGTATATACTAAATCCGAAAAGCGTCTTTCTCCCTTCACTTTCAAAACCCTCTCAGTAGTTTCCACTATAATAATACTCATACTTCATCAAATTAACCAATACCTATCTTATTAAAATACATCAGATACATATATTCCCCCTCTCTCCTACCACTCACGACGGTATCATCAATAACCTAAAATTTCACAAACCTTCATCTAGAATTCCTAAAAGTTCCTGGTCAATAACTTTTCCTTTCTAGATCATTTCAAACATTCCGTTCAGGTTCCATTCCAGTTCCATAAATTTACTTAGAGTTCCTTTCCCGGAAGGTTTCGGAATGATAATATTTTTTAGAAATAACTCAAAAAATAAGTGAGCTACATTTAAATAGCTATTTTAATCAGTATTGATAATCAATTATGCATTATAATCTGTACATTTTAACTTTTATAAAATAGCCCAATTACAAGAATTAAGAAAGGCATCATTGGCCAAAGTGTTATGTCAAAATTCGGATAGCATTACTATAATTCAAAAAAACGTCTTCAGGAAACCTAGTTTCAAGTAAAAAATTAACAATAATTATCCTAAGATATTATTATATATTTTTAAGCAACCCATTATTAACGTGTAAAGACTTACCTGATATTGATTTAGCTGCTTGGAGAGAACGAGGTAATTCTTAAAGATAAAGAACAAAAAATGAGCTCAACTGATCATCTTTTGTTAAATCAAATCCAAAAACTTTATAAAGAATCATAAATAATAATATTAATTTACAAATTTTAGTATAAAGAAACTATAAATATAGGTATTAATATAATATAAAAAGAATACAAAACAAGTATACATTATAACAAATCTTTACAACATAACTAACTTATTCCCACAACATCAGTTACTTTTTTCTCTATTAAATTATTTCTCCCTACATTGTATCCCTTTCGCATTCACCATACCCCAAATCCTTTTAACTTTCTCCACTCCTTTACATAAGATCTAATCATCAAATCTTGATTTAAACTACTCCTTATTCTAATGGAGCGTTGTCGGGCTTTAAAATATAAAAATCTAAAATCTGGTTTTTTATCAGATATAGTATATAAGGCATCGTATATACTAAATCCGAAAAGCGTCTTTCTCCCTTCACTTTCAAAACCCTCTCAGTAGTTTCCACTATAATAATACTCATACTTCATCAAATTAACCAAATATACCTATCTCATTAAAATACATCAGATACATATATTCCCCCTCTCTCCTACCACTCACGACGGTATCATCAATAACCTAAAATTTCACAAACCTTCCATAATCTAGAATTCCTAAAAGTTCCAGGTCAATAACATTTCCTTTCTAGATCATTTCAAACAATTTTTTACCAACCTCTAACCTCCGAATCCATAGATTCTAAAATCTTCCAACAAATCAAAGTTGTAATCATTAATTAGCACACTCATCTTCTCCAACTTTTCCAACTTCTCATAAAATTAAAAAAAAATTCCAGCCATATGTTAAAGGTTAAGATAATTTCAAATAAAATGAATAACTTAAACATCAAATCCGTCATACGTTTACTTGTATCTAAAGATTCTCTTGCAATAAATAATGAGGCAAGATACAATAAACCTGAATTTAAGCATGCTTCTGAAGGTGACCTGATACCGCCTTATATCCGCCTTCTATCACATTCTCAAGTGATTTTTAGCCGAAGTGCGAAAGAGTATTTTAATCTTTTCTCCAGACTATGATAGACTTCGGTCAATCTTCACGAATCCTACAAAACTTAATAAGATTTTATAATAAAATTTCTCATGAGTTTGTTTCCTAATCCATCAGACTACATCTATTTGGCGCCAAACTAATAACCCTCGAAAATTCAAATAGGGTTGTTTGATTAATAATTCTGTGAAACTTATAATATCAAAAATTAAGGACTCTGCAGTCACCATCTTGGCCCCTCATCGACTCGGTATCAGAATTAACATGAAATATCTACTAAGGCTACTCGAATCCATTTCCAATGCAAACTTAGTGACGGAATTATCGTTAAAATTATTTTTCTTGCGTTTTTAATTCTATTCTCCGTTCCCATTTTCTTCTACAAATATATCATTCATTTCACACCTTTTCTCAATTCTTCCACTACTCCTATTCCTTTTTATCTTATCTCCAATTTAAATATCTGATTTCATCATCAGAATTGTTCCAACAAGAATATTCATCGGATTCTATGCTTTTCAGCATAGGTATCAATGAAATGGTCAAAAACATTTCTGCCGATTGCAAACTTCCCCTGCATACCTGGTACAAACTTCCCCTGCATACCTGGTACATAGATAATGAAATCGGGGCCCTTCTAATCAATAAGATCGCAAAGGCACTATCTATCATAAAAACCCACTCCCGAACAATTGGAATTTTCTCTCAATTAGCAGAAAACGGAGGAGGTTAAATATACTGCATGAAGATAATTAATTTCCCCTTTAATCATAACTCATGGCTAAAAGCATAACTTCCAAGCGAATTTAGACACATCGGTTTATAATCATCTCTTATCTTTTTTGTAGTAAGTGTACCCCCCCCCCTTCTTGTCATGCGAACCTCAGATTCGAAAGTTTCCCACTTTGCCTTCACCCCTTTACTTGTAGCCTAGACTATATTTGACATTTCTTTAGGCCTAAACACTCGGGCTACTTCGAAGGCTTCATTGTTGCCTAAAGACAACTTTGTGAGGGCAATCTAACTAATTTTAACCACGTAAAAGGATCTGTGTCTAGAAACCTCTAATCTCGATATGCTCCTCTCCGGCATACCATATGTTAAATATAACTTGAGGATCATCCTGCTATATGATAGTGCAGAAAGTAGATAATCGACTCCTATTAGAGACCTTCATGGGCTAGGTCTGGGTTTTTAAATTTTTTCAATGGGCTTGGGACTAAGATTATTAAATTTAAATTTAGCTTATTTAAAACAGTTGCTAACTTAAAGAAATATTGTTTTTCTTCTAACAATAATAAATTTTCAGTTTTGTAATCAAAATGATTGCCTAAATAAACTTAAATATTGTTTATTTTTATTAAATAAAATAAATTAAATTTTTAGATATGGGTTTGGCCCGGGGTTGGGAAATATTTTTGAAACTTATTATGAACTTGGGAATTTTTTTTTAATATTAGATATGTATCGGGCTAGACTTGGAACTAAAAAAATTTAATGCTGGCCTGGGACGGGCTTGTCAAAATATTAAAGCCCATGAAGGGATCTGCTTCCTATATGCATAGTTATTTTTGATAGCTTATGAATATATATTCAATACAATTATATTTTATGGTTTTTATAGGTATTTTTTTTGTATTAAATTTACAGGTGTTTTTTTTCAATCAATACAAACTAGAAATATAATTTTTATATTGAACCATAATTATAGGATTGATAACACCGAAATCGACGAAGAAGTATTAATAACATTATGAAAAAACTAGTGACTTTTCTGGCCAATTTACAGAGCCTATTTTAAAATGTAAATGAACAATAAAAAGAAAGAACAGAATTCAAATTAAAAAAATATACAAATATTAGCTTCCACAATCTTAGAATTCCCATGCTCTAGATCTTCAAGAAAATTTCAATATTTTTCCATAAAACCTTCAAACATTACTCAAACTTGTAGGTGATAATTATTGATTTTAGACTTGAACCATTTTAATAGGTGAGAATCCCTCATTTATAAAACTGATTAACATTATTCCCACAAAAATGTATTCTGGAAATAAACATTGGTTAGTGGAATTTCCCAAAGATGGGAAATTAGAAAGAATCAGTTAATCAAAATATTTTTAGAACCATCGATCATTATAAGGGGTTTTCATGTGCCCACATTAAGTGAAAAACTATCGGTATTTTTTTAAAAAGGAAATTTACCATATTAATCAAACTTCCACAAAATTTACTGCAATTTTGAAATTTCAGTAAATCTATTACAAACCAAAATTTACTATGAAAGTGAAACCTTCTATATTTTTATTCAAAAATAAATTTTTTGAATATTAATCTATACGTATAATCAACAAAAATTAAACATAAAAATATCTAATTTATGTTGTAATATTTTCCTTTTCGGTTGACAAATAGAAATAAGGAGAGTCATTATTTTTTAATCAGTACGTTTAAGTTTTACCAGGTTTTATTTTATTTATCAAAAAACCATAACTCCAATTTTAGATAAAAGCATACAAAATCAACTACCCATGATTGGATCCGATTGACCCTCAAATGGAGGTATAGGAGCTATGCCTGTACACCATAAAACATAATCAAAATTTCTCCCACAATTCAAATTTTTTACCTGACTCCCACCGAAATTTCAAATTTGAGGAATACATCGCATGATATTTTGACAAAATAAATATTTCACCCAAAATTGGCTGTGAAAATCATTGAATCTATAACTATAAATATTTTTAGGCTAAATAACGTTATCAGTATCTAGCTATTAGCAACTCCGCTGATTATGGCATAGACAAATTTTATATGGAATTTAAAATCTGAGTATTTTTTTCAATAATCTTTTATAAATCGGGGAAATGGATAAAAGCATATATCTTTAAATATTTTTTGTTTTATAAAGATGGTCGGTTGAGCTGATACTTCTTGGATTATATTATAAATTAAATTTTACAATATATGAACGTAATAATTAAATTTTAAATCTTATATAAAAGTTAAAGTGCATTTGTTAAAATTGACTTTAATATTTTAAATTAACGCAGGATCAGGTGATCTGGATCTCGATAGCAAAACTAATTTAATTGAACAAATAGGATTGACAGACTATAATACTACAGAATATAACTTAGTTTGAATTGAATAATTTAAATCATAAAAATGGAATCGTTGAATCATGAATTTTTATTATATGAAAAAATAATTACTGTGATTTTTATAATTATAAATTTGTATTTTGTGCATATCAAATTTTTTAATTGAATAAATTTAAAATATTTTATACCAAAATAAAATACAATTTGTACGAAAAAAATAATTATGAAAAACATTAATGATAATGTAATTACGAATATATCACATCGATTAGTGAAGGTCAACGGTCCGGTCCTATCGGTCTTAACCGGGATCTGACCGGACCGATTGTCGGACCGATCTTTTTTGAGGACCGTGGTCCGGACCGGTCTTTTATTATTTTTTAAGTTTGCTTTACTATCAATTAATATAATTTTTTTTATGATATTTTTCTAGAGGAGTTATTTTAGATTTTGTTAATTTTTATTTTACAATATGAAAACCATAAGTTTGTCCAAGAAACATTTTACTTATAGTCCCAATAAAAAACATAGAGTATATGTTCACTGCAGTACCAAATTTAATGTATCGTCAGCAACTAGTAACAAAATAATTGTTTATAATTTTTTAAGCAATAAATTAATCAAAATAAGCAGTAATTTTTTAAAATATTTTGGTTATTATATAGTTATATTTTTTCTTAAGAAACTGTCAAAAATTACTTAACCTTATTCTTAATAAAATAATTAGGTACCTTGAGCAGAAATCTGATAATACATAAAATATATAATTCTAATGATGAAAATGAAAATATCTCAAAAAACACAATCTACTATTAATTTTAATATGCCCTCCACAAGCACAAAATCATTTTTTTCAATACTATTGGATAAATTTTTTTAATAAATTGATAAAACAAATCAAATTAGGTTAAAAAAAGAAACAAATAAAAAAACCGATCCAGGACAGGTTTTTTTATTTATGACCTCGGTCTGGATCGATCTTTTTCTTAAGGACCGTGGTCCGGTCCGGTTCGATGGTATCGGTCCGGTCCGAACCAAAGACCGGACCGTGACCTTCCCTAACATCGATGTATCATGAATAAAATGCTCAGCGCGTAGCTAGGCGATAGGAAGAGAATTTTAATTAGGTTTTTAGAATTCATTCACTCGACATTTTCACATAATTTTTCTTACATTATGTTATACCAGGGATGCAAAATCTGAACCAACCTCTTTAATTGGCATTAATCGTCATTAATTCCTTCCTAAATCTTTAAATATTCTATCCTCCGAACTTCTAAAAAAAAGTCTGTGAATGAACCAGTTTGAATCTTTTGATATTTTGAATGTTTTAAAGATTATTATTATTCAATTTTACTTTTGATACAACTGATGTCAAGCTCTGTTAAAGTATAATATGTTTAGTTTTTTGGATAAATTACAATATATATAGATAGGTTCCAATCTTTCAAGGTTTCAGCTGCTTCCATAATTCATTGGGAAATTATCTTAAGAAAAATTTGGATATATTATCAGAGGCCCTCTATGGTGTTACAGATTTATTTTATCGGGTCTTGGAGCTTTAACATTTTGTTCGTTGCACTAATTTCTAATACGGAAGAGTCTGAAGATGTGGTAGGTCTTTCATATCTTTCGATGTCATTAAGTTGGATGTTCTTGATTCAAATGTAATTATGCAATAATCAAGCCAAAGTGATATTTGCTCCTCTGGATTGTTTAATATTTTATTATTTACTAATTTTAATATTTGTAGCTTCTTAAAGCAAGACGGTTTACAGAAGTGATTTAATTTATTGAAAGCATCATGTATTCCATTATTCCTCGTGTCATTTTCTATTTCCCTAAATATTGCCATCTATTTCTACTTAACATTTTTTGCATTGATTTACATAATGTCAATAGTTACTACCCAAAGTCAGTGATGAGCTAATAGGTATTTTATTTATTTTTTTGGATCGAAACTTTGGTCATAATTTATATATTTAAAAAATTGTGGTTTTCGGAAAGTCTATAGCCTAGTCGATAAGAGCGTGGCTTGCCAATCCGATAGTTTTGGGTTCGAATCCAGTTTATTATAATTAGGTATAATATATAATCAAGTAATTTGATAGTTTCATCCTAGGAGGGGTGATGATTCCACCACTTGATCTTATTGTATTTTAAAAAATAATTGGACGTTGTTTAGCAAATAGGTCATTTTTTGGAAAATTTCTATATATATTGACTTCACAATATTTAACATTAACGGCAAATGTTTTACATTTTGTGAATCACTACTTTGGTATAAGTTAAAATTCTCGATATTGCGAATCACACTCAATTTACCAACATTCTACAAGGCGACATCGGGCTTAAATTTTTAAATATCCTTGTGAAATAAATTGATATAATTTAATCTTTGCAAAAACAAGGCCATATTTTTGTAGAATATTATTTTTATAATTTAAAATATATTAATTAAAATAAGTAATTTATTTTTTTTGGGTCAAGCCAGGCTTTTCGGGATAAATAAATAAAATTGTTTGGGATAGGACCGGGCCGGAAAAGTTTCTTTTAAAATTCCCCTTTCTTTGTAATTACCAGAAAAGAAATCACAATTTACTTCAAACTTTTTGGATTCCTTTTAATAAAAAATAAAAATGATTGAAGACTGATCTCTCACTTATTGTATCTCAGAATATTAAATCTGCATATTTCTATTTCATGGTAACATGTATAATAATTTAATTGGTTTTTATATCCTTTTGTTAAGACTTGAGACATATAAAGATTAAATTTTTTTAATAATTTTTTTCTTCTATTTTTATGAGTTTATACATTTTAAATATAACACCTTTAGGGGCTTTATATTTATTTATTTCATAAAGGGATGTCGCAAAATATTTTGCAAGACATAATTTAATAATTTTATCTTTGTAATTTTATTTTTGTAATTTTATTTTTGTAATTTTATTTTTGTAATTTTATTTTTGTAATTTTATTTTTGTAATTTTATTTTTGTAATTTTATTTTTGTAATTTTATTTTTGTAATTTTATTTTTATTGGGTATCCTTTATTAATTCTAATAAACTTCAGAAAAAGTAAAATTCAACAGTATCATATGATAAGTGTATAATGTTCGTATTTAATTATAATAATCAAGGTTGGTAAATCATCACATGTGAATACTCTAAAAATTTTATAAATAAATAAATATGGTGATAAAATTTTCTAAATATGTAAAAAATATTTATCAATACATATTTCCATCATGGGAACAATGTAAAGGTTAATTGAAATTAAAAATAAATAACTAATTTTGTTATCACTTTATGATCCTTGATAGAATATGGGAAATATAATTCTAGAATTGTTACGTATTAATTGAACCCCGAATTTCAAAACATTACAAATAGTAAAATAAGCTCTTGACAAAGAATTACTTCATTTCCGCTAATCTCTGATAATAATAAAATTAGCTCATTTGAGATGGGCAATATGTGAAAAGTTATTAATTCACTAAAAAATTATCCAACTTCATTAGAAAATTGTTGGAATAGGTTCATCCCTTGTACAATAAAAAAATTCTTTTCAATATTTAACCCTTAAATTTAATTATAATTAAGACCGAATATTAATCTTTAAAAAAAATTGTGAAACCCTTAAACATAGTTAATTCGAAAACTGAGAAAAATTTTAAGCGGAAAAGGTATTCTTTTTTTTTTCGAAGTACCCTACACCACGAAATGAATCCGAGATTCACATCAGAATGAATTGAAACAATGAAATGAATCGAAATGTTGTAGCAGTGAATAATTTATTTTTGTTCAAATTATCATATAAATAAATTTATACGTTCGTGTTAATTTATTAATTTTTCAACTTTAAATCATTTTTTGAGTTCGTTTTTTAAATTTTAAATATTTTTTCCTGTGTAACATTGATCTGGAATTTTAGGAAGGATGGTAAACCTGGATTTTATATGATTTTAAATATATTCAAAGTACAATTTGAAATTCTTGATGGAGAAAAGGTGGTGATGGACAAAGCCAATCCTCAACTAGTTCTAGATCAACATCTATCCAATCAATATCTCAAGCTGAACCTGTTAATGCAAGGCGAAAAAATTGTTTAATATGGAATCGGTAATAGGAAAAGAAATCCCCGGAAAAAAACCTCCGGAAAAAAAACCCATGAAAAAAATCCTCGGAAAAAAAACTTCTGGAAAAGAACCCCCAGGAAAAAACCCCCGGAAAAAAACCCCATGGAAAAAAATTTATAAAAAAAAAAAGAAAATCTGTCAATTTTCTTAAATTTTTTCTCAATTTATTATTGATGTGTATTAAATTGTTGTTTTTTGTTATTTTTTGTAAAATGTTTATTTTTATTATTATTATATATTTTGAGATTAATTTGAATAGAAAAGGCTGATTTTGATTTTTTACATTACAAAATAAAAGAATAAGAAAAACTCGTTTACTATTAAAATACATTACATAAATGGCGCAGTCTATAAAAAGTCTAACGGATTCAAACCTGTTACAAAGATTGGTACAACTTATTTCAAGAATTTAAAAACACACAACCAAGTTTAACATCATCATAAGAAAAATCTGTTATTAACAACAATAGGGTGTGATACGTACAAAATACTGGTAAATTTATGTGCACCTGATAGTCCGGGAAACAAAGAGGTATTAGAGATACATAATATTGTAATCAAGCATTTTCATCCTAAACCCAATATAATAGTAGAGAGACATAATTTTTATCAATATAATAAACAAAATGATGAAAAACTAATAGACTATATACAAAATCTAAGAAAATTAGCAACGACTTGTGATTTTGGGGAATATTTAAATACTGCATTAAGAGATAAATTTATATTCGGAATAAAAAATCCAAAAATTTTACAAAGATTACTATCCGAAGATGATATTGACATAAATAAAGCTATTCAGATAGCTACTGCAGTAGAAACAGCAATAAAAAATACAAAATTAATACAAAATGATGAAACTAAAATCGATCATTTAGAAGAGTAACATAATGATAATATAAATTAAATTAAAAAAGTTAATAATGATAATGATAAACAAACAAAATCATATAATACTAATGATAATGATAAACAATTAAAATCATATAATAATTATAATGCGAGCTACAAAAAACCAAATCCATGCCACTCCTGTGGCGAAAACCACAGAAGGGAAAATTGTTTTTTCAAGAATGCCCCTTGTTATAAATGCAACAAAATTGGGCACATTGCTCGAGTCTGTATAAAAGAAATAGTGAATTTTATTAATAATAAAACAAAGAATATAATCCAGAATTTTGGGTGGATGTCAAAATAAACAACAGCGATATAAGAATGGAATTGGATACTGGAACTGGAGTCAGTATAATTAACGAAATAGATTGGAAAAATAAACTTAATCATCCTGAATTAACAAATTTCATGCTAAAACTTAAAAGTTATACAGGAACCAATATACCACTATTAGGTCAAACTGTAGTAAAAGTACAATATAAAGGGCGAACATTAGAACTACCTCTCATAATTACAAAAGGATATACTAAAAATCTAATTGGAAGAAATTGGATAATTAAATTTCCCAAAATGACTGAATTACCTGAAAGGACCATACAAATAAATAATATTAATATACAAAATGAATTTCCTCAATTATTTACCAAAGAATTAAGCTGCTTTGAAGATTATAAGGCATAAATATATATGAAAAACGAGAAACCAATTTTCTGTAAATCACGTCCCTTACCATACGCATTAAAAGATAAAGTTGAAGAAGATTTAGATAGATTGCAAAAAATAGGAGTACTAGAGAAAATTAATCATTCACTTTATGCATCACCCATAGTAATTGATCAAAAGAAAGATAAAACATTAAGAATTTGCCGGGATTTTAAAAGAACTTTAAATCAAAATATTAATATTTATTCATATCCATTACCAAGAATCCAAGATTTATTAGCCAATTTGGGAAAAGGAGTGGAATTTTCAATATTGGATCTCTCAGATGCCTATTTTCAAATTTAAGTGGAGAGAGTTTCACTTGTAATCAATACGCATAGAGGATTATTTAAATATACAAGACTACCTTTTGGTATATCGTCTTCTCCAGCAATATTTCAATGAGCCATCGTGAATTTATTAAAAGGTTTTGAAGGAGTAGCTTGTTATTTAGATGATATTATAATAACCGGGAAAAATAGAGAGAAACACGAAACAAATTTAAAAAAGGTACTAAAATGTCTAGATGAAAATGGAATCAGGCTAAAAATAGAAAAATGTAAATTTTTCAAACAAAATGTCTAATACTTAGGACACAGTATTAAAAAACGGAATTACAACTACCGAAAAAAATACTGAGGCAGTAAAAAATGCACCAGAACCAACAAATTTGAAACAATTACAGTCATTTCTAGGATCAGCAACATACTATTCAAAATTTATTTCCAATTTTGCAGCCAAAGCCAAACCATTATACAAATTATTAGAAAAAGCAGTTGTTTGGAAATGGACTAATGAATGCAAAGATGCGTATAAGAAAATAAAGCAACAAATAAGTAGTACTCCAATTTTACAACATTATGATCCAAAATTACCCATTATATTAGCAACAGATGCATCATCTATAGGAATTGGGACAGTAATATCATATATAGAAGGGGGTAAGGAGAGACCAATTGCATTCGCCTCAAGAACACTAAATGCAGCTGAAAAGAATTATAGCCAAATTGAAAGAGAAGCACTTGCCATCATATTCGGGGTTACAAAATTCAAAGAATTTATATATGGAAAAAATTCACATTACAAACATATCACAAGCCATTAATGGTTTTATTTCATCCAAGAAAAGATATACCCACACCACAACATCAACTGCCCGAATACAAAGCTGGGCTTTATTATTAGCCGGTTATCAATATGAAATAGAAGTCAAAAGTAGTAGACAAATAGCAAATGCTGTCATGCTATCCAGATTACCCCTAAAGTGAACTTCAATATCAAAAGAAGAAGCGCCAGATCAAATACAGGTGAGAGAAACACCTTTAAATGCAAGCGAAATTGAAAGAGAAACAATGCGAGATGATATACTTTCTAAAGTATACAGATATACAATAGATGGATGGCCATACAACTATGATGCATGTTTAAAGGAGTATAACCAAAGGAGAGAGGAAATTACAACTGAGAGAGGTTGTTTATTATGGAGAACGAAAATGGTAATACCACAACAATACCGAAACAAACAATGGTAAAATGAAGATGAGAGTACAACAATACGCGTGGTGGTCTAATATAAACCAAGATATAGAAACCTGGGTCGAAAAATGTAGAGAATGTCAGGAACAACCTGATATGCCGACAGCAATTCAAAATTGGCCAAAACCACCAAAAGCATGGCACCGAGTACGTATTGATTATGCTGGACCATTTTAAAATCATTATTAGTTGGTAGTGATAAATGCTAGCAGTCGCTGGCCAGAAATAGTTTCCATGACTAACACTACAACCGAAAGCACGATAAAAATATTAAGAAATATTTTTGCAAGATTCGGATTTCCCAAAATAATCGTTTCTAATAACGGACCCCAATTCAGCAGCAAAGATTTTAATGATTTTTGTGAAAAAAACGATATTCAATTAGTGCACGAAAGTCCTTACCATCCTCAGACAAACGGCATGGCCGAACGTTTAGTTCGAACTTTTAAACAATGAATAAAAGAAACGAGAGGGATTTAGAAACCAGCCTAGCTATTTTTCTCTACAATTACAGAAATACACCAGGAACAGAAACTGAACAAAGTCCCGCTGAAATACTACTAAAATTTAAACTTGAGAATTGTTAGATCAAATTTTCGAACGGGGAAACAAAAGGGAGAAGTTTGAATACCACAATCAAAAATTTCAGATAAATGAAAAAGTTTGGTCGCGCTTTTACAATAATAAAGAAAAAAAAAGAAGCCATTATTAAAGGCATACTCGGATCACAATTATGAAGTAAGTGTAGCGGGTAATACGATTATACGTCATACGCACCAATTAAGGAAAAGAACCGAAAATGTATTAATTGAAGAATACGAATTAGAAGAGAGTACTGAAGTAGAAGAGAAAACCGAAGAGATAGTAAACAAAGAGGATGTAATAAAAAATCCCAATGAAATGAATTCAAAGGAGAGGGAGGAAGAAACAAGTCAAGATCGATATCCCAAAAGGATACGATCGAAACCAGATCGACTGGGGATAAATGATGTGTATTAAATTGTTGTTTTTTGTTATTTTTTGTAAAATGTTTATTTTTATTATGGCTGATTTTGATTTTTTACATTACAAAATAAAAGAATAAGAAAAACTCGTTTACTATTAAAATACATTACAATTATCTTCTTCTAATTTTTGAAGTCGTTGTTAATCTTTATTTTTCTAACCTTTTCTCAATTTTTTTCTTCTCAATTTTCACTTAATTTTTTTAGTATAACCTAGCAATAATTAATATTGATAAATAATTTTATAAGCGAATGCCACAATCATTAACAGCTATTAGACTCAAAAAAAAACACAAAATATTTACGAAAAAATATTCGAAGTAATAATGTCTAAATGTCAAGAACGAGATTTATTTCCTGATCCATTATATATACTCGAAAAGTCTGCTATGAGCGCGGTTAAAACTGTCATTGTTATGATTATTAATATGTTAAATTATTTATATTCGTTTTTTCAATTATGAGATCACATTATAATCAGAGGATGCCTTTACCATTTGTGTCAAAGTACCCATAAAAAAATTTAAAAGCTAGTTCTGGAAAGCCAATACAGAATCGATGAAGCCCTAAGCTTCTTTTGTGGCATGATGGACAGCTTAGCATTTGTTCCTTTATGTGATATGGGCAATGCAATGGCATTCCTTAGATCGGGTACTCCGAGCAATAGTAAGGATATTCTTGAATATTTCGATAAAAATTACATCAATGGAGTATCAAGAGGTCACAAGAAGCAATTCTCAATCCCAGACAGGTCGAAATATTCTCCAGAAACTTGAATCAGAGCACTCTATTTAACTAATAACTCATAAATAATCAATGCGAAGATTCGAATCATTGTTTTTCTAATCTGGTTGGGAATAAGCACCCACCAATCTGGGTATTGATTAAAAAAAATGAAATGCGAGGTGGCTGCTGATGAAACCAAACTTGAACGATGGCGTGTAGGTAGTTGGACACTGAAAACAAAATCGCATTGCTTAAACAAGAAAAAATGCTGATATTGAAATTGGTACTGGGAAAAAAATATCACAGTAAAATAACCCATGTATTACTTATTTTCGTAAAAATTTTTTGCTATTATTAAATCGATTAAAGTTTAAAAAACGATAATGAATTTTATTTGTAATTCTTTTTTATATATACATTTATATAATTATCCAATTTAATTTCTAATAATATGCATTTTGATTAACCTCGATAATATAATATTACATGTTGGAAAGTTATAATATAATATACAAATAATGTCCTTTTAAAATATATAACGTGACCTTTTAAAATATATCTTAACCTTTACAATAATAAATATTCAGATGTAACATATCTTCTTTCCCACCAAGTTGAGATCGTCTACCAATCTTTTTATTTACCAAGTTCAAGTTCATCTATTAATTTTTTTTGTTGGCTTTAGTTCCCTTGTTGGACAACCCGTTTGCCTTCCTTTTTGACTTGGTTCAATTGTTATTATTGATTTGATCTCGTCTGGTTCTTCCCTTATTCGTAGTTGGTCGGGATGTTTTAATACGGTTTTGTACGTTTATTTTTTTCTTCTTCTCTTTTCCAGAATTGTGATGGCGATTCTAGTTTTTCGACCAATTGTTCCCACCATCACTGTTTTATTTTCGCTTGTTATTTTATCATCATTTATCTGTAGATCTATAGCGATTTTTGCGATTCGTTGGTAGAATCATTATCAATCGTAGTTCACCTAAAGTTTCACGTACCACTACCACTGGAGTACTCCAGGTTACTCTATATAGTTTGTCAATATTCACGTTACCATTATCATTATTGTCAAAACAACCTTATATTCTATTATTTTCTAATCAACACCCTTTTTAATATATATATATATATTTATGTTTTGTTTCTTTTTTTTTTGTTTTTACTTACTTCAAATTTAACGCGGTAGTCTTTTTGTTTTTTCTTTATTTTTTTTCTTTTCAAAACAACAAGTACAACAAAAATTTAATTAATTGTTTTTCCTTTTTTTTCTTCAATTATATATTTATTTTTCACCACATCATCGTTATTCATCAAAATAAAAAAAATAATTTACACAAAAAAATAACAATAATTTATATAAAAAATAATAATAATAATTTATAACAAAAAAATATTAATTTACAAAAATAACCATTACTTTTTGCGTTCATCCTTGACACGCCCCCCTTCAACATAATCGATCCTCAGGCTATTCCTCCCAGAGGCTACCCCACTCCGACTCCTCCACCATAACCTCCAGCCATTCTCCTAGCTCATCCACATCATCCAACGCCGCCACTAGATCTTTCCATTCTTCCGTTCCCATTACTCCTGTATTATCCCCTACCCGCTCTGCCTCCACGGTAATATCCTCCCTCGTAACACCACTCGGACCCTCACTCTCGTAAGTCAGATCAACCACCGGCCACATCCTTGGCTCCCCGCTGGCTGCTCCCATACGATGCTCGAGCCGCTCCCCTTCTTCCAATCTCCTTGTTACCAGGACTTCGGCGACCGGTCTGGATTCATCGCTTGTCCCTTGCACTCGCTTCGTTCGCTGCCCTAAAACAGCCGCTATCTGCCTCGTAGGTACTTCCTTCACCCTTGGGCAAATTTGTTGCCATGTTCGATTTTCCTCCGTCCTTCTCCAATTCCAATGGCAGCTATATTGAATATGACCTCGCTCTTGACATCGATAACATCGTCTTTCTTCCATCGCTTGTCTTATTATACTTCGTTCGCTTCTCCGTCCCCTCCCATACTCTGGCGCTTAGTCCTACGAGGCCGCATCCCGAGTATTATTTCATAGTTCCACAGATCCAGCTTCTATGCCACCCCGGAGCATGATTCGAATCCATTTTGATTACAAACCTAAACATATTCTATACTTTATATCTTTATAAAATACATACTTCGTACGGAATTCCTCTTTTATAAGTCAAAGTAATCACCAAATTTATTTAATTACCAAAAATAATTATAACTTTTAATGAAAAAAATTTTCTTCTAAAAAAAATTTCCTCTCTCCTTTTTTTTCTTTTGGCCCACTGCCTCCTAAGCCTATGCTTTGCACGCCGAGTAATTAATTATTTTTTCATCAAATAATTTGGGACTACGCCCTTTTCCCATCTCTAACATCTTCAATTTTCCTTTCCAATAATATGATCCCACACAACATATCGTTCCAACTCTTTTGACATTTTAATTATCACAAAAAAATTTACACTTGTTCCCTTCGACAAAAATTTGACTATAAAAATTTACATTTGTTCCCTTCGACACAATTTGACTATCCAAAATAATTATACAGCGCTATATATTTTTTTTTCGTCATTTTAATCATAAGTGATTTAGTTTAGGATTGCATAAAGTCAAATAGAGCGAATATAAAGTAAAAGTTAAAAATAAATCGTTGGGATACTAGGGGAATATAAGAATAGAAAATGATACATTTGTAATTTGATATAATAATAGGGGAATATAAGAATAAAAATTTCAATTTTTATTATTTGAAGAGATTAATTCATAATATTCCAAAAACGGTTACGTTTCAGGTTCTATATGTCCTTTTATTCTTGCAATTATTATTACCTTTCTTCTTCTATATACTACTCTCTATCTTCACATACGTTGACTTCCCCTTTCCCTACTGACTCGATCTAAGTCCTTTGATCTGACCTAAGTCTTCCGGGGTCCATTCCTCTCTTTAACTGATCCCCGTGCCCCCCCCAAAGCCAAAATGCAGATGCCGGACATATTTTTCAAAAATATTATTTTTTATATTTTTATATTTTATTATAATTATTCATATCTATTTATTTTTAAATTTTTATATTATTACCTTTTTCATTTACTAATTTACTTTATCAATTAATTTCGTTTTCAAGTTTTCCTTGTGGCGTAATATTTATCTATTATTTTTAAATTTCCCGGTATTATAATTTTCAAATTTCTAGTCATGGATATTAGACTTTTTTTTAAAAACGCTGAAGGTGAAAATCATGCCAAAAAGCAAAAAAGTATAGTATGATATTAATAAACAAAAGCTGTGAACTTATGATTTCCTCAAAAGAATCAATTCAAAAGGGGGATATGATTCCCATTTCATCAATAATTGATAAAAATAGGGTTAAAATTGCAAAAGAAAATAGAGGCAAGATAAAACTAACTATTGAGGCTATTTTATATTGTGGCTTGCAAGGCCTAGCACTTCATGGCCACAAGGATTCAGGAAGCTTTAATTTTAATAATAATGATAACGAAGGTAATTTCCGTGGACTTTTAAAATTTAAAGCATTAGGAGATCCTGTATTAATGGAGAGCCTCATTAGTACCAATAAAAATGCTACTTATCTCAGCTATAGGATATAAAATGAGATAATTGATATTTGCAACAATATCATTTTAGAAAAATTGATTGTTGAAATCAATTCTGCCCCATGCTTCTCAATTTTGGCAGATGAGACCACAGACATTGCTGGCATTGAGCAGATGTCGTTGTGTGCGCGATATGTAGATACTCATAAAAACATTATCAAACAACTATTTTATGTAATACTTTTCAAAAACCTGATATTGATTTGATTGAGATGATGAGAATAGCAGAGACAATTTTATTAGAACTCAAAGAAATTAGAGCTAATGCTGATGAGGAATTTCATATTTTATATGTTAATGTTGAATCAAAAGCAGAGCTATACGAGTTCAATATTTGCCCTCGACTTACAGTAAGGCAAACTTATCGTCCAAATATTAATATAGGGTCATTAGAAGAATATTATAAAATAAATGTCTTTATACCTCTTTTGGATACATTTATAACCCAAGTAAATGAAAGGTTTTTAATTTATCAAGAAACACTTATCAATCTGCAGATATTACTTCCGCAAAAGCCCTCTGAACCTTTTTCAGATGGTGATAGAAAAAAAATAAAATATTTGGAAGATTTTTATCATGAAGACATTAATGTATCTCATGATGCTTTATTAGCTGAATGCCAACTATGGTATAAAAGATTAACTATGGTTGATATAGTCCCAAAAAATGCTATGATGCTTTGCATCATTTCAAACATCTTTTTGATTATTTTCCCAATATATTGAAATTATTATATATATTAGCAACTCTTCCCATTAGTACTGCAACTAATGAGAGAACATTCTCTTCTTTAAGAATAAAAACGTACCTAAGAAGTACAACTTCTGAAAGTAGGTTGAATGGTCTGGCCCTTTTGAATATTCATAGGCATTTGACGCCAAACACGGATGAGATAATTGAAAAATTAGCTCCCTCCCAACTAAGATTGGATTTTACATTATAAAAATATAATGTTTCTATAATATTTTTTGTGCTATCATTTTTTAATGTCTTATATATTTTTATTTTACATAAAAAATATAATTATTCATATTTCCAACATTTAGATTTTTTATACTTTATATATAAATTTTAAAAGCTCAAAAAAATTTAAATTTCTATTATGGATTATTTATTTTATAGTCATCATATCCTGGTTATATCCACTTAATATTTTATAATTCAGATTTATTTAAAGTATTTATATGCCGCCGGTTATATTCGTTTAATATTTTTTAAATCAAATTTATTTTTATATATCGGTTTATATATTTAATTTTTTATAATTCATATTAATTTAAATTTGTATATTAGAAATAGTTATTAGTCCTAATAAATTTATGCTTGATATTTTTAAATAACAATATTTTATTTTAAAAAATTTTAATTATCCCCCCCCCCCTTCCCCCACCAAATTCCTGCGTACGCTACTGTATTAATGTTATATAATATTTTAATTATTTATTTCAAATTTCATAATATATTTGTTTATTACTTTATAGATTTATAGATTTATATAAAAGTGATTTAACAATAAAAATATTTTATATACTTGTAGAATTGCAATTAAATTGAATATAAAATATAACTGATCATTATAATATTCAAATGACATAAGTTACGGTAGAGTTAAATTATAGATGTTATACTAATAAAAAGTATATTAAAAATTAAAATCATTGGTATCTCTACAGAATACAAAATTAGATATGATATCGGATCGGTAATCGGCCGATATCAATTTAATATCGAGAATATCGGATCGGATCGGCCTCCAAAAAAGGGTATCGGTACACCCCTACTAACAAATATTGAAACCATAATATCAACCATATTATTTCCTAGATTAGAAGTGAATTTTTTGAACAATTACCTGTGTCATATAACATAGATACAACAAATCTATTACAAAAATTTAAGGGTATATATAATGAAAGTACAATATAATATCGAAATCGATACAACAACAGTTAATCCAATAGTAAAAACAAATATGCATAAAAGTTTTAAACAAAATTTCACCTCATCAATATGTGAGGTTGATGAATTAAGAATCACGTCTAATAAGAGCCCGCTAGAATGGTGGAGATTGCATAGGAATCGTTTTCCCGTGTTGACGAAAATGGCAACTAATATATTGTCCATTCAGGGATCTTCTGCTTCATGTGAGCGGTTATTCTCAGGTACAAATATGATAATGATGAATAGAATGACTTTGAAGGAAGAAACCATTAGAAAGACTTTAGGCTTGAAAAACTGGTTATTGTCAAATTCGGATCTAGCATATTATATTTTTTCTGTATTATATTTTGATGTTTATAAAATGAGATAGTTGTACATTTTTAAAAAATTTTAATAAAATTTAAATATTAGATTGAAGAAACAATTTAGACGACAATATTAATCTTAACTTAATTAAAACATATTTTTTACCAGATAAATGTTTACTTTCATCCGTTTGCAGATAATACGTGGAGGCAGTTTTTAAATCTTTTATCATTCATCGGCGCGCCAAATTAGCCAAAGCCTCATGAATTGGCTTGTGAGGTGCTACATATTTTAAAAATGAATTTAACTTATAATTCGATATATAATTTTTAAATTTATTTGGACATTTTTACTTCTAACATTGATAATATAGTTTAATTCATTCATTTCCTGTCCAGTCTCTATATAAATTTAAGTATTTATTATACTCTGAAATAGATTAAGAAATCGTCTTTACTCACATCAGAGACATACATCATCAGTAATATTCTATCGATTTTGTTAAAACTTTGGAACGCTAATAAAATATAAAGTAAGAAATATAAATAAATTAGAAATTAATAGTTAAACTATAATTGTCGTAGATAAATATTATTTCGTAGAAATTGATAAGGAATAAAGAGATTCTTTTGGTATTGAATATGAATCCAGCGATGGATTCTTTTGATAGGTGTAGTAATTACAGGTATACAAAGTATTTTTCTAGCTAAGTTATCGAATCTACGGAGTTTCAGTAGCTTTTCCCATAAAATGTCAGTGAATCCTTATAGTATAATAAACAATATATTCTTGCTCTAGATTGCTAGTGTTTTATTATAATCTTGGCTTGAAATGGAACGTTTATGAGATTTTATACCTATACAATATGAATTGAATGTTTGTTCATCTTCAACTTGATCACTCTCTACATTTGTATCATGTTCTATAAGTTTTAAATATAGAATTAAAAATTACAAGGATTCCCTAGTATAAAAATTAAGATATTCTGAATCAGTCATAAGATATAAAATTTGAGATCAAAAAGCCTAATGTTTAAAAAATATATATATTATAAAATAAATTACTTGCAGTTTGAAATTGAAAACATGTAGTCAAGCTTTTTAAATTTTCTTTTAAACAAATCTTACTTTAAGATATATTGATTTGCAATATTTATTTCTATTTCCAGATGAAATAATTAACCTAAATTAATTGATGATCCATTTTGGGGGAAATAAATTCAACAGACTCTATGAATAAATTTAGTAATGCTAATAGTTCCTCAACATTCATATTTTAAAACAATAATTTAATAATAAATATAATTAAATAGCATTTTAAATTGAACACAATACTTCGGAATCCAGTCAACTTTTATTTTGGAAAATGCTCCTATTAATAATTGGCAACTGCAAAATCGTTGACCACTTAATTCAAACAAAGTGACAACGTAAAATATCTGAGCAAGATGTCAAAACAAAATATTGATATAAGATTGAATACAAAGAATAAGATACTATAAAGCATTTATTTAATATATGATAAGATTTTTTTTGTTCTTGCAATCTCGTGATATGACTGAATAAATGGGATCGATGGGAAAGGAAGGTTTAAAAACACTGATAGATTATTTGGAACCGTATAAGGTTGCAACTGATGCTCTTGAGGGCGACTGCAGGCCTACCAAAACGTTTTTATATGGTATGAAAATTAATATTTTAGAATTTATGCCAATTTTTTCTTTATTTATAAAAATTTTAGGTATTATCTTCTTCTATAGGAACATAATCAAATAAATATGGATATAATGGAGAGAAATAGCAAAGAAGTAATAGATTTAATAAAGAAAAGAGCTAAAAAGTTTATAATTAAAAAATTTGAAATTCATGGATAAATGAGGATGTTGTCGTCGGAAGAAATTAATGAAGTAAAAAAACATATTGAAAACATATTGGATTTGATTATAACATTGACTTGGATGAAAATCTAATTTCACCCGTTTCCCCAAAAGCAAAGAGAATCCAATTAAAGGGTATCACTAAATTATAAAATTTAACTTAGCTACTTATTAAATGTAATGTTTGAAATAAATAGCATCCTCGTCAAATAGCATCCTCGTCAATAGTATCCTCGTCAATAGCATCCTCGTCAAATAGCATCCTCGTCAGAATTAAACTTCAACAGATATGAGGATGAGGTTGTTGTGGAGAATATCGTACCTAATGCATAACAAAACATTTAAATGTTAAAATAAACCAGTTTTGATATGTATAATTATCAAAATTTTAAGCTGCATATTACATTTAATTTAAATTTTAAATTACTTTTTGAAATTTATTACTACTGGTTTCACTATTTAAAGATCTCGCTTGAGGAAGAGGATATACTTCAAACGTATATCCTACTTTGGTTGAAACGACAGAAAGAGATTTGCCAATATGAAGATTAGCAAGAAAAATATTCGAGGATTTATCATTTTAGGAAGTTTTTAGAACACAGAAGAACATGTATAAATCCAGAAAATGTAGATTCATCATTATTTTTGCATATAATATCAATTATATATATATCTTTTCAGAAATATTTTATTTGATCAAATAATTTTTTTTTTTTTTTTTTTTTTTTAAGGGTAAATTCTCTCTTTATTTCAATAGTTGCTGATATAATATGTTATCAAAAGTTTATAGCAAATAATAAATTTTTTTATATGGTAAAATTAATAAAGGTAAAAAAATATAAAAATATAATTTGCGAAAGGGTAAGGGATAAAAGAATGGAAACTAGGAAAGAGAAGGGAGAAAGAGAGCATAGACATAGGAGATTATTCAATGGAAGAGAAACTTAGGTAGTTAGAGCGAATAATGGCGGTAGCAAGTCTTTGTCGTAAAAAAAGGGACTCTTTAGGCTGATCGGTTTTTTCCCGAATCCGTTTGCCTAATTCTTTAAAAAAACTTAGAGCTTTGCTACCGAAGGTGGTAAGAGTAGAGCAGGCGATAGGTATGAATAAGAAAGAGGGGTCTATGGAACTATATTTGATAGTTTTACGAGTTTCTGCTAGAGCGAGGGCATCGACGTTGTGGTTGGATGGTGCATTTGGGTCAATGCAGGTGAAGTCCCAGACTAGTAGCTGGCCCCTTGACCAAGGAATCAAGGACATTCCATCAGGACGTTTTCCGTCGGATCTAAAAATGCCGGTCGGTTCAAGTCTTGATGGAATGCCTGCGGATTTGAGAGCGCGCAATATGATGTCATTGCAATTGGTGTGCCGTGGAAAACGGCCTCGGCAAAAGCGGCAATGGAGGCAATGTCTGCCCTTGCGATCGACGCTGGTTTCGCAATGTTTGCATTAGTACGGTAAAACAATTTCGCAATTGAGCCGTAATCCAATGGCAAATCTTAGCTCGTCAGCGGTCAGCAACAAGTCGAGGTTGTTGGAATAAATTATCCATATTTTAAATTGAATATATTTTTGTGCCTAATATAGTAATTTCCAATTTTAAAACTTTTTCTAGAGGTGTAATGCTGAAATTTTTTATTAGATGCTTAAAAAATTGAAAGAATGGCTATAATTAAATTTTATAATAGCGGGTTTGGGTTAAAAAATTTATATAAATAATGGGCGGGCAGGTAAACAATTTTAGACTAAAGGGCGGGCGGGAGGGTTTTTTGAAAACTATGGGGGGCGGGTGGTGTGCGGGTTATAATTTTTTAAAACATTGGGCGGGCTTATGGTCCAAAAATCCGCCCAATGCAAACCTTTAATCGTATTTTTGGAAAATACTGCCATAATATGCTCTTTTACAAATAAAAAAGTGATGAGGATAAATAAAATCACAATATTTTAGTTTATGATTTTATTCATTTTTAATGTGCGTTACTCATTTATGAATAAAATTTAATAATGTATATATGCTTTTAGTGTTCATTGCGAAAAGTTATCAAATAAGTTTAGGCAGGCATATAGTGTTTTTTAAGGGGCCGCCAAATTATTTTTTGCCCTGGACCACCAAGTCTCAGGTTGGCGTGGGGTGGAGAGTAACATTAATGACAAAACTAAAATTTGAACAGACTAATTGTGATAATTGCAACTATATATATTTGATAATCTCAAATTTTTTTATTTATTCAAAAATACATTGCATAATTTTATGGAAGTTGGGCTAGCCTGGCTGAGGAGAGATGTGCCATATGAGAACACTTAATATTTTATATTTGAGCAAAAGGTATTTTTTAATAGACCAGAATCAAATTTTTTGACTGTTTAGTATATGATGTAATTATGAGTGCTTAGAAAGAACGCTATTGATTATTGTGATTGATAAAAAATTTAGATGTTACATGTTACATTAATAATTCAGCTACAATCAATTAGATTTAATTATTTTTCAGTAAAAATTATTTTTAGCATATAATATGAATAATATATATACTTGATTAAACTATGTCCTAATCTCAAAACAGCAGCAGCAAACGAATAAGCAACATCTATATTTTCATTATAACCTGAAAAATATCCTGTATCTGCCAATTCTAATTTATGTTTTTGAATTTCTATCGGTCCAAGCAAGATGAATAGCCATTCCTTATAAGTGATATGTTGAAAAATTGCTCCAAGAATTTTTCTTGTTGTTTGAACTTTTTAGTTATTAACCTAGGATTTGGTAATGCTTCTCGATTTTTAGCAATTCGAGGATTATTAAGTCCTTAATAAAAAATCAGATTATTTTAGAAATAGGTAGTCTAGTTATGTAGGACTAAATTTTATTTTATGTTAAAACAAAATCTATATAACCATCGCCATAATCGGGCTCAATAAGTCCTTTGTGGGGCATATTTGACATTCCCCAATGTTTAGTCTTTATATTATTGCAGAATCCATCCAATTCCCGTTCATATTTATTACATGTGTGAATTCGCAGATGTTTTTCAATTTTACATTTTCGAGCTAAAGTCGTACTAGATATATTAAGGGATAATAAATAGGGCCCTATCTCATATTTATTTAGTTTCCCTCTAAATTAAAGTAAAAATTATGAGAAAGAAACAAATATTATTTACTTAAGAAGGGCTTTCATATGGTTTGCAACAAAAGAATATTCTAGAGCAATCTCTCCATATATAGTAAATGGTGTCAGAGGGTATGTGAATTCTCTAATTGTTAAATCTCTGATACCTTGTTGCATAAAAAGGGAAATGGGAGTATAATATTAAAAAAATACTTTTATCGTATACCAAACTAGTAAAATGATCTCGTATCAGATTATTGAACGATGCCCCTTTGGCTATAGCTTCATCAATATCGGATGGGTTTAGATGGACACAAAATGTAACCGATTTTAAACATAATAACACTATAAATAATTTGTGGTAATGCTGACTAACCATGTCAATAAATCAAATAGAAAAACAGTACAATCGTATAATAACGTGCAATATTTGACCAATTTTTTTATATTTTTTTATATTTTATTATCAAATATTATTTATGGCCTTTGAAATTTATTTTACTAAAAGCCAATTTATGACACTTTTTATATCTAGATAACTAACATTATTATATGACGAAATAGAATTCTCTAAAATTTCGAAATAGGTTTTCCTGTTCTAATTTGTGAAAAGTGGGGTTCTGATTTCTAAATTTGACACGGTTGAGAGGGTTCCTGTTCTAAACTATATTAAAGCAATCAAAATAAAATTCAAAATATTTAAACAATAAAAGAACCCTTTAAAATTAACATACATTATAAACGATATAATATTGATTACTCACACTTTTGTTAGAACCGGTTTCTGAAAATTTAAAAATGAGTTTTGGTTTTTATAAATCATACTGATAATATATAATTTTTTATTTGATTAAAATGTTTTTTGAGCATACCAAAATTTTGAAAGAGGATCTTTTATAATGCTTAGATGCTAAATGTTAAGTGCCAGCAAAGCAATGCCTCATTAAAATCTAAGTAATACACTAAATTTGAATTGAATGATATAATTTATTTTAATTGAATATGGCCCTAATGAGTCTATATTTTCATATAAATTGGGATATTAAAACTTTTGGTTCTAAAAAGTTTATTCGAATAATAGAAAATATTATGGAAAGGAAAAAATTATTTGGAAAGTTTTTTTTTCTAGATATCGATTTATTAGAGAGATAGAGATAATTTAAAAAAAAATCGTATAAAAAATAGTTTACAGTGCTGGTTAGTGGGTTCTGATAATTAAACGATACCTAGTCTGACTACTTAATTCTATCCAGGGATCTATTACAAGGGGAAGGGGATAGATCATCATTGAAATTGATAAGGTGTAAAATAAAAGTTTAGAGGCCATTTTGAAAAGTCATTAAAATATAATACAAATAATTAAATTTAATTTTTCTTATTCCGTTATAATTATTTTTCCTGATTTCCTAAGTGTTATTTATAATTGTGACGTTTACTAGTTTTCCTTTTTAAATATTTTTTAGAAAGTTTTTGTCACTGTCTCTTCTTTATGTTCAGCAACTCGATATAAATAATATATGAGAATCTTGTGACATTTTAGCCAAAAAATAACAGAACTAGTTAATTTTTTGGAATACTTTTCAAGTTATTTTAAAAAATTTACACATATATTCACTATCTTTATATGATGATTTTCCAAATTTAAAATTACTGCTTAATAAATATAATGTCTCATCTAAGGCTCCTGAGCAAAGCTTTCCTTAGTCTTGTTTTGAAGAAAAACTGGCACATCTTTTTGACACCAACTTTGAAAATATTTTTTTGTCAATAAAATAAAATAAATATTTATTTCGCTCTAACCAAATTTCTATGAAAAATAAATATTATATATTTTTTCGGAGCAAAATAAATATTTATCATGCAATTTTTTTAATTAAATTTTATTTATTTTTCTTCTTAATTTCTCGAATTAAAATTTTCAAATGACAGAATTATTTTGTATAATAAAAAGATTGACAAAACAAAAAAATAACATATTTTAAACAGACTAATATAAATGACTAACTATTTATACGATAGATAAGAGGCTGCATGGAGCCATGGATAAGAAATTTGAACGCCAAATTTCTAAGCAAATGTTCTAGCGAATAATAAAATATTTATTAAGATCGCCCATGTGATGGTAATTTTTCTTTGAATATCCTACAGGAAAGAAAGAGCTTTGTGGATTATATAAAAAAGGCTTTACATAAAAATTTTCTAAAGTAACTTTCAATGTAACTAGTTACTTTTTAAATATAACCGTAATAAGCTACAACTGATTTTAGAAAATATAGCTAATGACTGTAACCAGTTACTTTTTAAGAACGTAACTTGTAATTATTAACTTTAAAAAGTAACTTTAAACAATACTAATAATAAGGGATAATTACTTACATACTATATTTTTTAAAGAAAAAGGAATAAATTATTTAAAATCATAGAGCTATATTTAATAGCAACCCCCTCCCCCCTTCCAAAATGATATGATATTAAACTAGTAATTAGTTTTAAAATTTTTAATAGAATTAATTTTTCATATAGACGAAATGTGCAAATTTTCAAAAAAATCCTATTGTCCCAGCTAGTGTTGTTAAACAGTTCGATTTGAGCCGATTTTTAAAAACTAACTCAATATTTTATTCAGAATAATGTTACGCAAGCATGAAGATTTTGCTCATAGATGGCACAAAGGTCTAGACATAAATTAGCAAAATTTCGAGGCTTAGACAACATTTTTCTGGCTAAAATATTGAGCCGTTTTTAAAAATCGGCTCAAAACGAGCCGTTTAATAACACTTCCAGCCCTCTTATAAGCAAAAATTCTTGATTATATCCCTGAAAATTTTTTAAAGTATCTAATGGACTTCACCATAGAACTTTCATATATAAATGATAAGATTACTATAACTTGGTTAATTAATTTGGGCTCTCGATAATATGATCCCATAAGATCATCCAATTAGGCAAAAAATCAGAAGTTACAGTAATAAAAGTTTTTTTGAATTTGTATAAATTATTACAATTAAAAAAATAAGTATGAAGATATTTTTTGATAAATATTAAAAATACTATACTATAAATTTTATTACCTTTTTCTCAAAGGAAGTTAGAATCACTCTATAAAAAGGTATCAGAAATCTAAAATTTTAGCATATTCAAAACTAAATAAGAGACGAAAATAAAAATTTTAGTTATTTGCAAAATATATTTTTTTTATGAAATACTTTTACGACATTTTTTTTAAATAAAAAATTAATATAAATGTCCTAAAGGTGCTATGTTGAGAAATATAATGAATTCATAAAAAAAATCAAATAATCTATAAAATTATTTACTATATTTTTTTATAAAAATGTAACCTTTTTTCCGTATAAATTTTGTAACAAAGGGATATAAAAGCTAATTACAGGATATAGCCATGAAAGAGAAATATGCAGATTTCATATTTTGTAAATGTTATTGGAGACAGGCACTCGGATGGGGGTGGGCTATGATGCAATATCGTTATTGAAATTGAAGGGGGGGGTTGTGAAAACTCGGGAAGTTTGGTATGGAGAGAAATGCATTTACTGGGTAGAAGGTATGCTAATTGATTTCCTTTTTTTTCTAACTTTTATCTGGATTTTCTTTCTTATATTCCTAATTTATTTAGATTAGAGACCTATAAAATCTAAAATTTTGACCTGAAGTCTGGGGGCAAAATTTTTTTAAAGGCCCTGCCCATGGCCCTTTGGAGCCCATACCCCATAGATAAAGAACTCAAATTCAAAATATTTATTATATCTCTATTTTAATGTTATGCATTAAATTTAAATATTCCTTAAATACTTTGGTGATGTGTTTTATTCTATATTGCAAAATTCTAAGAAATTGGATATTGAACATTTCCTTATGATCTTTTAAAAAATTTTTTTAGTTTTTTTATAATTGTTATATTATGTTAAAAAGGATAGGAAGGAATGTAATATTAATATTTTTCGTGTTGATGTTACCGCCAGCCTCTTTCTATTTGGTACATATAATCAGTGATATATCAATAAGTCGCCTTCTAATTGCGTACAATTTTATTCAATTTACATTATTTCTTAAAATATGCTAAAATTTAATAAATTTTATGATAAAATTTACCTATATTTTCATTTTCGAGAAGGGTTGGGTCGAGAATATAGGATTAATTTTATATTCGGGTTGGGTTTAATAAAAATTTTCAGATTAGTTTGGGTCTAAAAACCCACTTCTTCCTACAGTTCGGGTAGAAAAATTTTTTCCCACATCTCTAACAGGGGGTAATATAGTTTGGCTGGGTGTAGAAGTGCCTGGTAGAATAATTATTTTAAAAAAAACAAAAGCAATGCATTGTTATTAAAATACAAGAATTCATCTTAAATAAAATATTAATTAAGGGTTCTCTGATGGCTAATTTGCAGCTTACTACTAACCCAGAAGGGGAGGGAGAGTTCAACAAGGTAAAATAATGATAGTATCAGATGTTACAAAGAAATAAAATTTACATCTTGTTGTTACATAATTTTAAAAGTAGCAAATAATATATACCTAAGGTTAAAAAAGACAGAATATTTGGAGTCATGATACTAGAAACCAGGATTGACAAGGAGCCAAGTGAAAGGCATATAAGATAGTTTCAAATATTTTGAAATACCACATAGGTGATTTAGATAAGGAAATAAGGAATGAATAGCCAATGGATAAAACGGCGAGATATGAGTGTGATAATTAATATTATTAAATTGGAAAAGTAAATTATATAAATCCAACCTTTAATAATATCCATTTCAAATAGTAGTTAAATTTTAAACAAACTTTAGATTTTAAGTGTTATCCGAATAAAAATTTGTTGTTTATTTTGAGAGTTTAAAGAAAGCTGGGGCTAGATGACAAGGAATTTGTTCTTTTGCTCTATTTTGTTCTTAATCATAAGCTAAACAAATATTTAAAATCTATCTATGAATTATAATAATTTCCGAAATATCTACCTATCATAATATAGAATGCTCTAAATTTGTTAGTGGTGACAAATTTCAAGATTTATGCCCTGGGTAATACAGTCAATATAATTTGTGATTGAATAGAACTATTTAAAAAAATATATATGCTAGGGGAGAGAGTACGATGCTATTAATCATTATGTAAATTAAAAGACAAAGTTAAAATTATTAAAACAATTTTAATAATTATTAAAACAATTTTAATAATATGAGTTAAATGAATAATTCAAGAGGTGTAATGTTTAGAACATAATTTTTAATCTTTGATATTGGCATAGATGATAATCTTTATTGCCCCATTTTGTTTCTTGTAAGATTAAATTCCTTTAAGTGCACTATGTAGTAAGTATTATTTTTATAAGTATGATTATATTATATTATGTTTTATGTTAAAGTCCTGCGATAAGATTTTATAATATCGGCAAGGAATATATGTTTATTTTCGTCTGATTATTTTGAAATATTAGTTAAAATACTTATTATATAATTGCATTTTTTTCTATGAAATTTAAGGATAGGGGGCATAATGTTTATTATATTGATTTTATTATTATTATCAGCATATATAAGTTTTAACTCTCAAATTATTTAGGCAGTTATTATTTTTTTAAATTCGTGATTGGTAACTCTATTCAAATATTTTCGTACCCATATTGATCAAAGTTATAAATTACCACCCTTTTTACTTATAATAATAATCATTATCATAAATATTAAACTTTTCATAATGTTCATACAAAATATTTAAAGGAAAATGTTTTATAATAAATATTAAGTCATTCATATTTTCAATCAAAGTATGGATCGATATTTAAAAAAGAGTCCTATTAAGATTTATAAGACATTAAAGATTTATTCAATATTAACATTATATATTAACACAAATAATTTAAACGGCTCAAATACCCTTATTTTCCATTTCTATATCCGAATCAATTTTAAAATTTGGAAAATGTTCATCACTGTGTAGACTGGGCCAATCCTTCCTAATATATTTTCGATTTGTTAAATGACTTGAGCTTTCAGGCGTTTGTGATTCCTCAATTGGCGTAAAACGATCTTTCTGATACTTTGGGGCATATATGTTAGGTAACTTTATGCACACGGATATAGGTTTTGCATGTTCATCGTGTATTGACTTAGCTTTATTTTCATCTTTTTGCTCTTGTTCCAATCGATATTTGTACCAACATGCTAGAATAGTCGAAGATATGCCCAATATTGTTAAGGGAAGGATGAAGGCTATACACTTAACAATCATGGCTGAATTGAAAGCCGTTTATTTGAAAACATTACTTCGATCCATGCAAAGTTTGATATTATTATATTGCAATAATTATATATATTATCCTTTTTTGTTTCAAAACTCATATGCAAGAAATATCTGATTGTTATAAACAATATAATTTATATTTATAACTATAAACTATCTATGTACAATTAATAATAGATCTAATATAATTATACTTATAAACATATCATGAAGGGTGTTATGGACCTTAATATTCCAGAATATCTAATAATTAAACATGTTGAAGGCCGGCAAATTTATTTATAAATTTTATATATATTTGGACCAACATATTGATAAAAAAAATATATTAACTACAATATAACATAATAAGAATGACCATATTTGTGATGTACATATATATATTATATAATGATGCTCTATTAATTATAGTTCTTGCAAAAACCCCTTAAGTCGTTCTAAGAAATAATATTAAATTTTTAAATATATAATGTGTAAAAATGAACAATTAGTATAATATATTTATAGTTCAAATTTTATCCATGAATGAATAATATGTTTAAAGTATACGCAAATTCTCTACTGTAACATGAAGAGCAAGTAAAAAGGTATATACATTATAAATTTTCTATTCTAATTCATTTTTTAAAGAGGTATCAAAATTGAAAAATTATTTTTATTATAGTTATTTCTCTAAAATTTTATAGTCTATAGGTAATAATTTTTATGTAAAACGCTTTCGTTTAGAGGTTAATAGTGGTATAATCTGAGCAATTTAATTATTATCGTAATCAATTTATATTCAAGGTTTATTGGCATTGGCGCAATTACGCGAAGAAGTATTTGCGTATAATTCACGCGCTGAGAAGACAGGTCTTAGATCAATGGTGTTAATAAAAAAATATTTTTGAAAAGTTCTTTTGAAAAATAATTTTTTAAGATATAATTTTTATGTGGTAAGTTTTTATGCAATAACGACTTGTCCGGAATTCTCATTTTATGAAGGAATACTGAATCTCAATATCAAATCATCTACCAAAATAGTTTTTAAATTTGAAAAAAATCTGATTTTACCAGAGTGCATAATTTCAGGCAATATCTTATCTTTGAGTATTTAATTATGAAAAAAAAATCTATGAAATAAAAATTAACATAAATTAAGAGTTGTTTATAAGTTCTTAGTGAAATTGTCGGAAATTCATAGATTAGGTCCTATACACATATTAAAATACATTTCCGGTAAAATCAGATTTTTTCCTAATTGATTTATAATTGAGATATTCCAAATTCTCAATTGACAACTCCGGCTAGGTCATCGTTTCAAAAAATATAAATTTTTAAAATCTTGATATTGATATTGAACCACCCGAGGTATTGCCTTAGGGAAAGAAAAATTGATGAAGGATATTGAGATAAATTAGTTTTCGAATTAATATAGTGACTGCTAATTGTCTATTTCAATAAATAAATTACATTTTTATGAAAGTCTGAATGTAAATTATTGAAAATTGCCCCCAGAAATCTGGTACGAAGGTAGAAATTTAACCCTTCTAATAACATTATTATGCCCATTATTATGTTATTAGATTATTAGTACTAAAACCGAATCTATATATCCATTCTGATCATGATATATTATTGTCAAAATTTGTTAATGTTAAATATACCAGTATGATATTGAAACAACAAAAATTTGCTCTGATCGAGATAAACAATTTTTATTTATAATATTTATATAAAAAAAATAAGATTTTTAGAAATAACGCATATAAAAAATCAAAAAACTTCAGTGTCTTAGTAGGTAAGTGCGTGGATTGCTAATTTGATAGCTCTTAGTAATGAGCAAAATACATGATTTTCTCTACTGAAGCCAACTAGGTTGTTCTGCTAGGGAATATACTATATAGTAGATCGGAAGTGAACGAGTGATTCCGTCTCTTAAATATATTAAAAAAAGAATAATGATTCTCCCCGTCAGATGGATTTTGTTAATATGTATTTTTCATAAAATATCTAAACATGTCATTTATATATCATTATATATAGAAAAAAATTAAGTTGGACTAGTTAACGATGGCATAAATCTGGATTCGAATCCAGTAAGGACTATATTTCTTTTCTGAAGTCAACTTAATAGTTATATCCTTGAGGGGATGATAATAGATTGGAGGAGACCGCTTAATTCCGCCTTTAAATATTTAAAAAATAGGCTTTATAACACTTTGATATAATTTGGTTGTTGATTAGCAAATGGTTTGAAGGGTATTATCACTAGGCAAAAAAAATGAGTTTTTTTGCATTTTATATGTTGACTATGCGATAACTTGGCATTCAAAATTGCTTTATAATGATAATAAATAACTTATGGTTTTAATAATATGGTTAATGACACTACTTCCTTGAAAAGGCATCTTATGTAATGTTACATGATTTTTTAAATCATATTCAGATATTTGTTATATAAATCTAATTATCCGTTACCTGAAAAGTGCAGGATATAATTGAAAAAAAATGTATGAAAATGGAGACAGGGGTTATATGGCAGTGTTATTCTCGCTTGCAATAAAATTTTATTTTTATTCTATAAGATTAAACCAATTGTACCAATGGCCAGTCTCATCATTAGACTACAAAATAAAAAGAACCAAACTATTTTTCATACTGTGGACGCTGTTTAGGATTATGTAAATGTGATTGCTATGTTAAAATATTAATCTTTGAATCTAGGTTAGTAGGAGGTAAGAGGGGGGAGGATAACAACTTTTTAAATTTTAATCATTGTTGTCAGGTAAGATATCAAACTAATTAAAATCACTCTAGGTCTAGGTCTTCGAAGCAGATTTGTTAGGTAATGAGGTAAGGAACTTCTACAATCCCTAAGCGAATGACGATATTACCCCTCCCCCCCACACACCCTATTTAAAAAGGAAATCCAAATAAAAACTACTCCTACCCCCTCAAATTTCAATGGAGATTTACATCATATCCCCCTCCCCGTAGTAGAAGTTCCAGGGGGGGGGGGGTATTAAATATAATTCCTGACAGAGGCCTTAAATTAAATTTACTAATATAATTTAAAAACATAACAAAAATAGTCAGTAAAAGTAAAAATAAATCTTGATTTAGAATTTATTCAACTTCTATATTAATGGGACTAATGATGTCGCTCCATTCAAGCCGACTCTTAAACTGCTTAGCCAAGTTTATAATCGAACCTTGGAACGCAAATCCGCTCAGCCTTGGAGTGCTAGCCAAAATAATTGGCTAAGCCGAATCATTTTTGTTATTATAAAAAGTGAATCCCCTGAAGTTGAAAAAGGTAGCGATGCCTCTGGACCTCAGTCTTTAGAGTTAACAAGAAACCTTAAATAAAATTGAAATAGTTATACTACATTTTTCCAAGATTTCAAAAAATTCATAGATTTCAGTGAATTCACTCAAATTTTATGAATCAAAAGTCTATTAATTCTCTACCAGGGTTAAAATATTTATATTATTTATATATCCCCCCTCCCCCTTTACAATATTAGATGACACTGCATATAATTATTTTTTCCATTCTCCTGCATTCCCGGTTGCTAACATCGTATATACATAACCTATATAATGATCCCAACGATACTTTTGGTTGGAGTGATAAATTAAGGGATAAAAATCCCACTTCTAATATTATTCTAATCCTCACAAATTATTCCGAAAATGTCACATACAAACATATACAAATAAAACCGCTGACGAATATACGTCAATCTTTAAAAGAGTCCATTGATATATTTCAAAATTACACGTTCAATAAAAATCATGAAGCAAACTCAAGCGATTTTTTTACAAACAATGCAACACCCTACAGATGCGGACAATATTTCGACTGTATTATATACGACAAAACAGAAACGCCTTTTAAAAATAACTCATTTATGAAACAATTATCAACGGACCAAAAGGTGCTATTATTCGAAAAAATGACCTCTCTCGATTCGAATACAAATTCAAATGGTTTAGAGAGTCTCGATTTTAAAACTGATGTAAATGAGAATAAGATTCTTTCTAATATAATCCTTCGAGAAGCACCCGATTACAATTGGACCGAAAATGACGAACATTTTGAGACGAATCCCTACTTGAGTCTGGACGAAGTTAATGAATCCATCGATGAAGCCATTTCACAAGCCAAAATAATTGAACGAGATTGGGATTCGGGATTATTTGATTTGCGTATGTTATTGATTATTGATACCATTTTCATTTTATGGATGGCTATTTGTTTTATAACATATTTTGGATATTATACATAATTTTCGTTGTTTAATGAATCCTTTCCTTTTTAAATATCTATCTTTTTTTATTTTACTTTTGAGAAGCGGTTGAAGGACTTCACGATAACTCAATATACAATTTTCCTAAAACCATTTATGCCAAATATGGTAAAATCGGGATCATAACCTCTTTAACGTCCCACATCTTAGGAAATAAATTAAAGTAACATTTAAGATAAAGTTATACTTGATGAAAAAAAATTTTTTACAACAACGATTAAACGATTTTGAAGAGAAAAACGAATTTTAAGGAGAGTATAAAAAATGTATTTTATTGTCTATTTTCTTTCTCTTTTCGTAAGGATAACATTTTTACAAATTAAAATTAGAATGTAATATTAAAAAGGTTAAGATATAAAATAAAATTATAACTAAAATAAAAATATAATTTGAATCAATTGAAGTACAAATTTTAATATATAACTAATTTGAATATATTTTTTTTTAATTATAAGATCCAGAATAGATGATTCACGACATATAATACAAATTCTGACTAGTTTAAACCTGAGAAGGACTCTAATGAGGGAAATATGTCCCGTAAAAAATGATATATTAAAAAAAGAATGTACTAGGAAATATAGGACGTATGATGGTTACTGTAATAATCTGAGACACAAAACTTGGGGTATGTCAATGTTCCCTCCAATGAGACTTTTGCCTCCAGACTATGCTGATAGTAATTTGTCTTAAAATTGTATAATGTGCTGTTATGTAAATTTTATTTTTATTTGAATAATAATTATCAAAGACGTGCAGAGACCCTTTTCAGACCCATACTAGGATAAAAATAATCCCCCATTTTCAGTTTGGCTGGGATTTGTATAAATACTTTATATTTTTATGCCCAAACAAATCTCAAATTTTTTGTTCATATACTTTGGCTGTACGAAGGCGAAGTAGAAAATATGAGAAGATAGTTGTTTAAAAGCATAATGTACAACTGATTACTGTATATTATTTTAATTTATTTTAAGTAATATAACCCGAGAACGTATTTTTTATTTATTTTATATGTCCAACCCTAAGCCGAGCTTTGCTACGGGTCCACAGATCTTCTACCATTAAAATTTCTGTGAAAATATTCTATTCAAAAAATTAATCAAACAAAAAATAATTTTATATAGAATTAAACTCACCCAGGAAAGCCAAAGATGGAACAGATTTACCAAATGCACGATTGTTAAGCATGAATGTATTTTCATCATTCCCCGTTAGCGATAAAAAAATTACGTCAATGATAACTAACTTCGGTCAATTCGTGGACCACGAAATAAATTTGTTTCCGTTACCTTACGGTATAATTCAAAAAAAAAATTGAAAATTGGGAAAAAATTTATCAAAATTAGATTTTGATTTTACCTTCGCAAATTTAGCAAATAATATAATACATATTTATGCTAGGTCGATTTACTCCTAGACTAAAATGTTGCGAACCCCAATATGAACATCCTTTGTGTTTGCCACTTCCTATCCCAAATAACGATAGTATTTTTAATCAGTTCAATCACAGTTGCATGGAAATGATGAGGTCCTTGCCCGGGATATACGAAAATTGCAGATTAGGCAATTTTTACATTTTTTTTAAAGATTATTTAATTACATTGTGTTTTGTATAAATATATTAAGCACTATCTCCTACCCTACTTATATATATTATATGTATATGGAATCTATGAAAAATAACTCAAAAGATTTAAGTTTTTTTTTGATATATTACTTACTAATAAAATTGCAACTGAGCTAAAAAAAATTTCTAAATTAAAACACTTTCGAATCATATTTTCGGCAAAGAAACTGCTATGGAACTCAGATTTATAATAGGGACCTGCAATATAAATTTTAAAAATAAATATGAATATTCAAATTAATCAATTATTCATCCCAACAATATGTTTAAAGAATTTTATAAATGGCAGGCCCTCGACAACAGATAAATCAATTGACATCCTTTATCGATGGTTCTGTTATATATGGTAGTACACCCAAGGATGCATTGGAACTTAGAACACTCCAAAATGGTGATTTATTTATAATTGATTGGCAAATTTTAACATATATATTTCTCTGAATTTTGATATTGTAACTGCATATCGAAAGATTTCTTCGCCAATTTGTCTGTTTTTTTAAGTATCATTTCTAAAAAATAATAAAACTATCCCTACCCACCACTCACTAAAAAATAAAGAAAAATAAGTAAAAGTTATGAATTTTTAAAAATAATTATCATAATTCAAAATTTATAAAAAAAAACTTTTTAATAATTTAAAAAATAAGTGTTAAAATCCTAAATTGTTATTAAAAATATGTAACCCAGCCAGTCCTGCAATAAGGTTTGGGGAATGACTCACTTAAAATTGCCCCTCCCCCATTTTTAGCATAGCATCCTGGCTACGCCTATATATATATATATATTAAAACTCAAAAATGTTTATACACAAACAAGAAGTTTATATAATTTTTTAGGAAATATTTTTTTAAACACTATAGGGCTAAGTCAGTGGCGTATCCAGGATTTTCTTATAGGGGGGGAAAAAAAATTTTGGGGGCTTCGCCCCCAAACCCCTTTTACCTGGCCTTCGGCCAGTTTTGCCACGGCCTTCGGCCGGGTCTTATTTAGCTATTCTATTAAATTATTCATAATTTAATTATATTTCTTTTTTTAACTATTATTTACTAATTCGTGCTTATGGATAGGATATTACAAGCCTCTTTTTTATTATTTCAAGATAGGTATATTATATTTAATAAAGTTTTTTTAAATGTAAAGTTGAAATAAAGTGTAATGTCATTTTTTTTATAAAATTTGCTTTAAAAACTAGCCTCAGCTTAAATTCTCATGCAATATAAGTAGAATATAATTTTTTTATTGAAAATACTAATAGTAGTTTAAAATATTGACTAGAAAATAATTAAATTAACAAGTTTTTTTAACTTCTTATCAAATACAAGATTTTTAATTATTTCGTTTGTCGTTAGAACCAAATCTCTGTGTATATTTAACAGAGCTAACCCATTTAGCCGAGATTCAGTACTTCGTAAATATGTTTTCAACCCTCTCAAGTTGGAAAAAGTCCTTTCATTCGTACATGTTGTAATAGGCAAACATGCAAGAATATAAAACAACTTCAAAATATTTGGGAATTGAGCCTAGGTTTCTTTACACCTATTGAGCGCATCAATAGCATGCTCAAGTAAAATAGCTAAACGTATAAATATTTATACCACAATTCGAATTCACTGATTAAATTTATTTCAGTATCAATCTCATAGGAATAAAATTTTTCTAAATATTTAATTTTACCAATAGTGGCATTAGAAAATGAAGAAGGATCTTTGGGTAATAAAACTTGAAGATTGCTAAAGACTTGTTTTTTATCTAAAACCCGTACTTTTATTTGCGATAAAAAAGTATCTAAGAATGGGATGAAAATGGATATTTTATAATATTCTTCAGTTGAGCCAATATTTATTTTCATCTCAATAATGGCCTAGGTGCTAGACGAGGTTTAATTAGTATTATATCATAAAATTTAGCCTTCGATTCAACGTCTACATTTATTCTTATTGTATCTACCTGTTCATGCATATTTTCCGCCAAATCAATAACCTGAACCAAATCTAAATTTGGTTTTTTTAAATTTCTACAAAGTAGTGAGCTATAGGAAAATAATTTATTGATGCAACTAGCAGCAATGATAAACTCTGATTGATCAATTGAATTCAATAATGATATCGCTGCTAACGACACATTACTTTTTTTTCATGCTCAACCTTATTTATAAATTATCGTTTGATTTCAATCTCTTTGACTAAATATTTTTCCATTTTATTAATATTTTTGAATAATATGTTGGAAAATTGATATTCAAATATTTGTAAAATTTTGATTGGTGGGGAGGGGGGGGGTCTGGGGGGTAGGGGTAAAATTTTTATTAGCTTAAAATGATATTTATGAAAATAGTCAAATTTGCGATGGGGGGGGAATTTCCCCCTTTCCCCCCCATTGGTTACGCGCCTGGGCTAAGTTGAATTAGGAAATGGCCTAAAAGTTTATAATGAATTCAACATTATAATCCATAAATTAAAATAATTCATAAAAATTTATAACATTTTTTTTAAAAACATACATAGACAATTATAAAAATTCCACGAAATATTGAATATTAACAGAATTATTATTGAAAATACTATGTAATATTCCTAAAATACAAAATAAAATTGTATGTAATTTTATTAATCAGGTATGTTAAAGACATTGAAACATCCATTGAATTCCCATATGAAAGATCTTTTGCCATTGTCCAACGGAACAAGATCCGAAGAGTGTACATTGTTACTTCAAGATAAAAAGTATCCTTGTTTTTTAGCAGGTTAAATTTAAAAATTATTTTTTTTAAAAAATAGTTTATAAATAAAAAAAATGAATAAACCTAAAAAATCTATATATAATGCAAATGATTCAATCAGATTATCAAGAAGATCATTTATGTATTATATTTTAAAGGAGAGGAGAGAGCAAATGAAAATGTTCCGATAACGGCAATGCATATTCTATGGGTAAGAGAGCACAATAGGATCGCCGAAAAGTTATCAGAAATTAATCAATATTGGAACGACGAAACCCTGTAAATCATTATAATTAAACTGTATACTCCAAAAAATATATATATATTTTATTCGTAGATAATCTCAATTGATCAGGGATTCATTAAAAAAAAAATATTATATTCATTTCTATCGTATAAAGTATAACACGTCTTAAAAATTTTTTTTTTGGATCGAGATGGGTCAGTCCTGATATTTTGTAAAAAGAGGGTTCTTCTTGAATTTTGGATAAATATTTTAAAATTCTATTTATTGGGAAGCATTATTTAGATTTAATTGTGATTGAGTTAGTCTTAGTAGTTTACGTTTTTTTTAATTGGAGAAGGGAGCATTATAGTTCGCACAAATTGAACAACTTTGCCTTAATTTTTTATTAATAAAAGATGTTAATGCATACTTCTTAAAATTGAGGTTGCCTTTTTATTAAAACCGTCGATTCAAAACTTTAACTAAGTTCTAAAAAATGAGCTGTCTTTTAAAATTATATTATCGCCTGCCTTTTATTTCTTTATTTTATAAATATTTCATTGAGTTATTTTTTTTACCTTTTATATAATATTACAAAATGAAGAATAATTATTTATAAAAGCGAATCTGTTTTTTAAATGGTTATTAGCCAAATGGTAACCAATTTGCACTATGCCATCTGAAATGCATTATTTGCGTTTACAGCGCAGCATTTGAAACGTTCAATTTGTACGCACTATAACTTAAATTTAACTATAATTAAAAGTTAGCTTCAGCAGTTTACGTTTTTTTCATAACACAATGCATTCTTCAATTCAATATCATAGAAGTATATCGCTTTTTTGGTGATATAGTGTTTTTCAAACACATATATAGGATAATTAGATCACTCAAGGAATGCTCAATTGAAAGAGAATTTTAAAAAAAATTAAACAAGTATCTTAAGTTTTAAGAGATATGAGTTAGGGTTAATATTAGAAAAAGTTTTTATTAAAATATAATCATTATGTTGTTTTCTTGAAAATTCGTTATAATATTCGGAGGAATTATAAGAATCAGGTTTATTTTATCAAAGAATCTCATGATATATTTTAATAAATTCATGACATTAACAAAAAAAGAAAAACAATTTAAAATTTGAATGTCATTACCAAAACAACAAAAAAATTCATAGAAATTTTTAGACACAATTATGGTTCCTTTTTGGGGAGACTCATTTATAGAATTTTATTTTTAATTATATAATTATAAATTTAGAAATTATATTTTTTTAACTAGGTTTTATGTAAAAAAGAAATTTAATAAAATATTTTAATTGTGGAAAAAAAAACTAATAGTTTAAAGGAGAAAATTAAAACAATTCTGACTACTTAATAATTTATAATAATAAACTGTCAAATCTGACATGTCATTGTGATTATTAATAGATAAATAGAAATTTAAATTAATTACAACGACAATTTCCTCGAGTTAGACCGTAATTATATCTATATGGTAATTAATTATATATAGTTGGCATATGAAGATTTGTTAAAGAACGACCAAATTTTATTTAAATTAGACCCATTTGTATTTAAATATATATTAACGTATACAACCAGCTAGTTAGATTTAGAAAAAAAACCCAGACTTTTCTGGATTTTAACCCAGATCTATACGGTAAGTATATTTGCCTTCATCGGTTTCACAAGCATCTTGGCATATTTGTATATAAAGATAATTTACGACATAATCTAAAATTTTAATAAAAACATATAAAAAAATAAATAATGTTCAACGCGTCATTTATTATACTATCTGGATCTAATTAATAGCAAAAAGGGACACTAAAAGTGCAAAGGACCACTATGTTTTTGAAAGAGAACATTATGTGATTAAAAAAAGCTATATATATATATATTAGATTTTGAACAGGAAAAAGAACTATTATTCATTTTGGAATATAAAATTAATTTTCTAATTCCAGACAAATATTTTTATTAGGGATTAGACAATTTTTTAAAAAAATAGGATAGGACGTGGTTTGGAAAATCACGACATAAACAGATCACTAATCAAGTAAATGGAATAAAATCATTCATATTTATAAATAATTTAATATAATAAGGTTTAATATTCTTAGTTGTTTTTTCATTAAAAAATTTTTTCAACATTTTAGATATCAAGAAAGTAGAAGGATTGTAGGAGCCATATTGCAAAATATTATTTATAAAGAATTTTTACCCAAGGTTTTGGGTAACAAAAATATGCAAAAATATTTGCTCGACATGTTAAATATGGGATATTTTACTGGATACAATGAAAAAGAAAATCCAACCATTGCTAATGCTTTCAGTACAGCCGCATTTAGATTCGGACATAGTTTGTTAAAGTATAAAAATATGAAATAAATTTATTTGCTGAAAATATGCTCATTTATATTAGGCCTACAAAAACACTAATAATTCAAAATTGGTATTATTCGTATTCGTACCAAATAAATAAAGCTATTATTTGATTCAATTCGTTGAATATTGGTTCGATTAATAAGTTAAAATATTTTAAAATATTAGGTATAATGTTGAATACTTACAAATATTTCAAATATTTGTGATTAATTTCTTTGAAAAATATAAATTATTCTAAATATTTTGAAATGAGTTAATAATTTTGGAAGTACATTCTACGAATAAATTTTAATTATTTTTAGTGTTCGATTCGAATTCGAATAGAAGGATCGAATAATGAGTCATTATTTAGGTTTGTCTTAAATATAAGAGATAGATTAAACCACTTTTATTATTATTTTAGTAATGACATCTATAGAATTGGTTACTTGCATTCCTACTATTCTCCTATGCCTCTAAGAAAATCCTTTTTCAATCCAAAAATATTATATGGCTTGGAATTTCCAGAGGGTGTGGATTCAATGTTGAGGGGATCATTCACTCAATTAGCTCAAGCTATGGATGAAAACTTTGTGCCCGACATCAAGCACAATCTGTTTAAGAGAGAAAAACAATTTTTTGGTATTTTTTTAAACTATGATAATATATCAAATAGATCTGGAAATACTCGGTCACCAATTTTATAAAAAAAAGAGACTAAATTTAATAGGTACATAAGCACCCCTTAGGGTGCAAAATAGAAAATTTAAATAAGGGTGACAACCAAAACAAAGGGCACATGAGTTCAATCTAATTTATTTTAAAATTAATTATAAGGTAAATATTTTTATAAAATTTTATGCTCAAAAATATATTCTTATTGCAAATATAAAGAATTTATATTCGATTAATTTCTCCCGGAAACATCATTATAAACGAAAAATTAAACTTTCCTCTATCACTTGTATATATCATAATACCATTTATTAACATTTTCTATCATCTTTTATCGCGACTGGGAATTATGGGATTTTCGGCATCCAAACCGAAACAAATATCGGTTCGATTCGGGTTCAGGTTCAAATAAAAATAACGGTTCAAGGTTCAGGTTCAGTAAAAAATTAAAATATCGGTGAACCTCTAAGAACCGGTTTGAACATTTTTGTATCCAAACCTACATTCGAATTATGTATAGAGAAAATATTTATTTTATCATTAATTTAAAAAACACATGTATAAAACCTTCATTTTTATTAATTGCACATTATAAAATAATATTTAATTTATAAATATAAAAATAAGAATAAGAATACATATCAATGATTAATTTTAATATGAACAATATTTTACTTTTTTTTTACTTAAATTTTTTTTATTAAGCCGCACAATTAATATATTTTCAAAATTCGTCTCACTAAAATTACACTATGAGGAGATAGTATAAATTTAATTGTTGAAAAGCATCTTTCCACACTGACTTGGGTAGCCGGCACTGCCAAATGATATCAGATTTGATGTGTCATTTATAATAATATTTTGGATTTAATTTTTCTCTAAGCATTATAATTTACAAGCTTAAAATATTTTAAAAAAATGTTTTAAAATGACAATATACTAAAGTTTATAAAAATTATGACCGACACTTATCAATCAAATGTGATTGATGATAATCTTTAAAATAATTTGAATGTAATTGAAATTTTTTTAATATACTAATAATAACCTACACATTGTTTTATAAGTATATAATCATGAGGCTCGAACCGGTTCAGAGACATTATAGCGTTTCGGTTCAGGTTCGGCTAGAATTTTTTTAGCGGTTTAGGTTCGGTTCAGGTTCGATAAAAAATACCGGTTTTTAGCGGTTTAACGCATCGGTTCAGTTTCGGCTTGGATCCCTGATTTTCGGATTGGAGTACATAGGACTATTTTTTTATTCAAATTTTATCATAATTTTTTTTTATTATTTATTTTATAAAATTATTGATTTTTAGAGTTATCAAAAATCTTTATTAATTCAAGAATATTTTATTATTAAAAATAATTATTTTTTTTATATGATGGCAAAATATGCCGAGTTCGGTTCAAGTTAAAAATAATTCGAGTGGATTCGGTTCAGTAAATTATTTTTGAATCCGGGTTTGGCTCCTGGTTCAGCTCGGGTTTAGGCATTTTTAAATTGATAAAAAAATAAATTCTATAACAAAATCATAATTAAAATCTAGACATATATTTAGTATAAAGAATATTTAAAATATAACGCATGTATCAATTTTAAAAATTTTATTTAGGCGTATTGACATAATATCTTCCATAGGGTCATCCTAGATATATGCAGTGAAAGAATGAATTTAAAATGTGAAAAAGATCTTTTAATACTAACCACTTTTAGATATATTTATATAAAAATATGATAAATTAATTTGGATTGTAGGAATAGCAATTAAGATTTTGGAAAATATAGGTACAGCAGCTTAGCAGACTCCCAAAAGTGCAAAATTTTACCTTCTTATCCAATCTTTTAAAATCGCCAAATTCAATCATTATCGTTCCAATAATTTTCTCTGCATTTTAAGTATATTCTCCTGCCTTTCTTTAAGTTGTATCAATTTCTCCATACTTGTTTAATAACTTCGTCCGAACATTATCATCAGATAAAATGGGCGTGAATAAATGTATTAAAAAAATTGCTATAATATAATATTTATAATGTTAATTTGTTGAATAATCCGATATCCTGTCCAATTTTAAATCAGCTCCCCGGTGGTAAGATTTTGAAGGAAATGATATATTTAAAATCATATATAAATTGAATTATACAATTTATATTAAATCATTTATATTAAATTATTTATGTTAAATTTTGTTTATATTTTTAATGTATTTTTTATAGTAAAAGTTTTGAAAAAAATTTATGTGTGCATGATTCTTTTTTATCATTAAAAACTAAATTACAAGGTAGAGATCTATTATCGATTAATTTGCAAAGAGGAAGGGATCACGGAATACCAGGCTATAACGAATATAGAGAATGGTGTGGATTAAAACGATTTTATGACTGGAAGGAAATGGAAGATTCATATATGCACTCTTTTACTCAGGCCAAAATAAAAAAATTCTACAAGTATAACTTCCATTTTATATTAAAATTGTTTACTATTTTATTCACTTTGACAGATCTCATCACTCTTATTTAAAGACCTCAAAATTTTGAATAGAATGTGATTTTTAGACTTTAAAAAAATAAGAATAAGTATACACATACATTTAAGCGTATTTTATAAGTATCATCGTCAAAATCTATCATTTATAAAAATAAAATGGAGTCCTAGATATTTTTCTAAAAACAAGGTTTATTCAGAATTGAGAACAAATAATAAATCAAGCTATGATGCAAATAGAATGTCTACGAATTTTTATACGAAACTTAAATGACCTAAATCACCATCTTTAATTTAAAATAGTTTATGTATACCTATATTCTTTACATAATAACTAAAACTGTGTAAAGACACCCTGATGATATTGATTTATTTTTGGGTGGAATATGTGAAAAGGCGGAATCAGATTCCTTAGTGGGCCCTACGTTCGCTTGTATCATTGGCAGACAATTTCAGAAATTAAGATTCGGTGACAGGTTTTGGTTCGAAAATGCACCAAAATACCCAGGCATCACTTATCCTTTTACTCGCGGTAGAATAATATATTTTGTATAGTTTACTTATATAGTCAAAAATTAAAAGTTTGCAAATTTTTATTTAATTTACCTTACTTAAAATATATAGAACAATTAGAAGAAATACGTAAGGTGTCACTTGCAAAAATTATCTGTATAAATTCTGATAACATAGTTGATATTCAAAAGGACGTCTTTTTGGTTCCTAGCACAAAGTTTATTTTTTAAATATAATTGATATTTATTGTTTATTGTTAGAAATAGAGTCTTAAAATGTGAAGATATACCGAACGTTAATTTTGATTATTGGAAACAATAGTGGACCTTATTTTAATATTTTTGTAATTAGTAATCAAAGCATTGTAAAAGTGCTGGTAAATGATTGTTTATTTTATATACGAATTTGAAGTTTTAAAAATTTGATATGAAATAAAATTGAAGTATATGAATTTTAACAAATTTTATAAAAGCACAAATATCTTCTCTTATATCCATAAATCTCGAAAACGCGAGTGAAAGGAGAAACATCTTTTTCTTTTAATATTAATTAATTGGAAAAATTAATAAAATACATGGCGAAAAAACAATAGGTCCATTTCTCCACATCACATATTATCTTTTAAACAAAGTATAAATTTGTCAATGTAATTTGCGTAAATTATCTAAATCAGCAAGCAAAGATTCCATTTGATTGGCATATTTTAAAAATTATAATAAATATTGTAAATGTAACTAATGAAATTAATAACTAAATAATCATGTAATATAGAGTCGTAAATGTTTGTTTGATAATATTTTCAAAATAAACAATAAAAAGGAAGCTGAGACCTCGGATGTGAGGTCATCTATACTTTTTAACAAAATCAATTTATAATGAAGAAGTTAAATAAAATACAATTTTGCTAAATAAATTTTAGACTTCTAATTATTCAATTGAATTCTAAAAATTCTATTGGTGACATAATATCAGTCTTACTCACTTTGCTGAAAATATTTGGCCAAAGGCAAACTGCTTTACCACATTTTCTAGTTAAATTACCACCAACAGAACCTTGTATAGATTTTTACATAAACCGGTTAGCATTCTATTCTATTCTTACTGATAGATTTATATGAATATCTTGACAAAATAGTCAATTTCATGCTCATAAATTTCTACAGCTCTAAATAAATTTTTGCTATGTCTGGCCAAGGTTATAAAAACAGATAAATATTCCTTTTCTATTTAAACTGTGTGCAATTTGATATTAAACTTATGCAAATAGCAGAGCGTCTTCATAGTTTAATGGGAGAGTATATAAATGTGCAGCTAATAGGCTTATTCACTCTCCTGAAATTTATATAGGGAAAGTTACTTCTAAGTTACATTATAGTTATTAAGTTTTTGGATAATTAGTTTTTAAGATTTGTAGCTAAAAAAATTTTATTTGAAAGCTTGCAAATAAATTACTAAACAATTATATTAATCATCTACTTGAAATTATTGCAAATATGTAAAAATTTTAAACAATTAAATAAGCATAATAAACCTAAAAATAAATATATAATTCTATATTGCTAAACTTTTCTAAATATAATTTTCCCAATATTTCCAAATATAAAAATAACAAAAAAAAAATTGTTATATCTCTCATATTCGAAATTCATTAAAGAACTTCTATAAATGCCAATTACATATCAGCAGACACAACAGAAATGACATATCTTTAATGGGGACTAGTAGAAAGCCCGTCAAAAATGACGGGGAATGAGATTTTTATTCATTTTTACGATAGATGTCATGCCAGGTTCAAGCTCACAATATTAGGAAGCATCCAAGATCTTATAATTTAAAAAAAGTTTATCAAGCCCAGCTCAATCCTTAATAACTTGTAAAAGATATTCCCAAGTCAGGTGCAAGTTAATATTAATTTTGAGGTTCCAAGCCCAGTCCTACCCATTTAAATTTTGAAAATTTTTTCCCGCCTCGGAGATAATTAAATTTTTAATATCATCACATGAACGGGAAATATCTGATTTATCAATTAGTCTAATATGGAAAAAAAACATGTAAATTCCGTATTAAGGGAAACTGGGAAGGCCTGGGCAACCACTTATTAGAGAATCATGACAAATAAAATAAAAATAACCGACTCTTATACTTTTTTGTATAAAATTATATCTAAAATATATGTTGTTTATTATATAGATTGTTGTTTTTCAGATAAATTTAATGTATGTCTTGCATTTCTGAAATTATTTATCAAAGAATTTGATAAGGGATATATATTTTTTTATGTTAAAAAAAAAATGCTGTCTATTTAAATTACAAAAATGCAATTAAACACTAATGAAACTTATATGCAAATTATTTATATATTTTTTAAGATATTTTTTTTTATTGACATAAATTTAGGATAATTTTTTTAAAAAATAATGAGGATTATTTATTATGTATTAGATAAAATTAAGAGCAAATCCTTGTTGACATTTTAATTTTAATGGGAAAAGCGACAAAATAAATCTGGGCGGTCGTCTGGAGAGGAAATAATTAATGTATAATTTTATATCATTGGGTTGTAGATGAAAGTATGACGGATTAACAAAGCAGTGTACAAAACACATTACGTCCTGATAAAGATGATATGCCTATGCCTTAGGATACTTGTAAAAGAAGAACGCAATAAGATATTTCTCAATGTCAGCATTGGTATCCCCCTCTAAAATAGAATCATGAACGACAATGTTAACTCAACCATAAAACGGTCGTGAGTATTGTTATAAAGGCCACGACAGAACTACTGCATATTTTTCCATTAATAAAGTTGATAAAATTGGCCTTACTGTACATTCAGGTTTGAACACGCAAAACGATATTTTTGTCAATGTCAGCATTGGTATCCCCTTCTAAATAGAATCATGAAAGACAATGTTAACTCAACCATAAAACGGTCGTAAGTATTGTTATAAAGGCCACGACAGAACTACTGCATATTTTTCCATTAATAAAGTTGATGAAATTGGCCGTACTGTACATTCAAGTTTGAACATTCCTCTAAATATTCATGAAAGTTTCTCAGAGAATCGGATAAAGTAATACTTATATTAACTCCTAGTGAAGTGAATGATAGTACAGAATTAAATGTTTATATTTATTAAAAAATAGGCGGAGGGGGCATAGGGATTGTGGTAGTGGTGATAGAAATATCATTTGAAGAACTGGGTGAAAATAAAATAAACATAGATATAAAACATAAGATAAAAATAAATAAACCTCCAGATGAGTTCATTTCAAGAGTAGTTCTTTATTATTTTGTCTATCAGTAACTCTAGAACGAGTAGGGCGTTTGTTTAATCGTCATTATTTTCTTTGCTTATTATTAATAATGGATTCATCATGTTTTATAGCAATGTGAGGGATTAGGTTAGCCTTCAGGCAAAAATATAAATAAACTATTGTTGAAATTAAACAAACATTAAAATAATGTAAACCAGTAGATGGCTCAATATTAGATGCATATATTTAGTAGTTGGAGGGCTATCATCAAAAAAATTTTTTGGGGGATTTATCAAGCCTATTATGATATTCTAAAAGTTAAAAAATAACATGATGAATGTAATGTTATTAAGATTAAGGTTAATTAATTGTAAGGTAATTAAAAAATAAAATATAAAATATAAAAAGGGGGGAAAAAGAAGGTATAAAATATTATATTATAAAAATAATAAAAATTAAATTAAAGGAATTGATAAGGTTTTGAGAAATAGTGGTAGAAAGAAAAGAGTGAGATAATAAAATTTAGTGATAAATAAATTCATTAAGGGAGGAAAAAAAAGAAAGAGTTATTTATAAGTATTGGTATAGGTTAGGATAAGAATATTTAAATATTTGAATATACATGGTTATCTTCTTAATTATTGGTTATGAAAAAAAAATATGAGTATAAAAAATTGTAATGCAAGTACTGAGAAAAATTTTGAGTATGTTCAAAATAAATATACAAGTTGATTATCTTGTAGAGATTTCATTAATGTGTAATTGATAATAATAGATGAAAATTGATAAGGTAATCTAAAAAATAAAGAAAGGATTAAGTGAAATAAAAAGTTAGCCTAAATCTTGAGAAATGAAGAGTGTGATTTATTTTTTTTTATTCACATTTCATTCATATTTAGAAAGTTGAGGGAATATTGTTTATATCAATTCAAAGACGATTTTTCAAATCTCTCAATCCATGCTAGGTATGTGTACACCATCAGTTCTCGAAATTCCATTCATCTGTTTGTATAAAATAAATAAATAAAATTAACAAATAAAAAAAATAAAAATAAATACGTACCAATGACATGACGTAGCGATGACATGACGTAGCGATGACATGACGTAGCGATGACATGACGTAGCGATGACATGACGTAGCGATGACATGACGTAGTGAGGACATCGGAAAATTATAATATAGATATGATCTAGAGGGGAGGTGAGGTAGAGAGTAAGAATAGGGATTGGGGGAAAATAGGCGGATAAGACTTAAATCTTTTTGATCATGCTTTCAAAAATAGAATAAGGAGAGGACTTCTACACAACCCTCCCCCCTTATCCCTGCCAATAATTTTACTCCCTCATATCTTCTTCCATTTCAAAAAAGGTCTGTCCTTTATATCGCCTGCCCCCTCCTATCAAATCAAAGTTCACAAGAAAATCAAATTTAGAAAATATGAAGAAAATAAATCTAAACTCTTCCATTCATACCACTCTCCAATTTTATTCAAATATCAAAGTTATTTGTTTTTATAGAAATTGGTTTTTGCTGTGATTTGACTTATTGGCAATTTAATTTAGGTTTATTAGTAAATTTGCATACTTTAAAAAATAAGTTATTTATTAAGAAGGACAAAATTGACTTGAATATTCAAAAATAAAATCATGTTCTAAAAATATATTTATAATTTTAGTAATCGTTTCATCCGAAACATTCCAAATCGTAACTTAGTGAGAACCTGGGGAGCCTCAGTGAATTTCCATCTTAACCCAGTCTGTATTCCATTTAAACAGATAAACAAGTGGGGGGGGGGGGGGTTCTCAAAATATTCGCATCTATCTGACATTTAGCAGTAATGCGATAATTTAAAGTTTAACTGTAAATATAAATTAATATACATAATTCTTGCCTCTAAAGAAAAACTTTTGTATTTGCTTATTTAATTTATAAAAAATTGGGGTTTTTAAAGTTTTATTCATTTAATAGGTCTCTCAATTGTTAATATTAGCATTATGAATAAAACATTTCTAATAAAAAATCTTTTTTCTTTATATCAATTTAGTGATGATTTAATAATAAATTACATTGCCTAATCCTTTTCAATTGTAAAAGATTTAATATCACTGGCAGTGCAGTTTTTATAATGAAATTTTTAATTATATTTGAAATAAATTATATATAATAATAATTATAAATCAAATTTATAATTAAAATTAAGGTTGTAATCGAATAAAAAGTTAGTTTATAATAAAATGAGTTTATTAACTGCCCGCATAGGTACAAAAAATTTTTTGCGGTGGGGGTATTTCCATAGCTGTTATGGAGAGCTTTAGGTCCATTTATTGCAAGACTTTGGAAATTAAAATTATCTTTTTTAAAATTTTGAAATATTGTTACTATTATTAATAAAATATTATTTTATTTTTATTTTTAATTATTGGTTATTTTAAGAGTCGTGTGTGTTAGAGAAGGACTACGAGATTGAGAATAATTGATTTATTTAAAGATAATATATAATGAATTTAATTAATGTAAAACAATCGATTAATAAAATTATTTTAAACTAACAATTTCGTATATAAGAAAAAATATAAAGAAAAAATATAATAATTTTTGATGATTTTTTTTATGCTTTATAAATCTATCTATGCATAAAATATAATCTTTTCTATTTGAATAATAATATTACAAAATATAATTTCTATACTTGTTCATATAATTATAATACATTTCTTAATTTTGAATAATCATCTATGTTTTAACTTATATCAAGTATATTTTCTTTTTTGCTTAAATATTAAAAATAATCATTTGCATAATAATAATCATTTTCATAATGCAACAGTTTATAATAACCAATTATACATATTTTTAAGGGAAAGGGAATAATTATTTAATATTTATGAAAAAAAACAATTATGAAGACTTTTTTTATGATTATGCTGCTAAGCAATTGGAAGATTACAGCCTACGATATACCCAGAGTATTAAATAACAAATTACCTCGTAAAACTAATCTGGTCAGGAATTATGGAGTGAAATATTGTATCGAAGGAATCTGTAGCTCACTAAGATTTTTTTATCATCTACGTCAAAATGTAAGCATTAATGTATTAAGATATGACTATATTTTTAAATTCGTCTTAATACATTCGTTTATGAATAATTCACCTTTGGTATAGCAAATGCATAAAATTTTGTAATGCAATATTTTATAAATTTTTTAATAATTGAACATACAAGTGGAGTTTGAAACCTATACAAACACTTTTATTCTAAGATCCTTTTTTAATTTTAAATTATTCGCATTTAAATTTTTGATCTTTTAAAACATACATTTTTTTATATTTAATATATTTTGGAAAAGCTGGTTTATAAATAAATATATAAACTTTTACATGTTCGCTAATTCACTTGCTTCAAATTATTAGAGGGTTTTTATATTTTTTTCGTTTATATAGAGATTAAAGATTGTAGTTGTCACTATTATGATAAGTCACGTGATAGTTAACGTTCGTATGTTATCTTAATTTATGATAGATTCTATATATGTTTAAATTTGCGACAATCATTTCTCTATGTCATTTGATTTAATTTTATATAAAATATGTAACCCTTTCAATATAATTATTCTTATTATAGCAATTATATTATTCTATAAAGTCTACCGAAAACTAAAAATCAGATGCAAACAAAAATTAAATGAATGTACTACAGTACCTATAAGACAGGATTTAACTTTAAAGCAACTGAGAGAGTTCGATGGTAATAATGGAAACCCCATTTATATAGCAGTAAACGGAAAAATATTTGATGTATCTCAAAAGAAAGATTACTATGGACCACGTAATATTAATTTTATGAAATTTTTTATTGCATGTATTATAGCATTATTATTTTCACTAAATTGTTATTACTCAATATTATTGATTCTTTTATAAAATTTTAAATTAGGGCATGTAATTGTGATTAAAATTATTTTTTATTTAGATCTAATTTTCTGGATTAAAATATTTGGATATAAGATTTTTTATCTGAAAAATGATTATATGATCTTTCAAGTGTAATTATTAATATAGCAGATGAACATTAATAGGCCTTTTTAAATTTCATTTTTTCCACATTGGCTCTCTCCTATTTAACCTCAATATTATTTTTATAACCCACAATTACAAAGAAGAAATTTTTATGCCCAAGTCAATGACATATAATAAACCTAGACTGACGATTCATTCATTAAAAGTGTAGGGGACGCCATCTTGGTTACACTAATCATTATTAAAATTTTAAACGATAGCCTAATTTATTCCTATATCTGATGCAAATTTTTTTAAAGAATTTCCTGATCATCGAGATAATTAAAGAAGCAAGTTTCCGATCTAATTGTAGTTTTTAACATGAGAATAATTATCATAAGGGTTACCAAAATGGTGGATCCAGCTGATTTGCTTTTAACGACGCTTAAAAATGCATTTTAATGAATGAATTGTCAGTCTAGGTATTATATATGTCATTGGCCCAAGTACAATTTTGTATAATATAATTTTTTTTTCTAAATTATATAAGTTAAAATTTTTATAATTTTCAAAATAGGAAATAAAAATTCTGTTAAAATTTAAAAGTAAAAATTTTATAAATTCATAAAAGAAATAAATCTAAAATTGAGAAGCAAATATAAGGCATGAATTTATTAATAAATGATATTAGATCTGTATGTTGCTGACTTATGCTACCACTCCCTATAATTTTTGCCATGTGCAAAAGACTGCCGATTGAGTTTAGCGGTCATGGGATTGTAGCATGGAAAGATTTTAATATGCTAATTTATAATATTTTATATTTATAAATTTAAAGAGTGAATGATTAAAATAAAATAATATTTGGAGTTTATTGAAATGTCTACTATGCTAATATTTTTCATTTCCAATCATCTTACTATCATTTGAAAATGCCACAAATGGTTATTTTATTTAAAAAAATTTGTTTTCTGAAAATGTTTATGGCCTACTTGATGAATATGTATATCATTAACTTCTGGTTTCAATATAGCAAGGGTCAAGTTTTTTTTCCTGAAGCTAACTAGATTTTCCATTTCTTAATATCAAAGTTGTTAAAAGAAACTTTTCAAATATATCTAGATACCGATATATCGTCAAAAATGAAGCTAGATACACAATGTATATGTATCAAATACTGATATAATCTTTCATCAATGGTCAAAAATGAAGCTAGATACACAATGTATATGTATCAAATACTGATATAATCTTTCATCAATATACATTTTTATTATAAATATTCAAGATGTTCATAATGCCTAATTTATAATTCTATTGTTGAAATTCAAATTTTGAAATGATCTTAAAATTCATTTTTATCACTGCAGACTGCAGAAATTGCATTATGCAATTTCATCTTCCACCAGGAGTTAAGGCTTGCATCATGTATTTTCACTAGGGGCCCAAACTGTTATTTATAACGGTTCAGTTTGGTTATGGCTCAGTATGTAAAAAATTAGGTTATTCATTGAATCATGGGGAAATTTTTGATATTATTATTTTTTATATATAAAATAATAAATAAATGATCATCTGCATTTTGGTGGAAATTTTTATCATAATTCATTAATTTTACAATAAAACAGAGTATATTTAAGAAAACTTGTGAAAATTTTCATAATTCTTTAATTTCAAAACAAAAACAAGACGTGTTCTATGAAGCTATTAAGTTAGGACTATTAAATCAAATACTAAATTATTTATTAATCAATTTTTTAGAATAAATTTTTTTTGTGAAAAAGGTAGATATTTCAGAGAAGAAATAGTTATTTTTAGAAAATTAAAAGTAAGTACTTGTTTAATTTGGGGCATTGTTAGGTTTTAAATCTTTGAAATTGAATGGCCCATAAAATTAAATATAATTTAATTGATGCTCATATATATAATATTGTTTTCAGTTATTATAATTTTATTAAAATTGTATCACATAATTACAATCAATAAAATAGTTAGGACTATTAAATCAAATACTAAATAATTAATCAACTTATTAGAATAAAAAAATTTTTGTGGGAAAATGTTAATATTTCAAAAAAGAAATAGTTATTTTTAGATTTAAAAGTAAGCACTTGTTTAATTTGGGTATCGTTGGGTTTAAAATCGTTGAAATTGAATGACCCATAAAATTAAATATAATTTAATTGATACTCTTTGTTTTTAGTTATTATAATTTATAAAATTGTATCGCTCAAATTATTAAAATACCAAATTAGACAATTTATAGCTAAATTGTTAAAATTAAAATATGACTTCATTCTACCAGACCAAACAATAAAAAAAATTTTTTTTAAATTAAAAAAAAATAATGTTAAAAATTTCCCCATGATTCAGTGAGTTACCAAAAATTATAATGGTTACATTTTGGTTACGGTTCTTAAGAAGAAATTTATAAAGGTTCGGTTTGGTTCAGCTAATTATAAAGGTTTATGATTCATTACGGTTAGAAATTTTTTTTTTATTGAAGCAACACCATCTTCTAATTTATTTTTATTATAAGCATCTATGAATTATATATAAAAAAAATATAAGATTCAAAATAACTCATTTTTAAATATATTATTTGAACGTATAAGTAATATATTTTCTAATATAAATGGATTCCTTTTGTTTGTTGTGATGATAACACAAATTTTAGCCCGAAAAGGCCCTTTCTACAGAAACTTCTGTTGTGGGAATTGCCAGTACTATAAGAGCAAGTTTATATAATTCTGGATATTCAAATTATTTCCATTTCTAAAATATAAAAACTGAACTGGTTTTAGCGTTTTTTATAAAGGTTTTTTTTACTCCTTTAAAAAATAATTATATTGGTTCGGTTACGATTATGGTTCAGATATTTATATTTATAATGGTTTAACGCTTCATTACTGTTCACTCTAGGTCCCTGATTTTCACTAATATATATAGACCCTATACACAATGTCTACCCATTTTTATTATAGAGAACGGTACCTCTATATAGTTTTATATCAAAGATAGAAAGAAAAAGTAGATTCCATGATAATTATTAGTTCTTTTTCAGGCAGGATATTAAGAAGATGTATTTATAATTTTAAATATCAATGTACCTGTTATAGCATTCTTGATTACTTGACCTATTTTAGCTGATTGATGATAAGCCTCATAATGTTTTATTGTTAAACCTGTAATACTATAAATATTTTCATGCCTTGCTTAGGCATTCTGAACTTTTTAAAGGAATAAAATAACTGATTGGAGTATATTAACTTTATTCTAATATCATTATATTAAGATGAATTCATATGAGTAAGGACTATGGAATGGTTGTGATATTCATATTCATAAAATTGACCTTAACCTTTAATGGGAAATTCTTATCTTTTAATTAATATGATTTTGTAGTTGAAATATATTTAGGTATTTATCAAACATGTATGTGAGAATATTTTATATAAGATGGATTAATATAATACTATTATATACTAGGGTTGGCAAAGTTTATGATTTTTTTGATTTGAATTGTGATTTAAATCAAATACTTATTTCAATTAGAAAAATACATATTTAGATTGAAAAATATCATATATCATTATATTTTTTTTATCTTAGTATAATATTTCTTTATAAATAAAAAGTTAATGCTTTAGAAGATCTGGTTAGGAAATTATTGAAAAAATATATTGATATGAGAAGAGCTAATTTGATATTTTGCAAATAAAAAGCTGACTATCAATCAAAAATTTGTAGATATGTGTAAACATCGTTTAGGAAAACTATTTTTCTTTTAAAACCTATTATAGTACTTGAAAAGTTGTAATGCACTGTTAAAGTAAGGAAAAAATCCATCTTTTAAGATTAACATCTAGATTTTGGAAGATATCATAATAATTTTCTTGTAGAATTTTAAAAAACTAATAAATTATTATTTTATAAATTGTATTTGTCTTTATTCTAAATATAATGACAAGATTATTTGTATAGTAAAAGCTAAATATAGTAAAATAAATTTTAAGAAACTCATGTTTCTGTTATTTTTTACTATATTATATAAGTCTTTACTGCAAATCCTTACCCTGAATCAGGTACAGAGATATTTCAGCCAGAACTTTCTTTAGAAGGAGGGTTCACAATTGAGATTTGAATTATATAATTAATTATGTCAAAAATTGATATAATGAAATAAATCAATTATTTTTTTTTATCTAATAATAATAAATAATGACTACTAAAACAATTTAGTATTTTTCATATAAAAATTATTTAGTTCTAAATAATCAAAGTCTTTCTCTTTCCTTATATTAAGTATTTTGATCAAATTTAGTAAAAATAGTAGTGCTGCATTTTTAAAAAAATCGAACGCGTTCAACGTTCATTGACAAAAATCGAACGCGTTCACGTTCAAATTCAAAAAAAGGAACGCGTTCATACGTTCAACAAGTTTTATGATAAATTTTTTTTAAAATTTAATTTGATATAAATAAATGCCTTATATTTTTCAACACAATATATTAGCCATGATAAAAAATAATGTTTTATTTTGATAATATAATTATAAATACAATATAATAGAGCGATAAAAAAATAAATTTATAAAAAAATTTTCTTATTAATTTTTAATAATAATTGCTTTTCAAAATTTTCATCTGATAGGCATGAACGCTTGTCAGTTAATACAGCGTTAGCTATACTAAAAACTCGTTCAACAGGGGCAGATGAAGGGATTGCGGTGTTATACTTGATAAATAATTCTTTTAAAAGGGGGAATTTATTAAAAACATTTAATGTTTTATCCATTGTTTCAAAAAATTGAGCTATGTTATCATCCTCCAATCTGCCCTCTTCTTCCTCGTCAAAAAAAAAGGATATCTCGGAATTGATTTTAAAACAGTGAAATATTTTTGATATTTGGGCCATGGTAATTCTAATTCATCTAATATTGAATTTTGATTTTCAGAATCTGATGATGAAATATTTATATCCATGCAAATGCTAATCTATTAAATTAAAATATAAAATATTCAAATTAATAAACTTTAATCTTATCTTCTCTAGCAGTAGCACTATGGTACGTTAATTGCAATATGAAAGAGGAAAAAGTAAAAACAGCTGATTAAAAAATATAAAACTTTTTTGTTAAAAAATTGGATTAAATATTAATTTTTCAAATAAATAAAAATATAAGACTTTTTTTTTAAAAAATGCGGATTAATATTAATTTTTCAAATAAATAAAAATAAAAAGTGTTTTTAAAATTGAACGAACGTAAAATTGAACGCGTTCATCAAAGAAAAGGAACGCGTTCACGTTCAAAGTTCGTCAAAAAAAAAGGAACGCCGTTTATCACCTTTTTTCAAAAAAACGAACTTCGTTGAACGCGTTCGTTTACAACACTAAAAAATAGTGATTTAAATTATTAATTAAAATCACTAATTTTTTTTATAAAAATCAGGGTGATTAAAATCATGATTAAAATATAAATTTATCTTCGAATATATTTAAATAAAGCATGATCAGCTGACTTTATTATGAATCTCATCATTCAAGAGTATTTAAATATACATGAAATTTTACCTTATTTAAAAAAAATTAATATAATTAAAGAATATTGAATTTGATACTTTATTCCCATATTAAAAAAAATATTTTTTTACCCGCCAAAAAGTAAATTATATTTTATAAGGTGCCCAATATATCTGAGTAAGAACTGGTAACAGCATTTCTGACATTCTTGTGCTTCCATACCAACCTATAAAAGTATCTCCTCTATATAATATAAATTTCTTCAATTTCAACCCTATACTATTATAAAAATTTAAATGTAGTTTAAAAAAGTTACACTTGGTAGTTCCAGTATGTTAAACGCAACTTTTGAAATTAGTGAACAACCGTTAACATTAAGTGGCAATGTAAGCACAACTATCTCGCTATTCGCTACTTTGTAGAAAAATATTTAATAAATTTTTATATTTAATCCATAACAGTTAAATTCAAACGTGTAAAAAATATCACTAAAAATGCGCATTATTGACTTACTATAAATAATGCAGCGTACAATTGTAATTCCCCCATTTTGCATTTCCCATTAAATTTTACAACATTATTTGACAATTATTTTAATTAAATATTTTTAAAAAATCTGTACCCCCCCCCCCCGCTTTTTCCCGTATTAAGCTATAACAAATGAAATGACCTTCTCAGTCATTTTACATGTTAATTAAATTTAAACAATAAATGGGATTAAACATTGTTCAAACAACGAGACATTCAATATATTATTAATAGTTTAATAAAAAATAATATACTTATATTTAAAAACAACCATGTATCAACTAATTTTAATATAAAATCTTAATAGAACATTTAGCCTTAAGAAAATTATCAATAAAATATCTCAATTATATTATAAAAAATTTATATAAAATTATGCATAATTAACTAATTCATTATTAATTAATATAGTTTTAATAACAAATTGAAATATACATATGAATGTGACCTTATTTTTTACAGTTAATATAAAATTTGATACACTTATTATCTCACCATAAGGTGTGCTTTTTACATATTATATAAGACAGCTTAAATAAATATGCCTTACTTTGCATAAATATTTTTAAAATTTTAATAATATTTTTTTTTCTATTCAAAAATGATCGCCAAAATAGTATAGTATGTAATTTAATGTTGTTTAATTAACTTGTGAAAATGTTTATTGTTTAAAATCAAATATTAGGCCCAAATTTTTGTGAAAAATAAATATAAGCCACCAATAGAGTTCTATAGAGCCAGTGGAAGATTTTGACAAATTTTTATTATTCCCATTAATTTTAAAATCCACTCTTTCAAAACCATTTTCACATTTACAACAATATTTTACATTTCGGAATTTTTTCACATAAATAGTCCTTATTAAATTTTGAAATGTATTTTGATCCTTGACATATCGTTAGCTCGTTTGTTAGGCTGTTTTATGCTTAAAATTATTCGGGGAAGTTTATAAAGAATATAATTGAAATTTTATGATATAATAATATACTACATGTAATGCGAAATTTAATAACGAATAACTAGGGCCGCAATTGTTTTAAAACAGGGAAAGTACAGATATGAATGACATCACTTTGATAAAAAAATTAGTTTGGCTCTATAGAACAAAGACTTTTTTTAATAGAATAAAATTTTGTGTAATAATATTAGATTTGATTAAATAATAACCAGTATGCCATCTGCCATCGAGTTATAGTAAATATAGTAATGACAATGAGTTTTTATATAATTTTCTTATATTATATTTGGCACATCATCTTTTAAATTAGTTTTTAATTGTTATTGTGCATTTGATAAGATAGTTAATCCATTAGATATGCCAAATTCATTATAAATATTTCAAATCTGCCAAAAACCAAACTTTTCAGGTCCTTTATAGGACTGTCAAAAATTTTAGGTTAAAGAAAGTTATTTACAGTTTCAACTTCCATGCCTTATAATTTTAAAGGAAAATTCTGGCCTGTAAAAAATATAAAAAATACTGTTTTATAAATAATGTAATTAAAACTTATCTGTTTATTTTTATTAAATTTAAATTCAAAAATGTTTTTAAATAATATTTTTTTAAATTAAAGATTTGGGGCCTGGCTTAAAAATTAATAAAAAATTTCTTACCGGACTCAAACCTAATAAAAATTGAATTTGTAGATTTTTCTTTTTTACATTCATTTTTTAAAAATATTGTTTTATCAAAATAAAGAATTTCTGTTATTGGTAGTGTTGTTAAACGGCTCGTTTTGTGCCAATTTTTAAAACGGCTAACTCAATATTTCATCCAGAATAATATTACGCAAGCCTGAAGATTTTGTTTGTAAAAGGAACAAAGGTTTGGACACGAAATCTTGAGGCTCAGGCAATATTTTTCTGGCTAATTTTTTAAGATCGGCTCAAAACGAGCCATTTAACAACACTAGTTATTGGGATAAAGCGGGATTTTTTTAATTTAAATTCTAAAATGTTTTTAAATTATATTTTTTTAAGTTAAAGATTTGGGACCAGGCTTTAAAATTAATAAAACTTTCTTTTCGGACTCAAACCGAAAAAAAAAACTGAATTTGTAGAGTTTTCGTTTTTAAATTCATTTTTTAAAAAATATAAAAAATATTGTTTTATCAAAATAAAGTAATGAAAACTTCTCTGTTATTAGGACAAACCGGGATTTTTATTAAATTTAAATTCAAAAATGTTTTATTATATTTTTTTAAATTAAAGATTTGGGACCAGGCTTTAATAAAAAATTTCTTACCGGACTCAAACCGAAAAAAAAATTGAATTTGTAGAGTTTTCGTTTTTAAAATTCATTTTTAATATCCATATTGCGTTCTTAACAAAAATTATGCTGCACATTAGACCTTTTAACATGTTATTGTATATATATTATAACGTTACTTTAGTTATACCACGAAACAACATAAATATAATAAAATCGATTCTTACAACAATAATTAAAAATAGCTTTTTATATTATTATATTAGAGGGTCCTTATGGTATCTTTGCAGGAAGGGACGCGACACGAGGCCTAGCCAAGTTTAATCTCTCGGAAATCACGGATAACCCTCCAGATCTTTCCGATTTAACTACCATGGAGATGGAAAGTATAAAGGAGTGGGAACTTCAGTTTAATGGTAAACATAATCTTTTACCACCATATTTGAGAATAAAAATTAATTAGGCAGACGATAGAATTATGCGAGTCAATTTTTAATATCAAATAAACAATTTTATATTAGGGGTTTCATTAAAATAGATAACCTGCTATTTGGTTTTTGATTTTTTGTTTTGTTTTTGAATGCGACTTTTTAATCTTGATTTATTTATAAAATAATTGTTTTTGATATTTTTAAAAAATAAATTTCTTGATTTTGAATAATTTTTTTTAAAAGTTAATATTGAAATTTAAAATTAATTTTATCTGCCATAAAGGAACACCGTTTTTTTAGAAATATCTTAATTTCGATTGTTAAATAAAAAAAAAATTTTAAATGAAGAGAAATATTTTTGCGTGGGCCGTCTGATAAATGAAAGTGAAGATCCAAGCGCTTTTGTAGCATCCATGATCTCGATCGAAGCATTAACCAAAGCCAATAACAAAACATTAAATAACTTGGTCATTCAGTCAGGTGACAATATAATTCATGATGACGATGATAAAAATTATTTTGAATCTCATTTTGAACCGCTTTTCTCTGCCAAAACCATACCTTCCGTTTCCAAATATTTTGCTGATGCTGTATATAGATCTAGAAATTCTTCCGAGGACACAAAATCGTTGCCTGATTTCAAAATGACTGTGGCTGATGATGTAATGGACGATGATGAAGAAGTCCCCTTATATATTAAACAGGATATTGAGGTGATAGATCAAAATCTCCTTTACACTAATGGCCAAGAAGAAGCGTTACCTTACAACGCTGACAATTCTATTCAAAACAATAATAGTAAATATTTACTTCGTTACCGTGGAGCAATGTCCTCTTTCCCCAAAAATGATAATCACCACCATCTTCATGGAGATAGCAATGGATATAATTTTATTAACGAGAATGAATTAGATGATCACGATTATCCAAATGATCCATGCAAAAATAACTTACCTTTCACTAAAAATATTAGCAATGTATTGCCCCACCCTAAGATGGTCTCCTTTGATATCCAAGATAAAAAGGAGTTATGAATTTTCAGTTTTATGCTTTTTTTTTGTTTCGAGAATGGATAATTAATATTTATGAGGGTCTTTAAATTAATATTGTATTATTTTATCTTGAAGTCTGAAAAAGATAAAAGTCTATTTTTTTATTTAGTTTCACAAGTGCATTTATAACTATTTTTTGTAAAATTGTCTTAAAAATTTATGTATAAATTATAAATTCACAATTTTTATATGCCATATTTCTATCGATGTAATTAGCATATTGCTCATAAAATTATGATTTATATATAACCTATTTATTAATTTATTTATAAGGTTTATTATATTTAAAATGCAAAAGTTTATATTTAATATGTCATCAAAAATTATGTTCCTTCCCATTTTCACTCTTACCCATTATCTCGGAATGTTAGCTTTTATTCGTAAAAAAAAAATATTTATTAAGTATTATAACAAACACCTAGAGTATATGATTCTATATTATGCTATTATAATATTAATGTATTATTTTAAATTGAAAAAAATATATTTTGTTTTGTGCCCTTTTTTTATTGATAACATTTATACCAATGGTATTTTTCGATTTGCCATGTTACGAGCAGGCGTTTTTAAAAAAATTTTTGACTTGAAGCACGATATATTAAATTACATAAAAAAAATTATCGAAATATATCACCACATTTCTAAGGATCTTGGATTAATACAATTATAAAAGTCTATTACAAATAAATTTAAACAAGTAATGCATAGTGTTGTTAAACGGTTCATTTTGAGCCAATTTAAAAAAACGGCTAACTCAATATTTTATTAGGAAAATTATTATGCAAACCTTAAGATTTTGCTCATAGGTGGCACAAAGGTTTCAACATCAACGAAATCTTGAGGCTTAGACAATAATTTTCTGGCTAAAATATTGAGTTAGCCGTTTTTAAAAATCGCCTCAAATCGATTTGTTTAACAACACTAGTAATGCATATCGCACATTAGAATATACATTTACTTGGGATGTTTTAAAAATAAAAATTATAAGGCCAGGGGCGGGCTTAAAATTAATTTAAGAAATTATATCAATTAGTTGGAAAATGTAAAAATTTATTCATATGGACCAGTCTGTAAAATGGAAAAATCGTGGAACATGTGTCTTTGATTTTTTAAAATTCGGACTGGGCTTAAAATATAGATCCATGTAGGGACTCTATTTTATATGTTAGCTGTAATGTTCCCGACAATATTTTATTTTTTCAACTTTAAATAATTTTATGAGCGCGTTTTTTATTTTTTAATCAGATTTCTGGAAATATATTCCAGCATGTTTAGAATACCTATCATATGAATTGTAGACAACTACGCCACTGACCTTTGAGTCATTTATAATTTATATAAAAAAATCTAGAAAAATGAATTATTAAGTTGAAAAGTACATGGCAAAATTGTATGAAATTCATAGGGTAGGCATTCCAAACATGATTTATATACATTGCTGGTAATATCAAATCCTTAAATTTAAAAAAGGCGCTCAAAAAATGATTAAAAGTTGAAAAATAACAGAAAAAACGTTGCCGCTAATATATAAATAAAGAATACAGGCAAACAGATTTTTTATTATTTTGTATGTCTTCAGTGGGCTTCTTAGGCATTTCATGGAAGAGAGTACGCATGATTAAATTGGGGGAGGTTAAGTTGGGAAGACGCGATCGACATAAGAATAAAATTCGAGTGGTTAAATATAGGGAGATATGCTAATTTTGATTTGGTAAGCAGGTAATATCATTGGCTTAAGAATGCAGAAGTCCTCGGAGCAGCCTTATCTTTGCTTTCATTAGTCACCTCATTGTCCACTCCTTTTGTAATAATTATATAAAACGTCATCTAAATTGCTCGTTAGCTTGGTGTTTCGGCCATCTTAGCATAAACAATGGTCCAAATATAGAAGCAACCTTTAAAAGGATTCTCGTTTTTGTTATGTCCAGATTTATTCTTTGCAGCCTGGATTCGAACCGACTTCATGGGCTCTATGCCAGGATGTTATTTTTAACATCTAAATTTTCTAGTGTTGTAAACGAACGAGATCGTGAACGAAGTTTTTTTTGAAAAAAATGATGAACGGCGTTCCTTTTATTTTTGACGAACTTTGAACGTGAACGCGTTCTTTTTAACGTTCATTCAATTTTAAAATATTTTTATATATTTGAAATATCTAATATTAATCTGAATTTTAGTCTTATATTTTATAATCAACTGTTTTTCACATTTCAATTTTTTTTTAACAGGCCATTATAGTTTATTAATTTGAATATTATTGTTTATATTTTATTTAATAGATTAGCATTAACATGAATATTATTATTTCATTATCTGATTCTGAAAGTTCAAAATCAGATGAATTAACATTACCATGGCCTAAATATGATAAATATATTTTGTAACATATTGAAGGAACTATCTTAATACTTCCCGAATGTAAAATGTTCCCAAAAGTGTTATATCAGTTTCAAAATCTTCAAGTTTTAATTTAAAACGACATTTGATTGTAATATTAATTATTTTATTTTATATAATCTAAGTGAAATCATTAAATTTGAATAAAAAATGCATTTGGACTATTTCACCCCGACAATAACTATAGTTATTTTTAAATTAAATTTTTTTAGTGGATTAAACCATTGATAAACGCAGTATTAACCCTTCAATACTCCGGTGGGGTGTAGGAAACCCCAGGCATGCTGGAAATGATATTGCATAAAAACGGTTAATTATCATGATCTGGATTCTTCAGTAGCTTCATCAAATAAATCTTAGAATCTATATTCCAAATTTCATATATTTTGGTTGAGTAGTTTTTAACATATAAGCATTCTGTGACTGCTTGGGGTTTGTGAGACCCCACCGGAGTAAATTCGTAATTTTTTTTAAAATTTTTTTTTTAAAACTTTTATAATTATAAATATATACCACTATATTATAAATTTATTAAAACGAAATTTGAATATAACATATTTTGAATGAGATATATGAAATTGAAAACACAAATATTTTTTCTGGTGGAGTTATTTTATTTATTTTCTCCAACAAACTCATTTTTTAAATTATTTCTATCATCTACTATAATTTTTGCAGATTCTGAAAGTAAATATAAATGTAATATTTTTTTTTGAGGTGATTTGGATAATATAATTAATAGTGAGGATGAAGATTTTATGTATGATAGTGATCATAGATGAAGAAGAAGATATATTAGCTGAAACAGATAATAAGCTTAAGTATTATTTAGGTAAATATAAAATCATTTATCATAGTATATTTCTCTTTAAAATTAGCTAAAAATAAGGTTACTCAATGGAAAAAGGATTTTCCTTATCAGAGAATAAGAACTCGTCAGCAAAATATAGTTATTGATCAGCCAGGAGTAAAAGAATATGGGAAATTAACTGACACTCCAGAAAAATGTTTTGACTTGTTCATAACACCAATAATGATTGAAGAGATAATTTATCATACCAACCAAAAAATTAAAATTGTAAATCAAAGTTATAATCAATATGAAAGTTCTACAAAAGAAGTTGATATAACTGAATTCAAAGCATTATTGGGAATTCTTTATTTAGCTGGAATTTTTAAATCTAACCATCAAAATATGTCTGATTTATGGAAATCTGATGGGTTTGGAATTGATATATTTAGAGTAACAATGCCTCCTAAAAGATTCAGATTTCTAATTCATGCAATGAGATTTGATGACATACTAACAAGAGAAGAGAGAAAGGTGGTAGACAAAGCAACACACATTAGAAATATTTTTCAAGATTTTGTTGATAACTGCCACAAATCTTATACAATATCAGAATATGCAACCCTAGATAAAATGCTTCCAGCATTTCGTGGTAAATGCCCATTTAGACAATACATGCCAAACAAACCATCCAAATATGGCATAAAACTATACTCCTTGGTGGATGCCAAAACATTAAATATTTTTGTCAAATATGCAAAATAAATTTATGTTTAGAACACATTAATATTTTATGTAACAAATGTTTTGATTGTCAAATTTAACATATTTCAATGTTCAATATTTTTTTTATATTTGAATTTATCAGTGTAATTTTTTTTTAATATTGAAGAATAAAGATCCATGTTATGAATTATCAGGATTATATGATGGATAAGTTATTTTTTTAATTTTTAATTTCCACTTTAAAAAAAGTAAGTTTTTTTTTAGAAAATTTTGGCACAAATTATAATTATCCTCACCATCTTTAATCTAAACTTAAGAAATAAAAATAAATAAATATTTTATCAAGTTTAAGGTTACTTCTATCTTATATTCAAATATTAAATCAAAATAATGAATATAACTGGACATATATACATTTGAAATTGGGGTCTATTAAACCCCACCGGAGTACTAACGTCATTTTTTTCACCGGAGTATTGAAGGGTTTTAAATGGGATTAATAAAAGGTATTAAACCTATCACTATCAAATTAATTACATATATTTTATTATTTTAAGGATTTGAACATATATATGAAGATGAATATGTTCTTTCTGCAATTATACATCCAATATTCAATGGCCATATAAAACTTCCACAGAACCCACTTATCTAGAAATGCTAATGCAAGAACTGTTAATTTCGAAGTATCCTTTTTTTGACGACGAAGTAAAGGATGGATTGGAGTAGGATAGCCAGTGACCCCTACACTTTTTGAGGGATAGAAGCAGAATACCCCCCTAAAGTACCCCCCCCCTTGTAAATTATTTTTTGACAATAAATTTCAAAAATAATTTTTATTGCATCAATATTTATTATAATATAAATATAATGTAAAAAATATATGCTTTAAAAATATTATTTTTAAATTAATAATTTAGATAAATTAGGGGAAGAGAAAGCAAAAGAATTTATAATTTCATCAATATTTAATTGTTTAAATAAATTATTTTCCATTGATAAAATGGTTAAATTATTAAGAAATGGATCTTTCATGACACTAAGAAATCTTGTTTTAATTAGTTTAATTTTACTTATGACCCTTTCGGCAGTACATGATGTAGTAGGAATAGTTAATAAATATTTATATAAAATTGTTAAATTTGGGGAAGCAGAAAAATTTATAAGCAGACGAATGAATAGTTTCTCCAGTCTGAATCATTCATCTCAGAATTATTATCATCATCAGAAGAAGCTAAATAATGTATTAGTAAAAATATTTTAATTAAATAAATTTACAATTCTCAGAATCTGATAAATCTTCTTTAACCTCTAGGTCACGAGTAATAATTACGTCCCCCGTTTTAGCCATTTTATAAATATTTCTAAACATCAACATTTCCTCAAAAACTTGACTTGTATTTAATTGATAAAATTCACAGATATCCTTGATATCATCTTTAACAATTGCCTTTTCCGCCATTCCCTTTGGGGTAAAAAATGATGTTTGACTCAAAAATTTTATCGATTCATCGTTAAACCTTTCACTAAACTGCATAATAATTAAATCAAGTGCAGCATAAAACACTGATTTTAAAGCTAAAATAAAATATTATATTTAATAATGAAAGTATATATATACCTCTCCTTTTTGGATTGTAATGTTTGAAGTCTTGAACTTTCAAAATCAAAAGGTAAATTTCTCTTCTTTATAAAGTCTTGGGCCTTTGAAAAGACATCCAAAATTTCAGTGTTATTATCTATTTTAAAATTATAAAATAATAAAAGATAATAATTTAAATTATACTTCTCATATTAATAAGGCAATCTTTTACCAATTGAATTTGATTTATTGCAAACCCTATATCCTTCGAAATGGTTTGCAATTTTGTACAAGCCAAGCATGTTATCAACAATATTTTATCTAAAACAAATAGTGATAAAATAAAATCAAATTTTTCTATTCTATAGACTATAGCACTAGCCATAGTGGAAGTGGCAGGATCTTCAGAATCCTTTAAATTTGCCAAAGCTGCCCTCAAAGCATCATAAAGTAGGAAAAAATTTACAATCGCCTTATATGATGTTAGCCAGCTTCTATAAATATAAAATAAACATTATATATCGAAATAATTAAGATAATATTACCGAGTGGTATTCTTGATGCGTAAAAATCTATGTGATTTTGTCAGTAAATCACTCTGACATGTTTTGAGCACTTCATATCTTTTAACACCATTAAAATGTACTTAAATTTCGTCTAATATTCCCAAGACATTTCGCAGCTCTTTTACTGATTGGCATAATTGAACAACTATTAAATTTAATCGATGACAATAGCACCAAATAAAAGCTGCCTTTGGCGCTTCCGCTCTAATCAAAGCCTGCACTCCATTAATTCTTCCACTCATGTTTGAGGCGCCATAATAGCTTTGCCGCACTAGGAATTCGAGGGGTAGATTCATGGAGCCAAGCTTGGATATTTTATTCTTTTTAATATCGAGGCCCGTTGTATTTCCCGTACAATAAATGTCTATCAGCCTTTCAACGGGCTTAGGTGTCTCGCTATTTTCAACATATCTCACTGTCAAAGCTATTGCTTCTGATTTCGATACATCACATGTGCCATCAACTATAATTGAATAGCACCTGTTGAATTCAATCTCCTTTTGAATTTTTTTTATAATCATATTTTTCATGGTTTCAATAAGAATATTTATATTATTATATGATAACAGATTTGTATATAATTTAGATTTTAATCCCTTAATTTTTTTCTCACTTCTTCTTTCTTCATTATCTTGTATATACATTTTAAGAACAGGCTCAGAATCTGCAATAAGTTTAATAATGCTCATCATTTTGCCATCTTGTTGCCTGTTCCCCCAGAAGGCTTGATTGCGAGATATTAAATATCCTAGGCATCTTATTATTATTCTAACGATATAACGGTTATTATCGACACATTCCTTTTGGGGTATTATAAATTGTAATATGGAATTTTTATTGTGAGAAAGCCTTCCATAATCGGCCATCATATGTGCCTGTGAAGATTCATGCACAATAATATCACGATTTTTCCATATATTAAGACCTTCACATGTCCATTTTGAATTTGAGTGTGGACCTCCAAATAATAGACATGTTAAGCAAAAATCTTTATTCATTTTAATACTATATGTAATCCAATTTCTAGCAACTTTGCTCTTGTCAATATTAGTTTTCTCATAAAAACTTTCATTAAAGGATCTGTTTCTTTTATTAATATCATAAAAACTTTCATTAAAGGATCTGTTTCTTTTATTAATATCTTTGGGGAATAAATAATGTTTAGGTTGGAGAGCTCCTAATTCTAGATATTGATCAATTATAAATTTGTCAATTCTTTTTCCAACAATATTGATGGGATCATTTGATTCCTAAGAAAATGGAGGGGGAGGGAAGATAAAATAAACATAACATATTTCACATTAAATCGGGGTTTAACTTCTTTTGCTGATCTTGATAACTCATTATTCTCCATTATTATCAATCCCACAACACCAGATCCAGATGGCATCTCTTCTTGATGTTGATCCTCTTCTGTAACTGTAGTAGTGTCCATAATATTTATCTTTGACATGATAATATCTTCTGTAACTGTAGTAGTGTCCATAATATTTATCTTTGACATGATAATAATTATAAATTTATATTTATTTAAATATTATATTACTTTTTTCTTGAACTTTTTCTTTAGCTGAAAAAGAGTGAGTAGACATTGACATTGAAGTATCTTTTAAAATAATATCTTTTGCCTATTAATTTTAAAACAAATATAATCTAATAATAAATATTTTTTTAAATGTTGTACTTGAAAATAATTCTTTATGGTATTACTTTTGTATTTTAATAAAAATTTTGGTTGTGGTTCTTCACCTTGTTCTTGTTCCATAGCCATACTCAGATTAATCTTAATGGGTGTAATTTGTTTTTCTTCCTGTTGTATTCATTAAAATTTAAAGATAAATTGATATTTATTACCAGTAGAGAGATAATAGGTATTACTTGTTCTTCATCATTGTCAAATCTCTACTCTATGTCTGCCTATAAAAAATATTAGAGTAGATAAAAAATAAGAATAATAAAATAACTTCTGGTTCACCAATTTTATGATCATTATCAGAGTCAGATATAATATTTTCTTCTAACATATTTTCATTATTAGTACACTTTTAAAAAAATAATCATATTAATAAAAATATTTATTATCCAACAGCATTGATTTGCCAATTTTTACTTCTTTTTCCTTAAATTGTGTTTTAATACCCTTTATAAATAAGTATAAACAATTATATATTTAATAAAAAAATTACTTTGCTATTTGTCCAATTTTGAGAAATATTCTTAAAAGCTACTATTTCAAAGCTTTTATTTATATCGTGAAAATTAAGCCCACCATATCTTTTTCTAATATGATCTGTCTATTTATCATATCTTATATTATGATATGTACAATTTTAATCAAGCATTTATATTTTTTTTGGTTAATATTTTTGGGCATATTTTGACAATGATCTAAAAATTATAAATGATTATATATAAGATTTAATATTTAAATTTTTACTATTCCCTTTGATAAAATTTTAATTTTGCGCCAAATCTTGAAAGTGGAAAAATAATTTTATGATAAGAAATATCGGATAACAAACTAATTTGCTAAACATCGACCATAAAAATTTAAAAAAAAAATAAAAATTTTTTTAAAAAAGTACCCCCATAGAAATTTATAGAAGCAGTTGCTTCGGACCCCCCCCCCCCGTTGTAGGGGTCACTGAGGATAGCTTATCTTTTTTTGAAGCAAAGGACAAAACAATAAATGTTTTAATAAATTCCCCACATTAAATGAGTTGTTTATGTAACCGCATTCCCCTTATCTGCCTCTGTAGAGCTCATTTTTAGTATAGCTAATACCGTATTAACTACCAAGCATTCCTGTCTATAAGATAAAAATTTTGAAAAACAATTGTTATTAAAAATTAATAAGGAAAAATTTTTATAAATAAAAATATCTTTTTATTCGCTATATTATATATTATTTTTTTTTTATATTCATGATATATTTATTTTACTTTTTAATTTACAAATAGTTTACATGATATTTTTAAATTACGTATATAAGTTTTACTTTTAACGTTCAATGTATTATTTGTATAATTAAAAATGTTTGAAAAATATATAATAATACTATTAAAAAAAGAACGGAGATGGTGTGACGCAGGGAAACAAAAATGAAAAAGGGACGTAAGCGTTTTCTATGATAGCTCTTTGGCTAGAAGGCTACCATAGAAACTGATATAATTAGCTTTGTGAATCGCTATGGATAATCGTTGACGAAGAAAAAAACCCTCTCGGGGTTCTTCTGAGAGTTTGCTGATTTGTGATCCTAATTTTTTGAAAAATGCTAAGGCGAGTTTGCCGAAGGTGCCAAGAGTGGTTGATATGATTGGGATGAAGCAATGATCGTTTATTATTTCTGTGTATTTAGAAATTTTAAGTTGTTCCTTCTGGTCAAGGATGTTGATGGCGTGGTTGGATGGGGCCAAGGGGTCAATACAGGAATAGTCCCATACCAAAAGTTGGCCTCTCCTCCATGGGATTTGAGAGATCCCATCAGGACGTTTACCGTCAGATCTAAAAAGACCCTGTGGTTCTAACGTGGAAGGAATTTGGGCGGATTTCAGAGCATGTTGGATGATTGTATTACATTGCTTGTGTCTGATGAATCGTCCATTGCAGGAGCGACAATGTAAACTATGTCTACCCTTCGAGTCAACTGGCGAGTTGCACCCTGAGCAGATGTGGGGGTGAGTGATGGAACAATTTAGACGAATGCCGATGGCATGGGTAAATTCATTGTTGGATAGTTGAAGCTGAAGATTGGTAGATGGGATGGCCTCAAGAAACTCATGTCCCGTACCATTGAGCAAGGAAGAGAATAGGGTGCGGTCGGTAGATTGCATGCTAGATAAGAGAGTTTCAACGCAGCGAGCAACCACTGGTGCATCCCAGTCTTTCTGTTTATGGGTTGTGGGGGGATGAGAATCAGCATTGATCCTTGTTTTCCAAATATCCATAGCAACGATTAAGGAAAGGTCTTCTTTAGAATTATGGGCGGTGGTTATTGGCTTTGTCAAGAGACTACTCGATATGAAAGTAGTTGTTGCTAAGTCAAGTGGAGATCTGATGCCGAGACCACCAAATTTGGTTGGAAGAGTTGCTTGGGCCCAAGCAGTTTCGTTGAATCTGATATTTACTATTTTTTCGGTTAAGTCCTTTATTCCTTTTTCATAAGTTTGGAGAGGAATAGGATATTTAAAAATTGGAGTTGACCGAAGTGCGTAAAGAATCCTTGGTATAAAAAAGAAATTTTTTAGCAAAAAAAAGGACTTGTGTGATGGAAGAAGTGTAAAGATGTCCTCCAGTTTAAGGAGTATGTCAAGTGAGGAATGAAGAAAGGTGCTTATTGCCTCGTGTCCTCCAACAGGCGATCCTAGATGTGTTAATTCAACGCTTGATGTGAATTTGAAATCGTGAGTGTTGGGAGCATTAGAATTTAAAAGTGAGAATTCAGATTTGCTCTGGTTAAGCGAAAGTCCAATGGCTGTGCCCATTTCTTTAATTATGGTGACTGCTTTGGCAATTTCACTACTGGGACCACTCAAGATTCCATCATCAATATACCAAGCGTGGAGCGATAGAGTACTTGAAGAGTTTATTGATTTTATCATGTCATTGATTCCAAGACTAAAGTGAAGGGATCCGAGAGGGTCACCTTGTTGGATACCCTCAACAGAAAGTATCTTTTCTTTGTTGAATTGTAAGATTGTTGGTGATTGGTAGCAAGAGAAAAGAAATTTGGTATAAGCTGGGAAATGGAAGCAAGTTGAATGTAGGAACGTGTTGCGCGAAAGAGTGTTGTAAATTTTTACTATGGATTCGTTTTTTGGGTTATTTTCAAGGTGAATTCTTGCTAAGTGCACAGCAGCTTCACACCCACCAGGTATCCCTACACCAAGTTGATAGGGGCTTAGAATGTGTGCGGCATCGTGTTTGATTCTAGATGCGATTAATTTAGCGACCAATCTACGGTAAGTTGAACCAATGGCGATGGGCCGAATGTCCTTGTTTGGTTTTTGGAGTGCGATGAGTCTGGCACCGAATAGTAAGGGGGTAATAAAGCTGGGTACGTCTCCATTTAGGATTTTGTTGACTAAGTTTGTGATTTTAGTGAGAATTGAAACCTGTGTACAGATCACAGGAGAGGTAATGTCCTGTAAAAAAATTGGTCTAATCCCATCTAGACCATGAGCCGAATCCCGATGAAAAGATAGGATTGCTTTCCTTACTTCTTCCTGTGTGAAATCTGCTGCACAATGGGAGAAGGGTTGGGGCAATATTGGCATAAATGTTGTTGTGGGATGCTTTGATCGAAGCTTAATTAAGGTTTCTAAATTGGATTCCGCCAGAGTGTCATTGGTTGAAATGAGTTTGAGGGCCCCATTGATATTAAGACTGTCAATTTTCTTCGAAATCAATGAGGCTTTTTGTTGAAGTGGGGTTATTTTTTTTTTGTTTATGGGATGTCTGAAGATTTGGGACTCATGAAGATGAGTGTTGATGTTTAAACAGGCATCTTTTATTTGTTGAGTTAATGATTTTTGGAGTGATATGTCAGGTATTTTGAAAGTATTGTACCCAAAGTTTAAAAATTTTAACCATTCTTCTTCTTTGTTAAAATTTTGCAAAAGAGAAGATATGCAGTTGCTGAGAGATTTAGCTACTTGTATTCTCGCTCCTTTGGGTATTCTCGTTATGATACTTGGTTTTGTGGAGTTAAGAAAAATATCTGAGAATGAGGCACCAATTACTTGGTTTAAGGGAGAATCTATGAGAGGGGGGGAAGCCAGTAAGTGATCTGATAAAGAGGCGTGTGTTTTGAATGCGGACACCTGTTAGAGATTGGTCCATGAACAAAAAATTCTCCATCATTTGTTAGATGTATTTGTTTCATGCAGGATGGGCAGATTCTGCGTTCGTGGGGAATGGCCATAGGTATAAAAAATAAAAAAAATGCTGCCAATAATAAAGCAAAAGCACCTGTGAGAGGTCTGTTGATTGATGTGCAAAAATAGCAAAGGAATGATGAATGTGTATGTCAGAAAAATCGAGCAACGAGCGAGAAAGGTGCTCAATATGAGAGGTTTCAAATAAAAAAAGGATTAATTATTATAATTATATTATCAAAATAAAACTATATTATTTTTTAACATGGCTATAAGACATTTATTTATATTAAATTATATTTTAAAAAAAATTCATAAAATTTTGAACATGAACGCTTCCTTTTTTTGAAAGTGAACGTGAACACGTTTGACTTTTGTCAATGAACGCTGAACAGGTTGGATTTTTTTAGAAATGTTTACAGCACTAAAAATTTCACATAAATTTATATGAAAATAGTAAAAAAGCATTAAAATATATATATTTATATGAAAAAGTTAATATATTGCAAATTTAAGATCTTAGGCGCAAATTATACAAAAATAAGTTTTAGGGTTATATTTTGAAATTACATAGACATTTTTGATAATAAGAATAAGTAATTTTGATATGTTAGATTGTCATTACCACGTCAATATATAATAAGAATATTATAGTATATTTTTTTAAAATTCCAATTTGCTAAAAATTCCATTAAAACACTTAGAAAATTAAAACACTAAAAATAAAATACAATTTCATAATTGTGTTCACAAAACGAAACCATAATGTATCGAAAGATTTCTATTTGAATTTTTTGACAATTATATAAAAATTATTTGGCTTTGTTGGCCATATATTGAATTTTATTATTTTTTAGAAATTAAGTTAATGGCAAGAAATGGTCATTTGGTTATGTGATTATTGGAATAAAAAGTAAGTTAAGTTTATTAATCCGTTTTATTACTGCTTGAGTTAGCAGATTGATGTTTATGTTTGAGGGGAATGAAGATCAAGAAATATGATTTCAAAAAGTAATACCAAAAGCAAAGTAGTTGGTATTGAATATATCTAAAATAAAAAGGCGCGAATTGAAATAATAAATTGAGATTTTCTCATGTAGTTTGGTTTAAAATAAGATTAAATTTAATATCCCCAGTCGAGCCAATTTATTAATAATTTCAGGAATATATTTTGAAGAAATAATTAATTTAAACTATTTTCCATTATATTGCTCCTAGAATGGATATATCTTGCCTAACTCCTCATTAATAAATTTTTATATTCCCCGTCGCGAAATCGCGTTAACTGAAAGAGGGGATACCCAGCATTCAAAGCAAAAATTCGAAGCGAAGTATACTAAGTACGCTGTATTTTTGTATACTCATCCCTGAATTCGCGCTAACTGTTAATGAGGGGTATAAAAATCTGTACTCCTTTATGTAAAATATTTTAAGGTCGGGCCAGAATATTTTTACATAACTATTTATTGGCTGGGCAAAATTATTATTGGCCGAGTCTTTTTTCTAAAACAACTGCTATCTATCGGAAATGTGTTACCTTTATTGGAGACATCAGTGCGAAATCATAAGGCGACTTGATTTTGCATATGTTCATACACATGCAAAGATTGGATTGGGAAATTTAAACATAAATAATAGACGAATAAATTTATTAACATGTGTTTATTTGGTAATAAAAATAGAATTTGACATTTTGGTGAAGGAAGATTTTTGTGAAAATAAATAAGTATATTTTTGAAAAATACAGAGCAATTTTTGGTTAAGGATATCTTACTGTTTTTTTAGAAACAAAGGGTTTCACTTTTTTTTGACATTTTTGCTATTACTAGTAAAATGGCAAGACACGGTGTGCATATAAATCAATGGTCTTATTTTACATTCAGTTATTATTTTCTGTCAATATATTGGTCTCCAATTAATCATTTTTACTCTAAAAATTCAAATTATGACAGTAAGTGTGAGGAAGTTAATTGAGATGAGGATAAATGTGGCATGATAAATTATTTAAGGGGGAAAAGTGAAATCACCAGTTATATTATTAATAGAATCCAATTATATTAAATAAATAACTGTTAGTTATATCCTACTTAAACCTTCAAAAAAATTACAATTTATACATCAAGGGGGGAACATACCAAAAAAATTTAACTTTGAAAGCTGGAGGATCTGGAGTTATAATTTGATGCCAATTTTTCCTCCTAGTTATTCTTATATATTATCAGAGTAATGATGCTCATAAGGATATGTGAAAGCTTGTTATCTATCTACAGCAATAACAACAGATGGATAAGAACCAAAAAATAAAGAAAAATAGGGGCCAAAATATAATATGTACATGGCTGGCATATCCAGGGTTGGGTAGTAAGGTGGATACATGTATTTAAATAATAAATACAAATACTTTTTTTGTATTTAGTATTTATTTGAATATTTTACAAAATTTAGTATTTGTTTTTTAAATTATAAAAAAAGCATTTTATATTTATTACGATATCACGATCTTCTGACAAATACAAATACCTTTTTTAAATTATATTAAATACACATTTAATAATTATATTATATTTTCAACCAGAGTAAGCTAATTAACATCTCTATTTTAAATCCATTTAATTTCTAAAATGAGTATTACCGAATGAAAAACACAAGTTATTTTTAAAGATTATGAGGATATAGTAAATGAAGAAAAGGAGTTTCTATATTAAGCTATTATGTCTATAAGACATTTTTATAGGGATTCTGTGACAACATCAAATCTTATGAATGCAATTTGATAATTATGAATGAAATTTTTTTTTCAAAATATCATCAAAAATTAATAACATAGTGAAAGCTAAATGTAATATCTACTAAAAATAAAACCAAAATTATAAATGGAGCGATTTCTTTTTCCAGCAATTTATTCTTTGCTCTGCAAACAGTGATATTTATTATAATCGCAATTATAACATTATTTATGTGATATGCTACTGCTGCAATTAGTGTTGTTAAAACGGCTCGTTTTGAGCCGATTTTTAAAACGGCTAACTCAATATTTTGACCAGAAAAAATATTGCCTGACTCAAGATTTCGATATAATGTCTAAACCTTTGTTCTTTCAATGAAAAATATCTTCAAGCTTGGGTAATATTTTTTTGGATAAAATATTGAGTTAGCCGTTTTTAAAATCGACTCAAAACGAGCCGTTTAACAACACTAGCTGCAATAATAAATATATTATTTATAATGTTTACATATTACTACAGATTTCCAGAAAATGGTTAGTAAAAATATTATTTAATTTAAAAAAATCTGATAGTATGGTACTAAGATAATCGATTTACAAAAAGTATTAGTTATAGTATATTTATGCAATTCGTCATATTTGTATTAAATAATTTTTTTGAAAATATTTTATAGGTATTAAGTATTTATATTTATAAATAATTTTTTGAAAATTTGCTAAACCCTAGGTGTATCATTCACAAAATGAGTTTAATCTGTTGAAGGTTTAAATAACTATTGCTACAGTATATTTGATAAAACATGGAAAGAATCTGATCTAATTGAATTATCCAATTTTTTTTTCTTCGAATAATGTAATATGATATAGACGAACATTTTTGAGCTATTTTCAGTCTACCAAATCATAGATAATAAAAATTGTCCAACCAATTAAATTTGAGTATTTATTTTCAAGATCAAATCTGAAATTTTATTTTAGAAATAGATCTTACTCTGATACAAATTATTTTGTGTTATTCTTAAAATATTTATAAAAATATAAGAAAAACAAAATAATTTCAAAGCTGAGGACCAGACCAAGTTTAGTTTAATCCTAAATAAATTTATATTCAAAGTCCAAATCCAACCAAGTCCTAGAGAATATCTGTCTAAGCTGTTGCAAGTTAAGGTGTATTAATAATGATTAGTCTATGCAGGCATGAATTAATACCATCTAATAAGCAGATAAATAAGCATTGTGTAAGAAAAATTATCATTTTTATGTGAGAAATGCAGGAACTTACATGGAGCTTATGCCATACAAAATTTGAATAATAAAACTAATGTATATGGTTCAATTTTTTACTTGATACCATTAAATATCAAGAAATCATGAAAAAAAATTGAAGAGGGAATGGGTTTAGGCAAAAAATAATAATTGTTGTTTTAAAAAGATGATTGTAATATTTTAAAATATCTTAGCAATTAAAAACTATTAAAGCAAATTTTTTTATAAATAAAAAATCTACTTTACTTTATAAATATTTAAACTAAATATTGACTGTCCTGTGTAAAAATTAAAAGCCCCCACTACCTATGCATATAATATATTTTAAATAAGGATCAACATAGAACAATTAAAAGATGATTAGTGGAAGAGGGGGGGGGGTGCATATAGTTTATTTATATAAATTTAATAGAGGAAATTAATTATCAAAAATTTTATTACATTATTTTAGTTAAGTTAAAAAAATTTCTTTTAAAATATATAACTATTAGAGACTTCTTCTTCTTTTAAGATTATATACATATCATATTATCAATGCATTCATTTCAATAGTGCATATAAAATATTTTAGAAAATTTATTTAATCAACGATATCCATATCAAATGTTTTGTATATTTCCTTTATGGTTACACCTTTATATCTAGCCAATTCTCCAAATATTTTGAGACCTATATCTTTAATATCATTATACTCATGCAACAAGTTCATATATATTTGTGATTTATCTAATCTATAATTAAACATTATATATTTTAAAAAAATATATTACTTGTATCCAATTTTTATAAACTCTTTAATTTTTTCTTCTATCTCATTTAGTTCTTTTTCTAATTCTTCTATATTTTGAGATACCCGTTTCCGTTTTAGAGGAGTTCTAAATGGCTTATTTAAAACATTGTTAGAAGATTTTTGCATACCGATTTATAAAATTTTTAAATTAACATATGGTTTTTATGTACAAATGGGATAGACATCCATATGACATTATTTGTTAAACAGCGCTTCTGCAATTTTAAATTTTTGGTTTAATTAATCTCTTTCCTCTTTATATGCCTTACCCTATGCTATAGCTGTGTTATTATACTTTGTTATATTTTATTTTAAATTTATATTCTTTGCGTATTATTACTTCGAATGATCTAGCAAAAGTAAGAAAAATAATTGGTTTGGAAATGAGGTTAATTTATTAAATGATCTAAATTTTTGTTAAATCCAGTAGGTGCTATTTTATTTTTTGAAATGATTTTGATATATTAATATTAGATGCGGAGATTTTTTATCTGTACAATAAAAAAATTATTATGGCTTTAATCCTAAATTAGTCTAAAACCAAATTTATTTTCGAAAAAAATTGTTCTTTGTTTGAATAAATAACTGTAAATTTTTGAGCAAAAAAAATTACAATATTGTAATTTAAAAGCTATTATTTAATATTTTGAACAAAAGGTTATCTTAAAAAGTACATGGTTTGGTTTATTATATTATATATGGCTATTCTGGACGAGGTTATAATTTAGCAGAAACCATTATGTACTTTATAATTTTTATATAAAATGTATTATCATTCACTCATATTATCTCATATATAAACTGGAAAATGAGGAAAAAAGTTCAAGTATACTATAAGATACAATGCGATATATATCATATTATGATATTTATATTTATCATATTATTTTTTTAAGATTTCATATGTGATAAAAGAAGAGATCGAAAAGTTTAATCATAATGGTATAAACGCTTTGCAATATAACTACGTCAATGATTCTCTTTACACAGCAGGTCGAGATTCTATCATACGATTATGGAACACAAATCAGACTGAAGTTTTTTGTTAAAAATTATTATATGATTGATTTAAAATTTAGAGACCATACATATTATCAATGGAGCATCACACAGACTGGATTAATGATATTGTACTTTGTTGCAATGGAAAGAATTGTTAAAATCTGAATTCTATATTTTAAAAATATTTTTTTAGTAATATCTGCATCAAATGACACTACTGTTAAAGTTTGGAATGCTCAAAAAGGTTTCTGCATGTCTACATTAAGAACTCACAAAGTTTTTATAATTAAAATATAAATGATATATTTTTGTAAAGGATTATGTTAAAGCCTTGGCATATGCTAAGCATAAAGAACTTGTAGCTTCAACAGGCTTAGATCATACTATTTTCTTATGGGATATTCATACCTTAACAGCATTAACAGCAACCAATAATATAGTTACAAGTATTAAAATTTGAATAACAAATAAATTAATATTTAAAGTAAAATAACAAAAAAAATAAGAAATTCTTGTTTATTTAAGTCAATTATCTTTTATTTAATATATAGTATATTTATTGTTCAAAATAATTAATTATTTAATATATTCTAAATAAGAATTATAATAAAATTTAAATTTATTGCATTTTCCTATTATATTTTTATAATATTTAATTATTTTTCTTTGAATATGGTAAGATTAGAGCAAAATTGATTCTTTATCCTATCTTCTATATGATTGATTTATTATTTTAGTTTATTTTATGATTATCAATATTTTTTTTATATATGGTTGTATTGGGATATGAAATCCACAGGTCTTAAAAAATATATAAAATATATGAAAAAAATTTTCTGAAATTCATAAGGTAGGTTAGTCATATGCATTGGGCCTAATTTTTGCCCAGTTCAAATTTTTTTAAAAAACGTTTTGCATGCCCATCTCAAATTTATTTAAATATAGAAATGAATTTTTATAATTACTCAAAATAATATATGTTATATGGCATCTAGTTTCTATAAATAAAATCAAATATTTTTATTTTAAGAAATTAATATAAAATTGATAAATTCAGATATATTTAAAAAAATTCCAAGATCAACCCAGCCCGAATTTTTTTAAAAAATTATAGACCAACCCATCCCAAATTTTTTTTAGAAAATATTAGGCCTGACTTAGCCTGAATCCAATTTTTTTAAAAAAAAACTTAGCCTGAAGCCCATTTGGGCCGGGTTCAGACTGGGCCTACTCCAGTTAAAAAAATTTTAATTTTTTTTAAATGCCTTCAGTAAATTATTTAAAATTGATAGATTCCAAATCCCCATATATTTTATATCCCAATATTACATGTATTAGATATCTGCAAGAGTAGCTCACCAAAAGTTTGGCAAGTGGGGCTGGCTAGATAATTTATTCATAAAAAAAATCAGGCAGGGCTTCATAAATCTCTGATTTTTTAATAAAATTTTGATAGGCCAGTCTAGGAGTTGAAATTTTGAATTTCATTATAATATTTTGATTAATAATATTTGAAAATAAACACTAACTAACTAAATCTATAAATAATAAATTCATAATAAATTAAACAAATCATTTATCATATGATTCAATTACAAACACACAATTACAGATATCAAAATTTTGAGAAATTGATAGCCCTAGAGAGGAGATATAAGAGCTAGATTTCTGTAAAAGTGGGCCTGACTTGAACAGTCTTTAGGCTTGATCTATTTTTTTTAAATTTTATAGTTCGGGCTGTGTTGCCTTAATATTTCTTTAGAAAATTTGGGCCAGATCAGGCTTAATTTTAGAATATTATATGGTTAAAATTTTTCAAGAAACAAAACACTAGTATTTTTTTTAAATTTGTTTTAGAATATTTTTTTACGATTAAAAATATTTTAATGGGCCGGGCTGGGACTTGGTTATGTCAAATATAACAGGTGCAATATTGAACCAGTCAAAATTCGATAAGATTTAGATTACCAATATTTATTTATAATATTTATATTAAATAAATAGTCTTTTCAGCTTAGTCGGTCGAGTATATATATATATATCAATCCGATTGTTCTGGGTTTGAATCTGGCAAGAACGATGTTTTTTCCTAGAGCCAACCAGTCATCCCTTCCAAGGCTGATATGGAAGCGAGCGCGTTATTCCATATCTTAAATATATAAAAAAATAGATTGTTTAGAAAATTTGTCTGTTGTTTGTAAATTGCTATATATGACTATATGGTAACTAACATTTACCGGGTAACTTGTGCAAAATTGCCTAACGGGCCGAAAGAGACCAGGCTTTGAAGTTCTCTAATGAATATTTGCGTTTTTCAATACTATAATATTAAAATATTTGACATTATTTTTATTTTTTTAAAATTCATAGTTGTTTCCTTATTTTATTTTTTAATTATAGTTTTGATTTAATGGATTTGAATAAGAATTTCATTTTTTTTGTGTCGAAAACGAATCTCCTGAATTATTTGAACAAGAATTTCCTCATTATTAATAATTTCTTTTCCTTTATTATTTGTAATTTCCATTCCACTTTCGATATCATAAATTACATCAGTATTTGTAATTTAATTACTTTTTCAACTATTTTTGTTCAAGCCAAATGATTATTGATACTTTTAACCATAATTTATAAGGTTTTGTTTTCATTTTTCAGAACCTTAATATACTATATATATAATTAAAATAGAAATGCGCGGCGATATATAATTTTTAAAACAAATTCTCGAATATATGAGGGAATCAAATAATATGATAGATAATCCATAAATTCGAACCTATGAGGTCTTCTTAGTATACCTAAAACAACAAAGTTCTGACTTAATTATGCCTTTTTTTAAAATAACATAGGCGCGAGCACCCTACCTTTCTCCATTTTATCCTCAGAACAGTTTCTCGAAACATAGAACCCAGTTTATACTAATGATAACACTATTGCATTCTTCCTTCCTTCAATATTACTTCCCTTACTCTTATCTGGCTCCAGTAATTAGTGATTTGCATCTGGCCTAATTTTTCAAACCCAACAAGGCCCGAATTTTTTAAAAATTTGTACTGCCCGACCCGATCCCAAACGAATTTTTTTTATTTGTCTCGAAAAGCCCGACCCAAAATAAAAATTATTTGTCGGCCCAGCCCGATTTATTTAAATATAGAAAAATTTAATATTTTTTGACTTAAATAAAATATTCAATAAATAAAGAATATTAGCGCCTTGTTTCTTGCAAGAATTTTAAAATATATCACCTTATTTGACTATATATAATGATATCATATTTAAAAAATTTAAGCCCGACTCAACCCGAACCTAAGTTATTTTTAAAAAATAGACCCGGCCCTAAGTTTTATGGGCTGGGTCATGATTTGCAGATATCTACTAGCAATAAACTACTCTCAAAATTAATATTTCATTTTCTGATTCTCGATTTCTGAGCATATATAAACCTTTGCTTCATTAAACAAATCTCTCCCAATTATTTTAACGTCTTTCATCCTTGTCTACTTTGTTCTTCCTAAAAAACACAAATAGTTTTTCCTGTGTTAATACTCCTCCATTCTCACACCCTGTTTTAGAGCAAGAGGTCAGTGAAGTTCAAATGGCCCCTAAAGATTTAACACTGCTTTAAGCCACTGTGAATAATCTAATGGACAATCCACTTAAAGACTTCTACCATTTGAAGCAAATTTTAGAGAAATTTTATTTGTTATTTCCATATTTTTCCCCTATATTTTTTTTAAAATTATATTTACAATTTTATATAATATTTTAATTTTGCGTAATATATTTTCGTTAAATCATGTTCGTTCATCAATATGATCAATGAATATATTTGAATTTCAAAAAAATTATTAAAAATAAACTTCATCAATCATATATTTTATAGTATAAAATTGAAAATAATTTTTAAATTAAAAAAGCTTCATCCCTGGAGGCTGGGAGAGACTCCATATATTGTTTGACCATGAACGAATCTGGAACCGTGCTAATAAGCGGTTCTACCGAAAAGGTGCTGCGTGTTTGGGACCCAAGAACTTGCTGCAAAATAACTAAACTCAGAGGGCACGATGATATCATCAAAACCGTCGTGGTTAATAAAGATGGAACTAAAGTTTTGAAAAAGAATATTAAATTTTTTTAAATCATTTTTTTTACAAATATAATTTTAAAATTCATTTATTTTTCTTAAATATTTTATTTTTATCAATTTAAAAAAAAATATATCCTGTTTTTTTACGTTTAAATTATAATTACCAATAATTGCATTTACCTACATTTAATTCATTAGTGTATATCCGGGAGTTCAGATGGTTTTATAAAGTTATGGTGCTTAGGTCAACAACAATGTTTACAAACTTTTCAAGTCCACACAGAAGGCGTTTGGACTTTACAGGTCAAAATAGAATTAATAATTTATATTAAAGTCTTAATTGTTATTTAAAATTTATCGTAAGAATTCGCGTATATAGAATAAGGCCGCTTTTATAGTGAGCCAGAAAATAACACATGGCTCTCAATAAAGATTGTACTTGCATAAAAAACATTTCATCAATTAAATATGAGTTAGTCCCGAAAGACACTTAAATAGAAATATCCTATAGTTCTAAGACTTTTTTAAAAGTATTTAGAATCATTTATAAAATATAATTTAGACGGATGAAAATTTTACTAAAGTTTATTCAGCCGGCCGCGATAGGAATGTGTTCGTGACATCCTTAACGGGAACCGAACATAATCCTTCTCTCTGGTTGTGTCGCGAGGAGGCATCCATTTTGAGAGTATATATTATTATTTTTTCTAAATTATATTTTCATAAATGCCTCTCTCTCTATACTTTCACTAAATTCTGTAAAGTTTGTTCGTTTTAAATAAAAATTTTGTGAAAGTAAAAGAAATGTTAATGTAAACCAAAAAATAACTTTTAATATGATATATTATAGATTGTAAACAAACAATAAAAACCTGTTTATATGAAATTTTTCTCGCTTTTGTCGTTTAGATCAGGTTAAGAAATCTTATTTACAAAATATTTTTCGTATCTTATAACGTTTTCCGCGCCTTAGAGAAACCTTTTAAACCGGTTATACTTTATTAAAAAAATTATTTAAAAATAAACAATTACATGCCATTAATAATTGTATAATATTAATTTACAAGTTGCTATTAGATCCGGAAGAAAGATTTCTATGGATATCGACCACTTCCTCTCATCTCAAAAAATGGGTACATATTACATAGATTAGAATTGTTTATTTAATTTAACTCGAAATTGGAATTATATAAATATATAGGTTGCGCATTAATTTATCATGATATAATAATTTATTTTTTAATTTGCCCTTTTCCAAATGTTGAAAAGGAGCTGAGCTCCCTTCCCTCACCATTTTCTCCAAATTTTTAAATGTTATAAAAAGTAAATTTTTTTATAAAGCCAAGAATAAAAATATATTTTAACAATTTTGAAGGAAAATTAGGAAAAAAATCGGGATAATAAAAAGTGAAGTAAAATAATTTTTAATGAAAAATATTCAAACTAAAATAAAAGCTAGTTACAGATGAAAATGCAATAATAACAATCTACAATGATGGCAGATTTTTAAAATTTTTACTTTATTTCAGTGGTATCGATTCCACTGGGTCTCGAGGCTCGACCCATTAAAATATTCTATAAAATGGATAATATTGACCCATTAGAAGTATAAGTTATTCTATTTTTTTAAGATAAGCCTGGTAGAGTGGAATATTTGGAATTATTTATAATAATAATTAAATTTTTAATCTAAGGGAATATTTTTTTTACAAATATCGTTTGATTTAGAAATTAAACTTTTATTTAAAAAATGTACCATTAAAAAAAAGATCTAAAACTTATTAAGATTAAAAATTAGACCAATTTATAATTTATTTTTATAAAGCATCATGTAGCCTCGTCTAATGTATGGCTTTGAAAACGAGGGTAAAATGACTTAACTAAATTTTAATAAAAAGTATATTTTAATTTTAGAAATTCTTTTCGGTGTATTATTTATTTTAAAAAGTAATAATTACCTGGATGCGCTATTTGGCGAGAAGCAAACAAAAAATGCTAAAGATTCAAATTAAGTGAATATGAAATAATTACTGGGGTTCGAAAATATATCGATGAAGATATTCCTAATTAAAAATTTCTTAACTGTGTTGATACTTTATTCTGCAGCATTGCCGAGTGTGAATGGGGCTTTCATCTTATGAATCTGATCATAGTAAATAATCGAGCGATTTAAGGGTAAATATTTTATCAAATTTAATATTCATACATATTAATGGGCATTCGATATCTGAGTGGATTTCGGATCTATATATCAAAATATGGAAAATAAATTATCGCGGGGCTAATGAAATCTCTAATTATCTTTTTGAAATATCAAATAAATCGCAATTAAAAAAATTCGATTATATATATTGTTTTTCGATAATATATAAAACATTATAGCCCCCTCCCCGTCAGATTTTTAAACAGGTGATCACTGGATATAGTATTTGAATCGAACGGGAAATATATCGCCAAAAGATAGGTCATGTTCAGATGAGCGTCAGTGCGAACATATTGATGTCTAAGTGATTGACATATTTGGTTATAATTATTATCATAGATATTTGTAGTTTTGGTGAATTATTTTTCTAATGATCATGAAAAAATGACTAAGATGCATTTATTATTATACAAAATTTTTTGAATAATTAATAATAAATGATTTCTCATTTATCAAATGTAGATGATAATTAACTAAGGGAAGAACTAACTTCCATTGCAATAATAATGATTTGATAGTAGGCCTAAAATAAGATATTGAGCATCTATATTAAATATTAATAGCAGATCAAGAGAAAACAAGATCGATTTTCACACCGCACTATAGTATACTTATTTCCGCCTTATACAAATCTTTATATTGTCTGAATAATGAATTTATTCGGATTTCTTTTACCCAAGGTTATTGTGTGTGTAAGTAAAAACTAGTGATATATTACGTACAAATAGTGTTGTTAAACGGCTCGATATGAGCATATTTTTAAAAACGGCTAACTCAATACTTCATCTAGAAAAATGTTACCCAAGCCTGAAGATTTTGCTCATAGAAGGGAATAGAGTTGGTGCCTTTGAAATCAAACAAGAATTTTATGAACCTGGCATCGCTGGCAATTTTTATTGCATAAAATTTTTAAATATACATAAAAATTGTTAAAAAGAGATAAATAAAAATATTGAAAGCTTCTTATCTTCCGTTAAAAGACACTATCTGGCGATAAAATAATATGAAAAAGATTTTTTTGCTTCATAGATGATAATAAATTTTTCCTGGAAACGGATTTTTTGAAATATTTGAGGCCTGTTTTGTAAAACATGGATTGTAGCTTAAAAATATTATAGATCCTAACCCTAGAAACTGAGGGTTAGAAATGAAGCTGCCATCTTTTTGGACCCCTATTAGACATTCTCGAAAAGCCCATCTTTGCTCAAATATACCCATCTTTACTACTTTGAAAAATATCTATATATTTTATATAGATATTGGATCCAAACAAAATCAATAAGGAGTTGGAGGAATTTTCTAGCAAAAGATCGAGTTTTGTCGACACGTCAATCATTAACCCTCAAAATCCTATGTATTTCGAGTGCTCCTCCATCATTCCAGGTTTTTTTTATATGGACTATTTTGTTTTACATTTTTTTCTCGAAAGCGATTAAAATGGGTTATATTTATAAATGATATTGGTAGTAAATAAATATGTATTTTCGAACATCACCTATTATTTTTTTAGCACTTATAAACAAATTGCGGTTTTCTTAAATAAATAGTAATTTGGTTTAAAAGTAATTTACCAATTAGCGTACCAATTTTTTTAACTGTATTTATCTCTAGTTTTTCGATTTTAAGTTTTAAATGAAGAATGCAAAAGAAATTTAAGGATTTACATAAATAAATATAATTTTAAAAGATTAATTAAAATTATCTAAATAAGTATCTCCTGTTAGCTAGTTTTACTTAAAAATAGTATAGCGCGCTACTTAGAAATGATAAAAAAGAGATTTCGATTTTACAATCGTCTTCTTTGTTACGTTTCAGCAGAAGAGCTCTTCCTACTTGTCTGAAATTAAATGTCTACAACGGGCGGGGATAAATTGAGCTGATTTAAAATTGATAAATTAAAGGGTAAATTTGAAACTTTTTTTTGACATATGAGCACAACCGACTTGTATTTATTTTTAAAAAGGTTTTATTTCATAATATTTTATAGTTTAACAAAAAATATATTAAAATTTAAATAAATTAAGAGCCAAATCAATTAATCAAATAATTTTAAAACTATGGACGAGTGAATTAAGCCAAATTTTTAGATAAGGGAAATGTCGGGTGAATTATTTTTAAAAAATTATAAATGGTCGTGTTAAAAAATTTTTTAAACATTTGCCGGGTGAACTTCGGGTTAAAAACCCCTATTGTAAATATCTAGTTTGAACCTTTAGGGATAGATTTCCTATTTAAAAAAAACACCTCATGTCAAGAAGAAATGAAACTTTTTAAACTGATGGTCATCCCTATATATTTCTCAAATTTGTTCTTTTTTATTAATTGAATAATATTTATAAAAATTAATATTTAGTATCAATAATGTTGATATAGTAAAGTGTGTAAAATTTTGGACCTCAATTTAAAATAATTTCTGATATATAGCCGTTTAAAAATGGGAGAAAAATTAACTTCACCTTTGCTCATTAGGGATTTTTTTCCCACATTTACTCTGAAAGGTTAGAATTTCGAGTCTAACTCTAGTCTATAAATAAAACAAAAATTCAAAGTGAGTTCGGGATTGAAATTATATAACTTCATTTGGTTATAATGTGTTTAATATATTTTTTTTATATTTAACACCGCTTATTTATAACATGCATCCTATACCTATTAAGAGTAAAATGTCCCCTCGCCACATTTTTTTTATGTTTGAATCTTCCCGACTTATTCTGATAGCTTAATTTTATTTTATATAGAATACATCATTTTATATAATTTAATTTTTCATATAATATAATTTATTAGTTAACTATTTTTTTTCTTCATATTATCTTCTTTAAAGTATTATATTATCTTTTTCACTGCAAGGTAAATTATTTAAAGGTATAAATTATTTCTACTATATAATGTAGTAAAATCCATGAATATGCTTGTATATCATATTAGCTATGTACAGCAAAAAATATTGAATATTGTTTGAGGGCACTCTAATAATTGAAATACTTCATAGGCTCTGCACGACTCTTCCAAAACATCCCGGATTATATATATTATTATCTAGTTATGTATATGAAATTATGTTGAATCAAACAACTTAATAAACAATTAAATGGTTTGATTAAATTTTGTTGGATTTTTTTATATGAAATAGTTAATTCAAATTATACCATACTTAATCTTTGAAAAAAAAAACTATTTTACTATTTACGTTTATGAAAGGTACAACATCCTTAAAACAATTCCACGTTTTAGACAATAAAAGGCATATACTCACCAAAGATTCTGAAGAAAACGTATGCCTATGGGATGTATTGACGGTATATCATATGATATAAGATAGATTTTTCACAATTGTATATACAAATCAGATATTTAAAATCGATTGTATATATTTTAAATATTATATACAAATCAGATATTTAAAATCGATTGTATATATTTTAAATATATATTTTAGTAATAATTATTTCATTGAACTAATTAGTTTTTGTAAAAATTCTTAATCTCTAATTCTTTTAATCATAATTAGGCAAGAAAAATTGAGGATTTAGGAAAAAACGTTGATTTTGCCGAAGAAATCGATAGAAGGCAGCAGAAAATGTTTATCCCGTCCTGGTTTGCTATTGATCTAAAAACTGGGGTAAATATTTATATTCCTCTAGAACCATTTGATTTAAATGATACACTAAACATTAATTTTAAATATTATACATTTACCAAATGTTTGGGTTATTTAATCATCTAAATGTAAAATGGAAAAACTTTTTGAATCACTATATTTGTATATCGTATATATATATATATATAACTAAATTGAAGTATGAGATTCCCTGCGAAAAAGTTCAACTGTTGTTGTAAAAGAAGTTTCGAAATTAGTATTTGGCATTGGATGACAAGTATACTAAACCTGTATAAGGTATACAGAAATCGAACGAAACTAACTATAAAGAATAGAAAAAAAACAAACAAATGAATATGCGTGGTATAAATAGGCCTTTGCACCGATGAAATAATTGGCTATGTTTCCTTTAAAACTAACGGCAATCGGCGACGAGCCTATTTTATGCCGCCATATATTTCGACGGCAGTACGGCGTAGAACAAAAAAAATTTACCTGATTTTTTTCAGTAACACTTAAAATAAATAATTTATTTGAAGCAATTTTGGCCGATTTATATAAATAATTTTATAAAAATTTAACAAATTTATTAAATTAATCCTGTAAAAATAATTTTGTTTTATTTGAAGATAATTGTGAGGAACTTCTTGAATGCAAACCTAGCGACTGAAAAAACACACTCACTGAGTGCTTGTAACCGGGACAAATAATATTTTTCGGTTAAATAATCTAAAAAATTCTAATTATCTCTTTTTCTAAATGTTTAGAATATTATCTACTATCAATGTGTAACATTCTTTTTTCAACTCTTTCAGAATATCGTTTTTAACCTCAGTATTTATTGAATGTTTACCCACTTATTTATAGATAATTTGCTTCCGAATAGACATTTCTCTTGTATCCTACTATTTATTCCAATCTTTGTAAGAAATAGTTTGATTGCTTAATGACATAGAAATTGAAAAGGACGGAAACTTTTTTTAAAAAATATCTAATCACGTTATTTAACCTTTGAACTTCAACATATCGGAGGCGAAGGACGATGTCTGGTAGATTCCGTCTGATGGAAGTGGGGGAACAAGACTCAATCAACCAAAAACAAGCTAACTGAAAGTGTTAATATTAACATGAGCTAGATTAAACTAGTGGCGATGCTCAGGACCGTGGAAAAGGGAGAAAAAGATTATTAGGGGAACGGGTTTACCCAAGTTACCCTGGAAAAGGGCTTCTAAGAAAACAAAAAGTTTATTTGAATACAAAAATAAAGATTTTGTCAACTCTAAATAATATTAACACCAGTCAATTGGGATTAGAAATCTATAATCTTATTTATTACGCATATTTTTTTTGAGAAAAAATATATCAACATTATCATTGATCAAATTAATAGATATTTATCTACGAAATAATATTTAAATATATGGTAAATTTTTTAAGGATAAAAAATTCCACTGTATCAAAATTATTCTATGAATTTGTCAATATCTTCCACTAAATGCCAATTAAAATTAAATAATTTAATTACATGCTTCTCAATTCTATTTTAATTAATATGATAATAATTGGATCTTTGCTGATTTTACTTCCACTTCATCTTTAGACTTACTTCTCCTAAATTTATAATAATGTCTAAGATTCTTTTATCAATAGTTTATATTCTACTTTCTTTATTTCATCCATTGTGACCAGATTATGTAATTCATTCCCCAGAGATAGATATTGTATATAATAATCTAATCGGACACTTTTCCTGGCATTCGATTCTGCATCCGTGACCAAGAATTTGTTTTATAAGGTGTCAATAAAGAAAAAATCTAAATAAAATAGATAATGTAAAACGCTAAAATTAAAAATGAATTATTTATCGATAATAAATTCAAATCTTACGGAAATATTTTTAATGAATTAGATTCTTTTTTGGGTTTAATCACGAAAAGAATTATTAAAATAATATAATCTATAATTTTATGATCGGCGCGTTAAATCGAAGAGCTGCGGCGCATAAATCTATGTCCAATATTAATTGGAGAAAAAAAATTGTGGTTGGTAAATGAAGTTGAGGTAGTTTGGAAAAGTTGAACCGAGCACAATTAGGTGACAAAATTGCACCATAATTGAAGGTCATGACTCCCTTTATAATAGCCTTAAGTAAACTTGAATAATGGTGGCGGCTAGTGAGAGGAAACAGGGTAACATCCATAAATTCAGGCTCGTGAAAGTATAAAGGATATTTTAAAGAAGTTATCTGATCAACTCAAGTAAACCTGAATTAAGGTCGTTAATCAATTATTCGTTTTAAAATAAATAGGTTCTATGTGAGATATATTCTTTTGTTTTAAAAAATTCATAATGATTATTTATTATCTTGTTCCCACTTCCTTTAAAAACGCCATGTAAATCCTTAAAAAGTTACTAACTGTACACCTGGACGAAATAGATTGTTATTCCGCCTGGGTATCCGCTCATCAAGTAGGTATCAATGAAGACTTTACCAACTTAGACCTCAAAAATGGTATGGATATATCCTCCTCACAAAATGGTGATTATACCTTAGCTTTAAACAACGAACCTGTGCCATCATTAATTTCCGCTAACAATATTAAAGGTGACGAGAAATAAAATGTTATATTCCATTGGCGTTATGTTTAATTAATGCATAAAAGTCATTTTTTGAGATTTTTGTGGGTATAATTTTTAATCCTCAAAAAGTTTTTACTATATATATTTTTTTTAAATTCCAAATTTATCGGATAGTTATTAATAAATTTTTTTTAAAATACGTTTACGATATTTCTGTTATTCATAATATGGCTAATTTTGATGATGATATAAAACGTTTTTTTTCAAGAAAAACAAGCTATTTTTGTTTTTTTCTGTCTTTTTTAAAAAAACTTATTACCAATACAATCCTTATGGAAAATATAATTTAAACTTTTTTTAAAAATATTTATATAAATTATAAATTTTATTTCTAAATATGTTGTCTTATACATAGTTTACACTCTCTGTTCCAAATATGACATATAGATTATACGTTATTTTCCAATATATCAAAATAAAGAGTCGGCTGAGAATGCCATTTTTTGTCGATTGACAAGAAATTATGTTTATAATATTTTACCTTATGGTATCATTTCATACTTTACGAGTATCATTTTAAATATGTAAAAGAAGTTCAAAATGATACTTTACAGTTTTGAAATTATAATTTTGTATTTATTTTTTAAAAAAATTAATTTATTTTAATTTTTTTTTGGTGTATAAAACAGTCAACTTGGGATATTTGGTGTTGCAATGCCTTTTCGAAAAATGGCTAAAAATTACCAATAATTTAGAAATTAATGGAACCGTACCCTACACATTTAAAGAAGGTATATGTATTAGTTTTTTATATTTTAATTTGAATTGGAACGATTAAATTAAATAAAATGATGGATAAAATCGTTTATAATTATATTATATATGATTTTAAAAAAATTGATTTTAAGGAGAATATCCATTTCCGACCTTCGACATAAAGATGCCCCCTCACACTCCTATTATAATTAGGTAAAATATTTAGAAATAATAATTCGAGAAAACAATGTTTTCATTGAAATATTTTAAAAAAAATTTATCGCATTTGAAATCTTCATGCACAAAACGATAGAATTAGTCGAAATGAAAGTTTTGAAAATGCCCAATTTTCTAAGCTTGATAACTAATGTCGCGATTGCAAAATATTGGCATGGTATCCTAACCCAGGATTTGGAGTCACAACTAATTTTTATTTATCTAATCTCTACCATTAAGATCCTTTTATTGGAGTTTTTTTTTAAAATTCACTTATGTAAATTTTCATCATCTCTTTTTTTGCCAATTTGCAATTTGCGATAATTAGAAAAAACCCGTCTTTCTTCACTAACTTGAATTCTTTATCGTAATTTAAACCAATTAATTCAAAAACAAACACGAATCTAATGGTAATTATTCATACTCGATTTTTTTAAAACAAGAGTTTAAAAAAAATATTCAAAATTGAACAAAAATCTTTAAAAAAATTTTGTTATTTTATTTTGAAAGATTTTTTTTGTGCATGATAATTACAAAAATATTTACTTAAAAAATTTTGGCATTTTTATGTAAAATTTGATCAAAATCTTTCTTTTTCAAAAATAATATTCAAAGATTATTTTAAAAAAAACTCTGTTTTAAATTTACTTTTCGCAATTATACCAGTCGAATAAGAGTTGTAAATTTTATTATTCATACGAATACTAAAAATTGAAAACGAATAATTTATTATTCATTTTTGAATACTTCCTTATAAGCATAAAATCGAATTTAGTACATTTAATGTTTCCTCCACCTCTTGCTTTTTCTATTTAATTCAAATATTATATTTTCTTTCTTCTTTTATAAATCATAAAGTGAAGGAGAAGGCAAGATGTTGTATCGATTGTTAGTAAGGGATTCGGACGGCGAGAACGAATGCTGCTATCTCAACGATATACTTCCCTCATGGGTCACTGAAACACTCTTAGAAGTTTTTTTTTGGAACTAAAGAAAATTTAATTTTTATATGAAGAGATAGATGGTTATATTATCATTTTTAAAAAAAAATACTTAAATAAAACTATTTTAGGTTAAAAAATTATGACGAGAAGATATATGGGAACCCTTTTTTTTGTCTATGCCTTTATATTTTAATTATTTATCATAGGATTAAATTATTATATTATATAAAATAAATTGAGTTTGGCTTGCCCTTTGATCCCATGTGTTCTGTTCTCCCTCCAAATTAAATTTGTATAAGAGGTCAAGACCAAATTCTATTTTAGTTGTAAATTTTTATTTTTGAAAACTGAACTGATTTATAGGGTATAATATTTTATATTGCTGTAATTAATTTTAAAAAATAATTTTGATATATATTTATTTTTACTACAGAAAGCCTTGCCGAAGTTTGCTAAAGTCGCCTTCTTCTTGTTCCCACATTCAGACTCGGGAATTAAAACTTGGAAAAAGTGAAAATTTAATATTTATTTAACATGTCTGAAAAAAAACGACGCTGCTAACGACAATTGGGGTAACTAAGGGTTGGTGGAGGGGGATTTCCCTCCTTAACAAATTTGTCAGTTTTCTAAAATATGAATGAACGCTTGAGTTTTTTATTATTTGATTTTGTGTCGCGACGCGCTTCGATTCAATAGTTTAAGGTGATCAACATTATTTAGGCGTTGAAAATCCTAAGTTCAAGGGAAATTAAATTTTTTTGTTTTGTTTAGGTTTTCAGTTGTGTTTTCTTTTTTGGCGATTGTCACTCCAAATACAAGGAGAAGATCTCTTCATTTGCTTAATTATTTATTTTAGATTGCGGTGATAGAGGGGGGGGGATTAAATGAAGTCATTGTTTTAACTTTTCCTGGTTTATTGACTCAAGAATGAAGGTTGTTTTTGAATTTCAAGTTAAGGCATAAGTCATCTGCATAAGCTAATATATTTATGCTGTCTTTTTTGTACTTTTATTTAATCCGTTGATAAGATAGATTATTCTGTTTCAAGCCAGTTTTAACTGATATATAATTTGATTTTACCTGATGTAAGTCAAGTTTATCGAATTGTTTTTGTAAATATTGATTTAATAAGTTTAGAAGGTGGAATGGGATGGCTACTTCTATCAAAGAGTTCTCCTGTAGTTTGTTTTGAAAGATAGTGTCGAAGGCTTTTGAAGCTTTTAAATTCTACAGTTATAATAAATAGTTGCGTCTTAGTCTCTTTTCTAATAATATGGTAATCAGTTTGATGGCATTGTGTTATTTATGAAGGAGATTATTAAATCATCTAGAATGGGTCTGGGCAATTTTGAGTATAAAAATTTTATATAGGGATGAATTTATGACTAATCTCTCCAGACTTTTAGTTGTTTTAAATTTTTTAACAGCTGCACCAATATTTTTGTCGATATTAAAATGGTTTGGTCATAAATTTGTATATCTCGGAATTTGCAGCTAATTTTTTATTCATAAACATTTTGGAATATCGATATAACATCACAACTTGTCATAAAACTAAATTATTTTAAGGAGGCATTAGAATAGGACGATTTAAAGTTTGTTCAAAACCGGATCAGTAAAACCCGATCAAAAAGATAGGTTGATTTTATTTGCCGATACCAATTCATACTTAGTATATTTTTGTTTGATAACATATTTTTAAGTTTTATTAAAATTCCAAAATGGTTATGCATTAAAAAATTCCCGATAATCTTGTGCTAATTTCGAAATATACTCATTTAATATCGACAAAAATATTGATGCAGCCCTAGATAATATATTTTAGGAAGGTTTATTAGGGTTGCATTGAGCTATTCAGGGGAAGGTACGTTTTTCCCATATTATTTTTATTAGCGATAGAACTCAGCGCTCACTTTTTCATCCACCTTTATTAGTTCATTGTTGACCCTTACTTGTCCTGCTGTCCTATGCCGCTTTAATTTATTTATAATTTGGGTTCCGGTGGAAGTTGTACAACTTTTATTGTAAGAGGTTCTTTAGATTAATTAGTGTTTCTCTCTGATAGGCATTGTCTACATTGGATATGCATATTTCATTATAGTGAGTAGTTCATATGTTTAGTTATAGATTGGTATCCATAACTATTTTATTTTTAAGGTAAATTTTGGAAATCCTATATTCTATAATTTGCGAATGCTTTTGATAATTTAAATGCTTAGAAAGTATTATTTGCTGCGAAGGAGATTTTTACATTTAAAAAATTTGTTTAAAAATTATTTTATTGGTTGGTTTGGTTCTTTGTTTATTTTTTAGTATTTTTAATTAAACTTATAAAATATACAATATTATGAATTAGTAAAATAATTTTAAAAATAAATATAATTTGTTCTGCGCATTTCGCCTTAAAAATATTTCAAATACACCAACCCATCGCCCTCCCATTGTTTTAATATTTTTTAACCCGCCTGCTCACCCTGCAAATTAAGGTTTGTTGGCACCCTTGCCGAATATGCCAGGGTTAAATAGTTCGATTTAAGGCAATTTTTAAAAATATTTAACTCAATATTTAAGCCAGAAAATATTACCTAAGCCACGAGCTTTCGCTAAACGTGTCCAAACTCTTGCGCCATTTATGGGCAAAATCTTCAGGCTTGCGTAATATTTTTTTGGATTAAATATTTAGTTCGCCGTTGAATAGTTATGAAATAATGTTTATTTAAAAACTATATCTAAATGACAGGCTCTTATTTTTTTTTATCTTTATCAAAATTTTTGGAACATCCTTAACAGATATTATTAGAATCAACACCCTAATCAACAAATGATATTGAATATATTTTTAACTAATATTTTTAAAAAACATATAACTTTTTTTTAAAATATCATTATAATATACAAGATTCGCTAATCAAGATAATATCTAACATAAATGTAGAATCGTTTGATATTTTTTTAGAATGTTATAATTTGTTTTAATGTAATCGAAGCTTAATTCTGTGAACTTGACTAAGATACAAAACTTAGAAAAATATGTAATTAATTTCAATTCCATGTCAAATGGCACATAAAGGAATTTTAAAAACGTCTTAAAGACAAAAGCGTTTTTCATTGTCATTAAATTTATAGATAATTATAAGTTATTTTATATTCGAAATTATAAATTTAAATTCGAACAATTTTGATGGGGAATGTAACTAAAAAAATTTAAATTCTATATTGGCCTAATAATTTTTATGATATTTTCAACTAAGTAAATATTTAAAATATCATAATGGAAAAAATTTTTTTTACCTTTAAAAATTAAATATATAAAATTTGACCAAAATTAATTTTTGAGAATAAATATATTATTCAAAAAACGAAATAAAATCCAAAATGCGAAAACACATTATATAATTTGCTTATTCTCCATCTATTTATTTTATAGAGATAGGTTATCAGCCAACGATATGCTCTCGGTCAAAAAAGTCATGGAACACGTGTACACCAAAATATTGCCTTTTTGTTATGGTCAACACAACATTCTAGAATACCAAAATCCCAATTCTCATATGTCCAATGGGATGCATAGTTGGATGAAATTATTGATAAATTCATTTTTCTTTTTTTTTGAGGGATGGGAGAGGGATTCATTGTTTCTTTTTATGCATCTTTTTTCTTTTTTAAGCCTTTTTGCATCAAATTTTAAGAATTCCTACTAGCTAATAATCGCAGCTAATTTTTTATCAATATTTCGAGCTTTTTTAATAATTACTCTTCACAAATTACTTTTTCGATAATTATTTTCCAAAATTTATCTATTATGCTTATAAATATTTATTTATAAGACATTTTTTTAAATTATATAATTTTAGTCACGAATGGTCCCAGTAGTTCTAATTCATCAACCACCAATAATTACAAATTATATTCGTCGAATTCATCTCCAAATTCCCCTAACCTTAGACGTAAACTTAGAAATAATAGTTGCATGGGTCATCACGAACCGTATAACACATATTCCATGGTTTAAACTTATTTAATATAGCGATACTTTTATATGCTGTATTTACCATGTAATCTCGACTCATTAAAAAAAATTATTGTTAAATATATAGAGAAGGTCGATTTTTTTTTAAGATGGGACGTATTCCAAAGAATATTCTAATAAATTATATTTTCAATTATTTACTTTCAGGTGCTTTAAATATTTTTGAATCTGTAAATCATTCCAAATTTCAATGAAATTTTTGGCATTTGGATTCTAGAATTTTAAAATTGTTTTGTAAAGATGTTTCTCTTTTTTGAGTGGGATTAAAAATTCCTTATATTTGGAAAGACCCTAAAAACATCCATCTTTAAAAATATTTGATATTCACTAGTGAGTCTAGTTAAATAGCAATACACATAGTTTGGTACAGGACCCCTTTGAACTAAGATAAATCTAGGAGAAGAACCTCTTTTTAAAAATATTCTAAACTGGCATACTATTAAGCTATTTTAATTTAGAAAAATAGACAATTCTTGATTCGATTCCTAGCTGTGAAATGTCAATACTGCATATACAGACATCGTTTATTTATTTACTTTTAATGGCTATAAATTTTGTCATATAGTCTTCCGATACAATTGTTTCTGACCTTAACATCCGCATGACAACATAAATATTAGCTTGGTAATTGATATCAGTATTTCTTGTTGATCTTTTACGACGATGATAATAATCTTTTGCTTACAATATAATAATACTCTTTATTGTCGACACGATGCTCAAAACCAAGATTTATCGTGGATTTATCTATTTATTAAACTGGAGATAAATATCATATAACTGTAACATATATTTATAAGATATAAATAGGACTCCTACCCGGATGAATCATGTAATTGTATCCCTTATTTTCTTGTTTTAAGCCCCCAATCGTTATTTTTACTGATATATATTTTATTTAAAATTCACTTTTTTTAAAATATAAAAGGATAAAAGTGAAAAGGATGGATCATCATCTAATTTATCGGCCAACTTTGAAGAAAAAATCCAAATATTTTGTCAGAATCAAGTAAAAAAAATTAATAGCATTTTATCTAAATTTAAAATTATTTCTTTTGAATAAAAATGCAGCATTAACTCCCACTATAAAGTCCTCCATAAGTCAGAAATTTAAAAAGTTTTTAACTGGAAACTTTTTAAATTATAAGTTTTCTAACGCATGTAAAAACTGCATTTTTTGTTTTTGATTTTCCCAGCCCTGCATAAGACCTTATTAGCGGTTTAGAGATTTCTACATTATGAATAAATATATTCAATATTTTTAAATAAAGCTTTTAGATCCTGAAATGGACTTGAGATCCGTCAAACATTTTTATTGGAAAGGATCTAGTGATATGATATTATATTATTTGCCTTTTAAATGAAAAGAGAAAACCAATAATCTTGAACCACATAATAGCAAAAGTAATATGAAATTGTTGTAATTTTTGTAATCAAATTTAGCACTTTTTAATGCAAAAAGATTGATGTATTTGTGAAAAATAATATTTATAGAGATATATTTATAATTATAATTTGTAACTAGTCTATTATTATTTGTACCTTTGAATGTTTCTTACAATTTATAATATATTTTTTATGCTATTTTGTAAATAAAAACTAAATTATTTATTATCAATCAAATCATCAGATGAGTATTTTTTCATATAATATGTTATTCTTGTAAGAATCTGTACCTCATAAAAACAAAATAATCGCCTTGGCTATTTTTAATATAAAAAAGAATAAAAAGGGAAAACGAAATTAAAGCTAATTTGTTAAAATAACTAGATAGACAATGAATTATTTGCATTCGATTTAACTTTTACGCACATTAAATTTTCTGTCATAAAATTTGAAATGCTACAACTAAAAAATTTTAATATAATATTGTAGCGAAAATTAAATTTGATGATTGTAAACTTTAATGAGACTGAATTGAAGATAACTACTTAAATTATTTATAAGATTTACAAATAATACAATAATAAATTAATAATTAAATTTATTATAAATTATTTTATGTTTATATGTCATATCGTTTCAATTAGGGAATAAATTGTTGTATTTGCCAGTTAATACGAGTCCATCGCCAGGATTTAATCTTAGGTCCTTAAGATCTATTTCTTGCCCAACTTTATAAGTGTCCTGGAGGCTACCCGTAAATAATATTACGTTACTTGCATGATCCTGCATTTTTTTAGGATGTTGATCGTATGGATAAGTGTCAGGTTGGTGACCAAGATTTAGTATGATGTAAAATCTGTTTTAAAAATATTTTTATTCATAAATAGATGATTATTAAGATACAAAGGTGCCTAATGTTTTATTAATTTAATTTTAAAAATAAAATAACTACCGTTGATGTCGTCTATGATCGTGTAATACATAAAAATAATTTAATAGTTAACATGTCAGTTAAATTAAATAGTGTATAACCCACTTATAAGTTATATATTATAATGTTCCCTTTTTATGGTCCCATTTTGTTTAAGGATCCCCAAGATATAATTTATGATAAACAGGGTTTTTGCTTCTCCCCCGAGGAACGTCATTTATATATATATACTTTAAATTTAATACCTAATTTTAAAATAATATTACCCTCTATTTCCTGGCATGTATCTTCCAAATGAATATATGTTATCGGTTATTGGACCGTAGAAAAGATTTTTGTCTCTAAAAGAAGGATATTTACGTAACCACACTAATGCGCGAAATATATTCAAATGAGAAAATTTCCGAATCTTTTGAACCTCATTTTTTTATATATATAAAAAAGAATAAATGATGGTTTTAACAATTTTATTTTTTATAATGTTATCTTTAACTTTGATTATTACTTCAACATTACGAGTTTTGTAATCTGGATGAACAGGTAGCCAACTTATGTTAGCTGTCGTGAAGCCAGCCATATGAGAAGCATCCCATTGCATTGGCGATCTATTTGGGTCTCTGCTGTACAACACGTATCTTACCTACGTCATAACGATTTAATTAATTAAATATTTAGGAAATATATAAACATGATCTTAGCTTACAGGGCCCAGATTTTTTCCCCACGGATCTTGAGTTTCTTCGAAGGTTACATTTATATTCTCCATACCTATTTCGTCTCCGTAATAAAATTGCGGTGTGCCTTTTAAATCATGATTTACAAAAAAAATAGATATTGAAATATACGCATTGCATCTCAACGATTATTATCCATTGTATTTTATATAAATATAATGCATAAAATTAAAATATGATTCATATACCTGGTAAAAGCAACATAAGGGAATGTATGGCGTCTATGTATTGTTCCCCTACTCGAGTTGATATCCTAGCCCTGTCATGATTGCTCACCTATGATAACATACATTTTTTGTGAATTTCCCGGTAGTTATTTTTTTATCGTAATGTAGTGTTATGTAAAATGAAAATAAAATTTACCACCCAATTCGGCCATCTATTTCGGCTCATTACATCCATCCATTCTTTTATCTTTTCGGAATAGCAAGATACATCACAAGTTTTATTGAGGTAAGTCAACCCAAAATTGTAAGGCATATCGATATCAGATAATTCGTAGTATTCCATGGAGACTTTAGGAGTAACATAAGCTTCACTAACGATTAAACTAGTGAATATTGTTATAGTATTTAACCGATTTATCAAAGTAAGGAGTAAAATATATTTTTAAAATATCTTAGTGTTTCAGCAAGATTAACTAAAACCATCTAGGTTACATCCTAGTAAACATTTTATTACAGTCAAAATTAAATTTTATATATTTTATAATTTAAGTATATATAGATCTAGGACTCCGCCTCAATCATCTTTACATTAAAAATTTAAATTACTATAAGCATTATTAAATTTATTGTATACTTGTCCCGTCCAGTTTTTGTTTCAAAGTCTTTTATAACCTCACTGAATTCTTTCAAAGTTGTGAATATTTTGGGGAGATCTTCAGTATATATGTGTCTCAAATACTCATGCTCGATCTAACATACATAAAAGTTAGGGCAAAAAAAATAATTAAAAAAAATTAAATATCCTACACAAAACATTCAAAAATTTTACAGGCTTAGCGTTAGGGTCACCACTCAGAGGCTCGTCCAAAAATCTTTGATCTTCAATGAGATTTACAACAGCGTCATACCTAAATCCATCTACGCCTAAGTCCATCCAGAAAGCTAGAGCTTTCTTGTGTAATAAAGAACGATATTAAGTTAATAATATATAACTAAATATTTTCATTAAAATAAATGCATTTATTTATGTGGTTACTTTCATATCCTCTAAAACCCTGGGATTTTCATAATTTAAATCGGGCTGTTCCGGGATAAAGGCATGATAGTTCCATTGTTTGCGTTCATCGTACCAAGTCCAGGAAGTTCGTCCAAATACACTAAGCTAAATATGAAAAATAATAAATCAATAAAGCTTTGAAAATATGAAATAAAATTAGAAACAAATGAGAACCGATTAAATTGTAACAAATTCAATAAAAGTTAATAAATATAAAATTTGATACGTTTAAACAATCATTCGAGTCTTGCATTGTATCATTTTAAATCATAGCTCAACCTGTCCTGCGTAGTTATGCAAGAATATTTAAAAAAGACCATGTCTTGGCTTGTCTATTCGAAAAATAATACATACCCAATTGTTTGGAATTTTATCCTTGTCCCCATCACGCCAAACATAGTAATCGGTATAAGGATCTTCTCTTTTCAAAGACTTTTGAAACCATGGGTGTTGATCACTAGTGTGATTAGGTACGAAATCCATAATAATTTTCAAATCTTTCAAAATATATTATTTACAACAAGAATTCGATAAGCAAAAAAGTATATCTATTTTCATAAAGGCATATAAATTTTGAAAGCACGCACAGTAAGCGAACAAGTAGCTAACTCTTATTTTTTCCCAGCTTTATCAAGGCTCGCGGGATCACCTTTCCTTTCCGTTATAATCTATGCAAATGTATATCTTTAATTTAGTGAAAGTTAACTCAAGTCATTCACCTTTCAAATAATATTTTGATTATTTATTTTAAGCTATTTTCCCTTAAATTATTTACATCACATTTATAATTTAGATTTTGATGTAGAAACTTCTTTTTTTTAATAAAGGATATTTTATTATATAATTTATGAGATTTACCTCTTTTATGGGCAGCTTCTAAAAGATTTTTAAAATCTTCCAAATTTCCAAACAGCGGGTCTATATCTGTAAGATTTGAGATGTCATAACCAAAATCTTTCATGGGAGATTTGTACATGGGGCTAAGCCAAAGTCCTTGAATTCCAAGGAATGTAAAATAGTCCAGTTTTTCGATAATTCCTTATTTTAAAATTAGATTTTAAAAATAATTATTAAAAACTTATAATGCTACAGAAGGAACCGAAAAAAATTTAAAACCTCTGAATAAGGAATTTAAGAACCAAAAATATTGGGAGCTTCAGCGCGTAGATGCATCTGAAACAAAAACTAAGGTCTCAAAGAAAATTTATTTTGGATTCTTGTTCTTACATAATTAATTCGGAACACATAAGGACAGCCACTTTTGTTATAAAAGATATTCCATTTTTTTCAATTTTTATACGAGTAGTGAATCTCTGTAGAACGGTAAATGATTTAGGGATTTTTCAAAAATACACAACATGTTGATGAATTTTTATTATATACAAAAAATAGTTCAATTATGGAATGGCAGCTGCGTCTTAAAAGTTTAGATTAGTTTTCTGAGGCTCAGTAAGACTCTGATTCAATACCTATAGGGATCTTTTTCTAAAAGCACTTTGGAAGAGGTTAGAATAAAATTAAATGAGTATCCTTATATATGGGCGAGTTAATATTTGTATTATAAAAATTGGCCTATATACAACTATTTTAATAAAATATTTACCGACGTGTGTATATTTGAAGAGAGTATTTTTTACATAATTCTATTAAATGTCTAATATTTTTTAATTAGAAGAATTCTCTATTACGCTTTAATAAACCATATTTTGTTAAATTGTGTTTAAAAAATAGTATAACATTTAAATTAAAATCAAGGTGATACAATAGAAGTATTTTGGAGGTTATGCTTTTATTGCCATTATCATTCTTGTATAAAATTTTTTTGCAATTAAATATTTAACATTGCCACATTAAAATTATTTCTTAATTTGGACAATCTTTTTCTTTAAAATACCTTAAAAACTAAATATTAAAAAAATTCGAGAACTTTCGCAGATTTTAAAAAATATTTAAAATAAACCACCAGAAGTAGTTTTTTCTTTTTTTTAGAAGAAAAAAGCTCATCCCTTTATTTTCATTAAATTTTTTGAAATTTGTCAATTTTTTCAAATATGGACATAATCCTAATAAAATTGAACCCTCTCACTTACCCAAACTTGGAATTGTTATGCATGATTAAACTAAAATGTATCGTTGTATCGTTAATGAAAAAAATGAAAAAAAATCACTATTTTAATACTTATTTCACAATCAAAATATAAACTCTTTTACATTAAGTTAAAAATGAAATAAAAATCCACACTTATATTAAGATAAACTAACCCCTAACATAAATTTAACATAAAGTTACTGCATAGATTTTTATTTTCTTAACAAATAGTGGCTAACAGACATACAGATATTTATCATAAAGTGTAAGAAAAAATAATATAAATAACCGTTGATGTCTCCTATTCCATCTCCATCGCTATCTTTAAATGATCGCGGATATATCTGGTATAGCACAGCATCTTTCCACCATTCTCTTCTACAGCAAGATTGCATAGTCGAAAAGTCTAATAAACTGCTAAACGATACGAAAAATATGAGAATTAATAACATTTTTTTAAAATTAATTTAAATAATAATAAAAAATTTTACAAGAAAAAATTAATAAAAATTTAAAGGTAAGAATCGATAAGAAAAAATGAATTTGATTTATTTATAAAAAATATAATTTAAAAATGAGATTTAAAAAAAATTTACTTTTTTAAATTTTTTAAATTTTTTTTATTTAGGTTTCGTCCAAAAAAGGTTTCAGAAGTTTTAAAACTTAAGGACACCTAATAACAAAGTTTTTAAAATTATATTTTTTATCTTGAATAAGTTTTTAAAAGTTTTCGAATTAAATATTTTGATGTTTTGGACATAAATGGCTCGATTTGAGCCGATTTATAAATACGGCTAACTCAACATTTTAGCCAGAAAAATATTGCCAAAGTGAGATTTTGTTAATAGAGATCCAAATCTTTGTGCCATCTATGAGCATAATCTTAAGACTTGCATTATTTTTTATGGATAAAAAATTGAGTTAACCGTTTTTAAAAATCAGCTCAAATCAAGCGGTTTAATAGCACTACTTATATACATAAAATAATAAATATATAAATATATTATACATCTCTTCTGTTGGAGGTGAAGATAACTGTTTATCTTAAAATCGTCCTTTTTTATAAATTCCAAAATTATACATCTATATAATAAATAATAATTTTAAAATCAATTTACATTAATTTTGTTTTAAATAATAATTTGGTTTCACTTTATATAACCGTAATCAAAATCAAAATCAAAAACAAACATTATCTATTAGCGGTATTAATTTAAATATCATAATTCATAAGTAATAATGCAAGCCCAAAGGATTAATAATAAAACAAACAAAACCTAAACATAGCTTCCTTTCGAACGTTATAATATAAGTTTCTTTGAGAGTCTTGGGGTCGTTCTCTTAAATTTGTATTCTTTGTTTAGAGTATCGTGTCTATACACTTCAGCACATATTTGACGACCGGCTTGTTGGATCGTGATCCTAGCGTACCCTTATCTTTCATCTAAAGATCCTCTCATCTGACTTAGTTTCGTTAACTGGATCCTTGGTTGTCCTACAGTTTTTAAAAACTGGTACAACCTGATTATTGTTCCTTTTGATAGCTTCCTTAATCGTATAGACGTATCTTCCGTGATAATTAACAGCTGGATGGTAAGGAGACATAAATATCGGCGCCGCTGTATTTTTATTACATTCAGCGTAGATTTTCTATTTGTCTTTCCATCTCAGATCATTAAACATAATCATTTGCCAATTCTGTCACTCTTTTTACTCCATAGACGTTTTGATCCCTATCCTTTCCTTTCCTTTCCTTTCCTTTCCTTTCCTTTCCTTTCCTTTCCTTTCCTTTCATTTCCTTTCCTTTCCTTTCCTTTCCTTCCTTTCCTCTCCTTTCTATAATATATAACACCATTAGTAAACTTATATCGAGAATTTTGCTAGGTAGGGGGGCGGGGTATTAGATATGGCTTTTGGAAATAAGTTTTATTGGAGATCTTTAAGTCCACTTTAGATATTTATAAAAATAATTATGAGTTTTCACTTTTTTTCTAAAAATTTTGAATTATAATGTCGTTATAACTAAAAGTTATTAACTTTTACTAATTTTATTTTTCCTTATATATGTATTGTATTTATTTTTTGAAGAAAGGAGGTGAAGTTATGTTAGGAGATTTGTTTCTTATTAGCTTAAGACCGAGGTATCTTAATTTTTATTTTAGGCCCGAGCAAAGCAAGAAACCATTATTTCACCTTTTTCATTTTTAGGAATATTTATCATCCCATAGCCAGGCCCGAATTTAAAAAAATTTTTTTAGGCATTAAACCGGCCAATGAATTTCTTAAGCTCGAACCTGGCGGTCGGGATTTTGGATCGACTTGTAGGACTTCACGCAATTAACAATAATTTTTTTCGGTATTTGTAGCTTGGCCATTTCCAGACAAAACATTTTTTCAAAGCGGTTTTTGGGTAATGTTACAATCAATATTTTTTCCATTTCCAAACAAAAGATATTAAGTCTAATTAATTTTTTTATATAATATAATATTTTAAAAATAACAATCAGAACCCACATTTCAAGATGTCATTTAATCGTTTAAAATCAAACAAGTTTGTTTTCTATTTAAGATTAAAAAAAATGGGGATCTGGATTGTTTTTATTATATTAATAAAAAAATTAATTTACAAGTTAACCTTTGGAAATAAATAAAAAGATTGCTGGTGGTAGCATTACGCTCTTTCTGGAAATGACCTTTAATAAAAAAAATTGAAATACTAATTATATGTTTTAGAGTTTAGAGCCATCAATTATGGCGTTAAAGTTTATAAGAATAAAATACTTTAAGTCTAAATAAATATTTTGTATTTAAAATCAATAAAAAATAAAAACAAAGTTAACAAATAGAAAATAATAAATAGTAACAGATTTAATTGACCAATTTAAAAAAAAAATATATAAGCCTTTTATTGTCTGATAGATTTGTAAATTAAAGAAGTAGTTCGTTATTATTAAATGATAAAGAGAATTAACTATAATTTCTTTTTTCAAAACCCTTGCATCCAATCTTCTTAGATGGTTGCGTGTATGTTAGTTTTTTGGAGCTTGTTTAGTTATAGCTGACTTGTCTAACTCGCAACTGATAATTTTAAAAAAAATGTATCGACTACGTAAAAAGGATTATTTTAAATGATAAAAGAATATATATAAATGACACGAAAATATCGAAATTTTTTGGGCGAACGATATTAGTACAAATGTTGATTACAGCGGAAATATATTTCCGTTTAGCGCGAAATCATTCCTGCCATTGCTTAAATATTTCCGGAAACCCATTTCAGCAAATGTATATCACTAAATAAACTTTAAAATAAGTATTTATTGATTATGCAGCAGTGAAAACTAAAAATAAAATTCGGGCTCGACCAGAGTTTAAAAAATTTATAATAATTTGGGCGAGCGAGCGCTTGAAAAAATTAGCTAACAAATTATAGTTATGTGGGTACTATTTTTTTAAAAATAATCTTAAAAATAGATGTGATATACATATTTTTAAAAAGATATTTTTTTGTTGATTTATACTCTGTAATTTGGTTAAGGTTGAAAATTTAAAACTCTAATTATGGGCACTAGATGAGGGGTCCTCTTTATAATAATGTTAATTTATTATGATAAAAAATGACATACATCTATGGTATATGGATGATGTGGTTACTTCTGGAAATTCTGAAGAATTATAAAAAACAATTAATATTATAAAGCAATTTGCCATTAATCTCGGTTTTGTTAACCAAAGTAAAGCAGAATATTGAGAAATGAATACTATTCCTTATAACATTTATGATATTAAAACATAAAACATACTTGGATAAAATTTTTTATGGTATTTACGCTCTCCCATCGGTAAGTAATCAAGAAATTTTTTCTTTGGCAATGTAGACGTACTTAAAATTTAAAAGGCATCCTTAGTGTATACAGCGTCTATATGACAGGATATTCTCTGGATGCAAAGCCCCTTCAAAAATCTCTGCATACTCCCTTAAAAAATCTCACCGACTTCGGCAGTGATATTCCCATTTTTAAGATAATTGTACTCCCTTCATAATTTAAAAAAAGGAACTTAAATGATTACTGTTCTGCTGCCAACTATCAAAATCTTGTGTATATTTTTTGCAACTCAAATAATTTTATTTTCAAATAAATTAAAAAATATGGAAATGTTTTCATTTTGGCATGAATATGAGTTTTCTGATAGAATTTTTAAACTTTTAAATTACAATTAAAAGGATTGCAAAAAATAATATGTCTATGATTGTGTGCCAATTTTGGTTGATAATCGGCCATATCGTTGTATTATAATAGGTCTATAATAAAAGTATTTGATTTTACAGCAATTTTTGCCCTATTTCATCTAAAAATTTAATAGATAACCTATCATTAAATTTATCCTACCCCTCCTACCACCCTTAAATCCTATCCTTAAAAAAATTCGATGCAAACTATTCCTACTCCACCCGCACATGTAGACGCTGCTTGTCCATCCACTCACAAGGCTTTTTTAGGGATTTTTTCAACATTCCTAAAATCCTTTATTCACTACGAAGCCTATATTTTTAGATAAATGTAATCTAGTAAGATAAGAGACCAGAATAAAAACGATTGTTAGTGATTTCAAGTTTACAGACAAAGCTGGGAATCAAGCCACGCTACCCATCAAATATGACGGTCTTTGTTACACTATCGATCTCATTTGAGCCTTCTATCGCTAGCCACCTACAAACACAGGCACTAATCGATATCATCTATAAGTAGTCTATACATTTTTTAAATATAGCTAGGATGGAATGATCAAAACGTGTTGCAATCACAACCGAATTTCTGATTTCTATAAAACCGAAAGATTTGGATCTACCACTTGTAAAATACTTCATTGATTACCCTATTTCGAGTTTTTCTCCTTTGGCTGCATCCACATTCAATGAAATTATCAAGGATTGGGGATATAAATTTTTATAGGTTATTCCATATAAAAACCTCTAATTTAAATTACATAACCACGAGCTAGTTACGCCCTCAACATTTCATTCTTATTACCAATGTTGTACTAATGATGACAGTTTGGCGCTGCTTCACAATCTTGGTGAGAAAACCCGATATTCAAAATGTCAGTTGGATTTCTCACCTCATTAGGACCTACTAATCTCTTTCGGATACACGTCCTGATGGAATCACATGAATTCATGGTAACAAGGTAAATTTATAATATGAGATTTTTCATGACCAATAAAGACGCTAAGAGAGCAAAATTTAAGAATTACCACATAAGCCGCTGATTCATCAAATTACACTTTCTTACCAATAATCATCCCTACCACAACTTATAGGAATTTAGCTAAGTAATTCTTTAAAGACGTTAGCTATCAAATCAGTAAAAATTCTGTAATAAGCATCATAAAGGCCTTAACGAAACAAGGGTTA